AGAGCATCCTCTACACCATCTATGGCGCCGCCGGCCTCGGCGCCAGCCTCTACGGCGCAAGCGAATACCTCGTGAAACCCATGCTCGCCAGCCTCACCAGCGCCCGCCACGACCTCGCCGAAACCGCCAGCGCCAATCTCCAGAAGCTCAACGAAAAGCTCGAGCAGAATGTCTCCACCATCCCACCGCAGCTCACGGCCCGCGCATCCACCGCCGCCGCTCCAGAAGCCGACGATGACGCCGATGCCGAGTCCATCACCTCCGACCCGACCGAGCTCTTCCATCGCGACGTCGCAACGCAGACGTCCCAGGAGCTCATCCAGGATGCGACTGCGCCGTCGGCAGCGGGTGTCGTCAACCCCGCCGACGAGGCCGCCGCGCCGGACCCGCTGACCGCGGTGAACACCCACCACAAGCGTCTGGAGATCATCACGGCGAATCTGCGCGAGTTTGCCGACTTGGAGAAGAACTCCGGGTCGCTCGACGACACAATGCGCACCAATCTGAACGATCTGCATCATTACCTGGATGGCCTGCTCTACAGTAAGCCTGGCTTTGGGACCGCGACGGGGTACGGCGTCTACAGTACCCCCGGTATCGATAGTGGCAGCGGCACCTCGACGGGCATTAGCAAGGGCGAGGAGGATGCCATCTCCGGCTTCCGTTCGGAGATTCGCGGCGTCAAGGGTGCGCTTCTCAGTGCGAGAAACTTTCCCTCTGGACGGGGAGGTCGTGTTGGCTCCGGATTGGGGCTGATTCGGTGACGGAACAACTAGATACCTTCTCTGCTTCACTTGTATATGCACTTTGCTACTTTTATATCAGTTTGGGTTTATGATTTTGCGGCATCTGTGGGATGTACAAGGTTACCAATAACCAGCATGGCGTTGGGCTTGATCAATACAATAAATCCAATTCTTGACTTTCTACCTCCGAAGGATCGACCTAGAATACTCACTTTTGATTCTTTCTACTCGGAATTCAAGCTTGCCAAATAACTAGGTAACATTATAATAGCATTGACATAACGAAAACTTCTAAAAAGCCAACCACACTCACACCACAAGCCTGAGGCACGTGCTTGCGATGCGTGGTAAATCGCAGGCTCCTATGCTCGTAAATACAACTCATGACAATTCCATACCTCACGTTGAACGCTTCAAGGGGTGGCTCTGCTCATGCTAATTAGGCGCTTCACACCAACCTGGAATCACGGTTAGCATCATTCTAAGCTTTCATTCGAACAAAGAGCACTCACCATCCATTGACCACACTCGTCCATCCGGTTCGTCATGATGTCAACGTGGATCGCCCGAGCTGTGTCGTAATCACGAGCCTGGATGGCTCTCGCGAGCTCCGCCATGTCGGCAATCGTGTTCGGCTTGAGGAGATCCTCGTTGTTGAGGTGGTCAAACAGAATGTTCAACCGCCTTTCGGCATCATCCACTTGAGCCTTGAACGACGAAGGTGCCCGGGACTTGACGCGCTGCATGTCTGCGGAAAGAATCTCAAAGACAGGCATGGCCTCGGCCGGAATGTGAGACCGATCACCAGGTGCTATTGAAAGGTCAGTTGGGCTCCAAGATAGCGGTACGAACAGCAACTTACGGTATTTCGGAGGTGGGGGAGCTGCCTTCCGCTGAGAGTTTGCGGTGCTCGGTCGGGATCCTCCAGCCTGAGGAGGAGGCGGGCCTTGTTGCATCGGAGGCGCAACCATTGGCGGAGTGCTAGGAGCATACGGGTTCGCTGCTGGCGGCTGGGCCATAGGCTGGGGGGCATATGGCGACGCAGCTGCCTGCGGAGGCGGCGGCACAGGTGCTCTCGTCTGCAGTTGGGGGCTGGCTGCTTGCGCGGCAGGGCTGGGCGCGTACCGGTTGCTCGGGGGCGGGGCAGTCGGAGGTGCATTGTACGGAGATGGGCCACGGGGGATCGAAGCCGGAGGAGCCATGCTAGATGCCATCGGAGGGGACTGAGGCAGAGTGGCGTAAGGGTTGGCGGGCGGAGCCGGAGCCGGAGCCGCCGCGGGAGGAGGCGCCATTGACGCCATCGGAGGAGCTCCGGCAAGCGGTGAACTCATCCGCGGTGGGGGAGCGGTGCCCTTAGGCGGAGGAGGCACGGAGGGTGTCCGCTGAGTGGGTGGAGCACCCGGGGGAGGAGGTCCATGACCGATGGGAGGCGACTGGTTCGGGAACGGCGAGGTGATGGGAGCCGCCGCCGTTGCAGGCGTAGCGCGACGGGACGTCGGGGGTTTCATGAAGCCCTCAGGCAAGTCATTCCACGCGGGGAGGTTGGTGGCAGTCGTGTATGTGGTGACGGTGGCGGGAGACTGATTGTTAGCGCGGAGGAGGAGGAGGAACACCGCCATACGTCGGTGCGGGAGTAGGCTGGTATCCCGCAGGAGTGTAGCCACCGCCCACCGGCGCATACGGGTTGACCGGCTGAGGTGGTGCTGGTGCGGCCGCGGCAGGAGCAGCAGGAGCGTAGGGGTTAGGAGCCGCAGTAGGAGGAGCATAAGTGTTGGGGGCAGCGGGGGCAGCCGGTGCGAATGTGGACTGCGGCTGGTAAGCACTAGGCTGCGGCATGGGCCTTCCCATGGGTGTCCGGGTCGCCCGGGTCGCAGGGGCAGTGGTCTGCGTTCTCTGAGGGGCAGCTTGTCTCATAGCCAGCTTGATGCGGTTTCTAGCGATCTCGGCCTCAGGGTGCTTCTCAGGCACCAGATCAAGGTACTTCTGCGCGACTTGCAGCCGGCCATGAGTGGCGACAACATCGGCGTACTCGATATACTTATCGTACAGCATACCGAGCTTCCAGTCGGAGTCCTTCGTGTGCTCGGTGTCCTGGAACTTGGAAACTTGGCGGAAGATAGTCACCTTCTCAATCAGGCTTTGAAGAGCATGAACATGGATGGAGAAAGTAGTGTCGTTGGCGCCGGTCTCAATCGCCTTCTGTTCGTTCTCGGCAAGCTCCTCGATCCAGATGGCCACCACCTTTTCGAGCTTCGAACCAGCCAGGAAACAGAAAGATGCGTCCTTGCGTGCAGACTTCTCATCGCTGCTGCGGACCTGCTCCTCCAAGCGGTCACCCAGGGCTTCGCAAAGATCCGCAAACTCCTTCTCTTCGGCGAAGGTGCAGAGCGCTGCCATGACCTCCTTCCAGTTGGACAAGTCAGCATTGTGCACGACATCCCACAGGTTCTTGCCGACGATAGACGCCAACAAACGAACATAGTTGGGGCTGTCAGTTTGCTTGGAGAAATAGTGCTCTTGGGCCTTCTCGATGCACTTCTGACCACCACAGATAGCAATCATGAAAGCGTCCGACATGCGGTCCTCCTTCAGGGCAACATCGAGAGCCTTCTCAAAGTCACCGACCAGCAAAGCCCGCGTGATGCCTTTCTCGGCTTCGGACTCGGATCCGTTGAAGATCTGGAAGGGGTTGTTGGTCTTGGCCCCCTTCGAGGCAGCGAGGTCCGACAAGAAGCTGTCACCCTCAGGGTTGGCGTCGAACATGGACTGCAGGCGCTTGTGCTTCTTTGCTCCCGGCCCGCGGGATTCCTTGGCGGGTTCTCCGTTCACATCCTCATCCTTACCCAGCCCGAGCTTCGCCAACGAGTCCGCTGCCTCGTCAGCCTTGTCCTGGAATCCAAGGTAATCCACAAGGCTCTTGCGGGGGTTCTCGGAGATCAGCGCTTCGATGACCTTCCAATCAGCCTTCTCCTCCTCGGTGGCAGCATTTGTGGCTCTGGTTTCACAGATGCTCCGCAGGTCACCCTCCTTCAGAGCATTCTCAAAGGTCTCGGTGGATTTGCCAACGGCCTCATCGACCTCGAACGGAGTGATCTTAATTGTAGAAGTGCGGCTGCCCTTCTCGGTCAGGCCAACCGAAACAACCCGGCCTCCGAAGCCGAACGTAGCACCGCAAGGTCTCTCAAGCCACTTGGGAGCTTTGGGCAACGAAAAGCTCGACACCTGGGGTTGAGACTGCGCCTTCGCAAAGAAGTCCTCGCCATCAAGAGCCTGGTTCTGATCGGCAATGGCCTTGGCAGTATCAGTGCTAGTGTTCTGAATGGTCTGGATGGAGATTCGGCCGTCGAAGGAGGCAGTGGCGAAGAAGTTGGGATTGTGGGGGTTCCAGCGAGTCTGGAAGGTCCAGTTCGTGACCACGGGGAATTCGCCATAGGCGTAGCCGGTCTGCGGGTTCCAGCATAGCGTGCGGTTGTCTTTGCCGGAGGAAAGTAGGAGATCAGGGTCCTGGGTACACCATGAGAGCGACAAGACGCCAGACTCGTGGCCTCGGAGCGTCTATTGAGCGTTAGTATGGAGATGGTGTAATGGGATATTGCGACCTACTCTTTCCGGAGCATGGGAGTTACGGAGATCCCAAACACAGATCATAGGATCGGACTCCAACGGGGTCGCAGTGACAAGTCGCGTAGGCTATGACAAGTTAGAGGTTACACTATACAGTCACCAAGGCAGCGATCGCACCTTTTCAGGATCCCAGGCCACTGCACTGACAGCCTTCCGGCCAACATTGTTGAGAGTGAGACTCTCCTTCTTCGACTTGACATCCCAGACGGTGACGAAACCCGCATTGCTGCCAGTCACCAGAATATGGGCAACCTTCTTGTTCCAGTCCAAGCATTCGATGTCGTCCGCGCGAGCCGCAGTGCCGAGTCGGTAGGGGTTCGCGACGTTGTTAAGATCGGAGATATAGAGCTGTCCCGCCATTAGTCGAGAACACTCAAGTCATCGCGTTGTGCATAGTTACCTCTCCCTTTGCACCACCAGTGGCCAGCAGGTTCGAATGTTTTGGGTTGAACTGCAGAGCCTTGATAGCCCCTGAATGCTTGGTAGATCTCGAGATCACCGAGTCACTGTACACAGTCAGACCAACAAGCTCCATGTGACCTCCAATTCGACACAGACACGAACCTTGACCCATTGAGTAGCTTGTCCGCATCCCACAAATCCAGGCTTCCGTTCTCGAGGGCACCAGCAATGACTCCGCGCTTGTTATCGTCGGATTCCGTCCACGCAATGTCGTTGAAACTATCGAAGACAACCAGTCAGTATTTGAAATCGGAAGAATGTCTTCATCAACAAGAGGATAAAATTACCCAGAGTCAGTATCAATCTTCGCTGCCGGCTGCAGCTCCCCACTGACATCCTCGCGGCTCAAGCCCAAGTCCCATAACTCGAGACAGGTCTCATTGGAGAAATCAACGTCAACGGCACCCGCGCGGGTACCGGTCGCAATCAATGGGGAGTCCGCACCGGGGGACCAGGCGAACGTGGCCGTCCGGGGAATCTCCCTCAGACGCACCATGTTGGAATTCGACAGGTATATAGATCAGGAGAGGGCCAGACAACAGGCGGGTCGGGGGTCAGCGGTCATCCAAGAAAGAACAAAAGCAGACGAGAAACGCAAGAGAAAAAAGGAATGTAACTGTTCCAGACAAGGCCGCCCCTCGCTAAGAATGGGATACGGAGGGGTGCATGGAAGTTGCCAAGTTACCAGCAGTAGCAACAGCAGCAAAGGCGGGATAGCCAGGCCTCAGGTAATCAACCAGGTGTCCTCCTGGCCCGCTAGCCCGTTTCGGGACGTTCGCCAAAACAGTGACCCGCGGGAGCACGTGATATCAGACTGTCCGCCCGTGCCCCAGAAAGTCTGCGCAGGAGAGATACTCTTCCGGTCGGAGTCCCCAGTCCCTTGTGACGAACGAAATCCCGCCTCGATCGCATGCCGTTCACCCCTAGAGTCCTCCGCTACCGTCTGCCATCATGACCGAACAAGCCCGTTTGAAGTGTACCGTCTATGTGGGGGGTCTCGACCAGTCGGTTACCATGCACACCCTGGCCGAGGCTTTTGTCCCCTTCGGCGAAGTCGTCGATATCACGCTCCCCAAACCCGATGTCCCCAATACGAATGAAGCCCATCGAGGATTCGGATACGTGGAGTTTGACCTACCGGAAGATGCGAAGGAAGCGATCGATAATATGGACGGAAGCGAGCTCTACGGACGGACGATAAAAGTGGCAGCGGCCAAACCACAGAAAGACAGCAACGAAGGCCTCGGAAGCAAAACCGCGATTTGGGAACAGGTGCGCATGCATTCCCTATATACAAGATGTCTAATACTAACTACATCCAGGAGGGATATCTGGCCAAATACGCCGTCAGTGAAGAAGACCGCCTGGCCGCCGATGAGGCGAAGATGGCATCCAATGAACGCCCTAGCGACCCAATGCAAGGCCTGGAAGAGCTAGACGTCGCAGGTCCGAAGCCCGAATGAGCTCTACAAGTGGGAATCGTCTCCCAAAACTACGACCAGACAGGCCAGGCGAACAAGTAATATTGCGATATTACTGCATCAGGACCCCTCTGTTCAAAGCCGTACTATATACACGCGCTCCGACCCCAAGCCTGGAATCATGTTCCGTTGCGAGTCCTAACATTCTCCCGTCACCTCGACTACCTCATGATAATACAGACCGCCGACAAAAAAAGCAGAAAACACACAAAGGATCGCCCATTGCAATTGAATCAAATGTGATGGTACATGTTTCCTTTTAGTGCTCACGGTCCTGAGGCGAGTTACGGGACAGACGCAGGGTCTTGTCGGTCAGGAGCTTGTGGGTGCTAGCGTAGATGGCAGCACCGACGGCGACACTGCGATTGGTTGCGTCAGTGATGGGGATTCTGAGCTGGGGTGGATAGGGTGGGTTTATGTATCATAGAATCTAAAGAAGACCATGAAATGAGAGACATACCCAAGGACCAGACCTGTTGATTTGGTAGAAGACGATTAGAGACTTGTACCTCAATGGCAAAAGGCGTGGGAGCGTAACATACCGAGAGGGATCAACTCCGGAGGGACCTTCTTGATGAGGCGCAGACGCTGAGAGACGGTGTGGGCTGATGCGAGTTAGTTCTCTTCTCTTGAACCATTTCCTTCTCTCCATCTCTCTCCGCAAGGAGACCGTATCGTCACGTACCGCTCTGGGGCTCCTTCTACATGGGAGTTAGTACACAGTCATTTTTTCCGATGTCACGGGAAGGGGAACGCACGGGAGTCGCAAAGGCAAAAGGCCGGGAAGGCTGCATCCGCAGGATACGAGAGGGATACATGGTGAGCGAGCAGGCGTCAACCGGAGTTGGGAACAACGGTGGTGGGATGATGGGAGGACGAAAGGGAAGTGGTGACGACGGAAGCTCAAGGACGGAACGGGTGAGGTTTGAGTGGTGGTGGTCGTGAGTAGTCAGCAGACCGGGCTGTCTTCGGATTGTTTAGGAAATCTTGCCGCATGAGTGGCTCGCTAGACCGCCCGCGGTCTCTCCCGGCAGCGCTGCCTCTCACAGGTCAGGTCATCCACTGGCGCAAACCTCACCCCATCTTCCTCTTCCTCTCTCCAGACCACCTCCCCCTCCTCCGTTCTCCCCACCACGCCTATATCTCCCTAGTTGAGTCTTTCTCTGTCGGGTTCTTTTCTCCACAGTCACAATGGGTGCTATTCCTGAGGCCGATCCCGATGAGCCCGTCGAGACCAAGCCCTTCAAGTTCGTGACAGGTGAGCTCATTCCTGCCCATGTCTCCGCTCAGAGGTCTCGTTTCCAGGCCAATTGCTAATGAATTCGCAGCCGGTATGTCTAGTTGACGCTTTCCATCGATCCGACCGCGTTTTGGCTCTCCACGGATGAGCTTTTCGTCGAGGGGCCCTCTGCAGATAGCTAACCACTTCGGATGCAACCACAGGCTATGACGCCCGCTTCCCCCAGCAGAACCAGTACGCACAACCCTCTGAACGCCCAATGGTTGTTTCCCTCAATCACTAACGTTGTCAACCACAGGACCAAGCACTGCTGGCAGAACTACGTCGACTACCACAAGTGTGTCAACGCCAAGGGCGAGGACTTCCGCCCATGCCGTCAGGTATTCACTCCGCCCTGCTGTGACGGCCCACAAACAACGGACTCGAGCCAAATCGCTAACGCAAACAGTTCTACCTTGCTTTCCGCTCCCTCTGCCCCAAGGCTTGGACTGACCGTTGGGACACCCAACGCGGTACGTATCTCGTGACTCGTCATTTCCAGGATCGAAGCTGACGACCACTCAGAGGCCGGCAACTTCCCCGCTAACCTGGACAAATAAGTGGTCTGCCGTGACGGTTGATTGATATTGGAGCTTTTTGTGTCAACATGTACTTTACTTGATCAAAGCGGGAATACCATCCGCTTCCCGGTCCTTGGGAAGATGGACGTATATAGACTCGCTGTAGTTCAAAATCACGTTACACTTGTGTGGTCGAAGACTTTCATACGAGTAATCTGGCTCTATGTGCCGACATGTCCTGTAGAGTAGGAACAGTGATAAAGCAAGATCTGATGGCAATCGTGTCCAATTCTATTCCAAGCTAAATCTAATCAACCAGTGTCACGACTGCGAAGTCGCTCTCAACACTGAAACAGTCTATGGATAATGGTGTAATGCAAGTTGACAGGTCGGATGGTCAGACCTGCCCATGAAAGGGTATCTCGGTGCTATCCGGCGACAGCACGCGCAGAATTTGAGAGGACAAAAGCCAGAAAGCATCAACCAGAATAGAAAAGCACACACAAAGATATATAGTATGTACAATAAAAGAAAAAACTTTTGTCCTCTCAAATGCTTCGCAAGGCAAAACGAAACCAGCAAATCAAGGAAATTCATATGCATAAGGCATCCAACAAATGAAGAGAGATAGGAGTAAAATAATCTCGGTCTTATGTTGCACCTTAGACGCCCTTCAGCAGGCGATAGAGCTTCTTGTGTTCTTCCAGGAAGATAAACGTAGCGATCGTGTGAGGACCCAACCGGATGAAGCTGGGCACCCAGCCGCGGAAAGCCCAGCCAAAGCCTTCCTTGCGCGAGATGTCGCGTAGCAGGCCCAGAATGCTCTGGCCGCCCTCCGCGGGCGCCGCACTCATCACGCGGGTCTTGATCACATCGACGGGACTGCAGACGGTGGTGGCGACGAATCCCGCCATCAGGGACGCCGTGAAATGCGTCGTCAGGTTGTCGGACATGCCGAGCTTCTCCAGACAGATGCGCTTGAAGGAATCGTAGGACGCCAACTGCGACGCCGTCATCAGGATGGCTCGCGTCGAATTGGGCCACACGCCGCGAAACAGACTCGCCGGACCCTCGGTGCGAGTCATTTGCACCAGGCCGTGGAAGGCGTGTCGGTAGTTGCGGCGTTGCTCCGGCGGGAGCGCGGCATCCGACTGCATGCGCACGTTAAGAACGTCGGCCGGGTTGCCTGCGATACCGCCGATGAAGCCGGAGGTACAGGCCATGCCGACCAAGGTAAGGAGACCAGGGGGCGACGAGGACGACGTGAAGTGGGATTTTAGCTCTTCGTAGATTCCGAATCGCGTTGTCGAATAGGTCAATTGGCGCAAGATTGCGGCCGACAGCTGTAGTTGGAACTCGTGAGCGAAATGTCCGGTGTATGGTCAAATGACGCAACTGCGGCTGGTGCATACCCCGCTGTACAGTCCCAAAACTCCATTATTCTTCAGAATATGGCCGAAAGTCCCTATCATGGTCGTGGGAGCACCGGGCCCACGTGTTTGGAGGCGAACCTAAAATTTTGCACGACGTGATTAGTCTTCGGACGATGACGATGCACCAAACGTTTTCTCGAGGCTTTACCTTGACTAGAGAGAGTCAATGTTAGTCAAGCCATAGTGACAAATTCAAAAAGCTGGACTTACCAAGGTCTAACGGGTGCGTGACGGCCGCCGCAAAGCATGAGGCCGAGCCACCGAACCAGAAAGGATAATGGACTTTTTTCACGGGGGCTGTCGCCGCCCGGGACGGTTGGGACACTTCCAACTGCTTGACGCTGCTTGCCATGTTGAGGTCGACCCGACGAGGCAAGAAGAGCAAAGAGTGGAGAGGATGCGACGGTGGTGGGGGTGTAGTTGGAGGGGAAGATGCACTCCAGCACACAATGATGGTCAGCAAGTTAAGTATGGGACGATAGGAAATTGACGATGCGCGCCGGAGATAAATCAGGTCTCCGAAAACCCTGGTCGCACCCGGCTGGGCCAATCAGCGGCTCGGGTTTGGGCGGGTAAGCGGATATCTTCGGTAAAATGGGTCTCTGGCGCTTCATCATAGCCGCTGCCCTCATCGGCCTCTATCTTCGGGCATTGAATTGTGGCCGATGAGGAGAGGAGAGGAGAGGAGTATTTGGAGGTTGTCCTAAGTATACGTAGGATTGGAGGTCTTCTGGCAGGGTCTGACAGGATGGTCATGTCTCGGGTAGGGTAGAAGTAGAGAGAGCATCTTGTTGCCGGAGTATGAGCATACAAAGTATACAGAGTATGATCTACATTTTTCTTAGATCACAATCATGATCCCGATTGACATAACACGAGGGATGTGTGTTGTTCTGAACACTCCTAACCAGGTACCGTCGAGATACTTCATACCTGTACTATGATGTCATGGGCTAGACATACCATCTACTCCTGCGGATTCACAAAGACCTTCTTCCCGCTAACCTTTCCATCGTACAGCAAGTCCAAAGCCTCCTGCACGGACTCGAGTCCCCCAGGAACATGCAAGGCAGGGTTAGAGCGTATAATTCCATTGTGCAATCCCGTAGGCAGATACTCTTCCAGATACCACTTCCTGGCATTTCGGTTCTGCGGATCAGACACTAATACCTCAGAGTATCCAAACCACTTCTTCTCCACGTTCTTTGGCAACTGGTCATCCACGGGAGTAGGACTCGTCGAAAAGAACAGCCCTCCACTTTTTGCAAGCAGCTGTCCCATGAGTTCAGTCACCTCAGGGGCACCGATGGCATCAAAGATCCCCGCGTAAGGCTCGTGAGCGTGGATGTCTGCGAGGAGTTTGTCTCTCGGTTGGGTATGGTCAATAATATAGGACGGCCCTCGCGCTTGAACCATCTCCTGGTTATGGGGAGACGACGTAGTGACCACGTCGTAGCCAGCATCGGAAGCGTACTGCACTGCAAGACTACCGACTGATGATGATCCACCGTAGATGAAGATGCGTTGACCGTTACGCTTCGCCTTCTCCGTCACCGGAGGAAACTCCAGTCCCATACAGATGGACAGTGCGGCCACCACCGTCGAGAGGTTGGCGATGACTCCGGCTGCCGTATGGAGCGAAACGTGCGGTTCGAGCTTGATCAAATTCTGCTCCAGCGCCAGAGGATATTTCTGAAAAGCACCGAACTTGTTCTCGCTTCCTGTCCATCCCCAGCGCGCAACAGCGACTCGATCCCCCGGCTGCACAGATGTCACCTCTGGGCCAACTTGGAGCACTGTGCCGCCGAAGGTGAAGCCAGTGATAGCCGGATAGGTGCTCTTGAACATGTCCCATCTAGATGCGTTAGTAAGTCTGATGGACAAGTACTCGTTTAGCGGTGTCGAGTAGATCTTACTTTTGAATCTTAGCTTCGATGGGATTGAAGCTGATGGCTTCGTTCCGTACCAAGACTTCTCCAGGACCTGGAACCCAGGTCTCTACCGGCTCAACGACGACCGGGCCGTGCGGCTCCTTTATGATAGCTGCTCTGTTTTGTTCCATCATTTTCTTGGATTGATTCCTTGATTGGTTCCTTCCGAGGGAGCCGACGATGGTTGGGGAATAGGTATATATAGATGACATAAGCAGTGTATGCATCAGTCGATATATATTCACATAGACTCGAATCTATCACTTGATCAGTAAATTCCCGGATAGCTTAGCGATCTACTGACTCGTTCAAGCTGCGATCAACATATCATGTTGCAAGGACAGCATGATTCGCGGACCATAACGCTGAATATATATCCCGTACTATGTTAACACAAGCGGATATATAACAACATGGCGATGCAATCACACCCAATTGATACTAGATTGGCTTCTAAGCCTGATCAGTATTAATGTATATACTTACATATACAGGATCCGAGTTTTAGGGAACTCATGGTAGAATCATGCCATCCAAGTATACCGGCAACACATTTCGCCGAGCCGAGAGATTTCCTTGCCTTATCCCGACAGCTCCTCAACCATCAACTACACTCAATCGCAACCACCATGCGTCTTCTCGCCACCGGGCGAGCCCTGCGCACCACCAGCACTAGGTGGTCCATCATATCCACCGGCCGGAGCATCCGCCTTCCGCTCTCGCATCCCACAGCGCGTCCCCTCCGTCGGGACTGGAGCTCAACCGCCATCCGGCGGACGCAGGACGACCATGGCGACAAAGCAAAGCCCGGCGCTACACGCCCGCACGCAAAGTCCTCCCTGACCATCGAAGGCGAAACCTACCGCACGGACGACTGGACCAACACGCCGGACACCATCCTCTCGCACGTCGGACGCCGTCTCTACCTGGAGGAGAACCACCCGCTCGCCATCACGCGCAAGCTGATCGAGAGCACGTTCCCAGGCCCGGTCTACGGCAACTACACCGAGCCGAACCCGGTCGTCTCGACGGCGAACAACTTTGACGTGCTGGGCTTCCCGGCCGACCACCCGGGCCGCAGCCGCACCGACACCTACTACATCAACGACAAGACCGTCCTGCGCACCCACACCAGCGCCCACCAGCAGGCCTACTTCCAGCAGCTCAACCGCAACGAGGCGACCCGCCCGCACGAGGTCGGCTACACCGTCGTCGCCGACGTCTACCGCCGCGACGCCATCGACCGCAGCCACTACCCCGTCTTCCACCAGATGGAGGGCGCCATGCTGTGGAAGCGTCCGGAGACCAACCCACTCGCCCACGCCGCCGCCACCGCCGCCGCCATTCGTCGCGACGTCGCCAAAATCCCCGCCCACGACGTCCCCGTCGACGACCCCAACCCCACCGTCCACCCGGACCGCAACCCGCTGCAGAGCGCGCACCACAGCCACGAGGAGGTCGAGGCCGTCGCGGCGCACCTCAAGCGCTCGCTCGAGCGCATGGTCATCAAGATCTTCACCGAGGGGAGCAAGGCCGCCGCCGCCGCCGCCGGCACCCCGGACGCCGCTCCCACAGAACCGCTCAAGGTGCGCTGGGTGGAGGCGTACTTCCCCTTCACGAGTCCCTCGTGGGAGCTGGAGGTGTTCTGGCAGGGCGACTGGCTGGAGGTGCTGGGGTGCGGGGTCATCAAGCAGGAGCTGCTGATCAACTCGGACGTGCCGCACCGCATCGGGTGGGCGTTCGGCATCGGCCTCGAGCGCATCGCCATGCTGCTCTTCAACATCCCGGACATCCGGCTGTTCTGGTCGCGCGACGAGCGCTTCCTGTCGCAGTTCCAGGCCGGCCGCATCTCCCGCTTCGAGCCGTTCTCCAAGCACCCGGCCTGCTACAAGGACGTCGCCTTCTGGCTGCCATCCGCGGCGGCCAGCGGGGGGAGTGCGGCCGGCGGGGCGCGCCCGGTGCACGAGAACGATATTATGGAGATTGTGCGTGGGGTGGCGGGCGACCTCGTCGAGGATGTGCAGCTCATCGATGAGTTCACGCACCCGAAGACCAGCCGCAAGAGCATGTGCTACCGCATCAACTACCGCAGTCTGGAGCGCACGTTGACCAACGAGGAGGCCAACGAGCTGCATGACCAGGTGCGGGAGAAGCTGGTCGGGTTACTGGGCGTGGAGCTACGGTAGACGCGAATATATTCATTGACATGTATATTATTATGTGATGGACCTGTAAAAATATAGCACCAAGAAAGCAACATCTCTAGCCAGTCTATAATCTACAATCTATAATACCACGAACTACGCCTTGCAAGACGCCGACGACTTGCACATGCGCCCCGACTCCGCCACGGACCAATACTCACTCCCGACGCCCTTGAACACGTAGAAGAAATGGTCGGGATCCCACTTCTCCTTGACGCGGAGCAGCTTGTCGTAGTTCTCGCCGAAGAAGGTCTCCTGCCAGTTGGGCTGGCGGAAGTTGGCCTCGTTCTGGTACGCGCCGGAACCCGGCGTGACGGCCTCGAGGGCGGGGACGTAGTCGTCCGTGATGGCCCACTGGTCGGCGACCATGTCGGACCAGGGGGCGGTCTCGTTCCAGAAGGAGCCGATCTGCATGGTGACGGCGGCGTTGCGGAGGGGCGCAAAGACGGCGTTGGGGACGTCATTGGCGGCGGAGACGTTCATGCCGACGCCGACGGCGATGAGGCCGGCGTCGGTGATGTGGCGCAGGGCGGCGGCGAGGCCGGCCGCGTTGGCGTCGAGGGTGGCGCGCGGGAGCAGGCGGCCGCCGTAGTTGAACTGGGCTGACCTCGAGGTTACTCGTAGGGCAGCGGGCTCATGTACTTTCTCGTAGTGGCCGTAGTAGAGGCGGAGGCGGGAGTACGGCGACGGAGTAGGGGATGGCGAAGTTCGGCCAAGGGCGCGCAGGAAAGGCCGCAGATGGTCTTGACGTCCGTCGTGGACTTGTTGTAGGCCGTCAGCCGGTTGATGATGAAGGCGGAAGGCGGTCATCTGGTAGATGACGGTGGTGCCGGCGTCGACCATGGCCGGGAGGAGGGTGTGGAAGCGCGCGACGGCGTCGAAGAAGACGTCGGTGGTGATGTTGGCGGTGGTGAAGCGCAGCGCGGCGCCGGCGACGGGGGCGTCCGGGTGGGCTTTGACGGTGACGGAGGTCACGACGCCGTAGTTGCCGGCACCGCCGCCGCTCAGCGCCCAGTAGAGATCGGTGTTCTCGGTGCGCGAGGCCGTGACGACGGCGCCGGCGGCCGTGACCACCTCGAAGGAGAGCGTCTGGTCGGCGCCCAGGCCAAAGGCGGTGCTCAGCGCCGAGTGGCCGCCGCCCTGCGTGTATCCGCCGGCCAGACCGACGGTGGGACACTCGCCGCCCACAAGCACATGGCCGGTGCCCTGGAGAGCGTCCAGCACCTGGTAGCCCATGACACCGCTGCCGAGCTTGTAGGCCGGGCCGGAGTAGGTGGCATCGGACCAGTCCTGGTATTCGACCGCGTTCAGGTTGTGCGTCCAGACGGACAGCGCGCCGGCACCGGTCGAGCGGCCCATGTAACTGGGTGCGAGTCAGCGTGGTGCGGGAGAAGCGAGCGGACGGATGGACTTACTCATGGCCGGTGTTGCGGATGACGAAACGGAGGTTGTTGGATTTGGCGAACTTGATGGCGGCCACGACGTCGTCCGTCGAGCGGACGTCCACGGCGTAGCTCACATAGTTGCCCAGCCGGCATGGGCTGGACTGGGAGGTGAAGGGATCGCAGCTCTGGTTGGCCCAGTAGCTCTGCATCACCGAGGAGGACGAGACGAAGCTGGGGGAAGCATTAGCGTTGATACAGTACTCCTTAAGAACAGAAGGTAACATACTGAGTCTGCGGCAAGTACCAGTCGTTCTGCAGGGACTTGCAGGCGGCCTCATCGTAGGTGGGATCATGGCAAGGGGTGCCAATGGGCACGGTGGCCACCAGGCGACCGCCGACGGTGGTGTTGAGGGCGTTCCAGCGGGCGGAAGACGGCCAGCACGCATCCCCGGGGAGACAGTGGCAGGTAGTGGACAGTGCGCCCAGCGGGAGAGCGGCGACGGTGGCCGCAATGGCCCAGGAAGCCTTCATGTCGGGGAAGTGGACAGTGCTGATAGACAACAGACGACAGACAGACAGACAGACAGACAGACAACGGCCCTTGATCAAGGAACGAAGATCTTGACCGGATTCGGGGTCTCTACCAGAATGCGCAAAAATCAGACCCAGGAGACGCTCCCAAACTGCTCTTATACCAAAAATTTCCAATATCAATGAGACATGCTGGGGCCAACAAGTCACTAGTCGTCGTGATGCGACTCAGGAAACACAACCAGAATCAGATGGTGTCCGACGATAGACTGAGTCGACAGGGAAGAAAAAAGCGATACTAAGCTGGTATCAGCAAGAATGCCTGGTTAAGACGCCTCTATCGACCGCCCATGTGGCGTCCTGCGTCGGACAACATTCCCAAAGCACGCCTAGTCCGGCCGTGCCTGACGCCAACCCACGTTCGTCCGGCAGGCTTCCGACGCCATCGCGATCACACAACGTGGCCGTGGAGCTGGGCCATCGGCCTGATTGGCAGCGAGCAGCAGAACCCACCGTTTGCAGCAGTGCAGAGCCGAGTGTCCGGAAGCTATTGGAGTTATTGCTCAGGAGCCATGGTTCAGCAGGGCCATGTTTCAGCCGGCACGTCCGATTATTAGGGCTCATCTCCGTCCCAAAATTGGTGCGTTCGACTGATCCACGGATGCCGACGGAGATCGGATCTTAGGGCAGAAGCCAGGAGATCGTCGCATATCACTCCCCGCTGAGTCGTGATCGTCGATATGAACAAGATGGAGGGCTGAAGTCTGATTCAGGTCGCAATTGAGACCGTCACCACACTCGATTTGACTCCTTTTTCGCTCGTGTTGGTGGAGTCCGAGGGCTGCAGGATCCAGATCAGGATCCAGCACCGGATCTGGATCACTGGCCCAGATTCTCTGACGAAGACCCGGCCAGCGGTGGACGACAGCCTCCAATCTCTTTGACTTTCCTCTAGTGCCAGACCCATGCCATGGGTCTGGCGAACTAGGCGTCTGGAACCCTGGTTGCCACAGCCCAGCGTTATACACTCTCCTCCGGCAGGATCGTACATAACCCCCAACCGGTTCGCGAGCACACAACTCGCCCAGCGTCATGGCAATGCTTGTCTGCGCCTTACGATGGCCTCAACTGCAACGACGTCCAACGACGGCCCGGCCCTCGAAAAGGGCATGTGGACGGCCGTCGCCATCGCCACATTGATTCTCATTCTGCGCGTCATCGCAAAGATCAAGATCCACCACTTCCGCTTCGATGATGTCCTGATGATCGTGGCCTGGGTAACCCTCCCCCCTCTCCCCCCCCCAGACGCTACAGAGGGCGCCCATACTGACCTCGGACGCACAGGCGTTGACCCTCACGTCGACAGTCTTCCTGACCTTGTCGGTCAAAGACGGCTTCGGCTCGGACCTGCGCGCCCTGCCCGCCATCAACCAGCAGCACGTCCTCAAATACATCGCCATCCAGGTGCCCCTCGTCACCATCAGCACCGGGCTCGCCCGCGCCTCCTTCGCCCTCTACCTGCTCGGCATCCTCGGCGGCAAGAAGTCCTTCCGCATCGCTCTGTGGGTGGCCCTGGCCCTGCAGCTCGCCGCCAACATCGTCTCCGCCGTGCTCCCGCTCAGCATCTGCCGCGATGCCCGCGTGCTCTGGAACGCGAACATCAAGACCACCTGTGGCAACGTCGTGGCCGTCGTGCGCTTCTCCTATTTCTCCTCTTGTGGGTTGCTCGATTCTCGAGGCATGCAACTGCAGCCGCTAACAAACCCACAGCGGTGAACACAGCCACCGATCTGTTCCTAGCGGTGTTTCCCACCGTCGTGTTCTGGAACCTGAACCTCCGGCTCCGCATCAAGATCAGTCTGATCGTCCTGCTCAGTCTCGGGTATCGTGTACGTGCATCCATGCCGCCCCATCCCCTTTGATGCTGTCCCGACTGACATTATGCAGAGCGATGGTCGCCTCCATCATCAAAACCACCAAGCTCGACCACGTCCCCAGCGTCACGAACATCGGCGCCGGCGGCGTCGAGCTGATCCGCTGGGGCTACGCCGAGAACCTGATCATCATCATCACCTCGTCCGTGCCGTCCATCCGGCCGCTGCTGATCTCGTCCGTGCGCAAGCTCTCCAGTGCCACCAAGTCGCGGTCGTACGAGCTCTCCGGGCCGTTTTCGAAGAATCGGGGCACGTCCAAGAATACCACTCTTGCCGAGCAGAACCAGCAGCATACGTCTAATAACCGGGATGATTGCGATAGTATTGAGCAGATTCTGAAGGATTCACAGCGCCCGTCATACGGACCGGCGTATAGTGTGGAATCGGGCCACGGGATTAAGAAGCAGGTGGATATTTCCGTGGTGTCGGATCGAAATTCCTTGTGGGGTTGAGCATGGCATTGTGCTGGGTATGCCACCTAGACATATCGAGTTAATCATGAATGTATACACCAGAAAAATCCTTCAGTACATCCTAGGACTGCACGTACAGGCAACCGCCAGTAGTCATTTATTATCTAGCGATACCCTGCTGCCGACCCAACCGGCCAACCAACCGGCCATAGCAATGCAAAGACAAAGTCATGTTCCAGATGCCATGCAAGAAACCCACAGCCATGCCAAATCCAATCCAGAGGACATCTCACTTTTGAAACCACAAGAAAGAGATCAGAACAGTCCGGGTCATCGCATATAATACAGATATGAGGAGAGAGGGTGCAAAACGCCAGAAAAGCAGGAACCGTACGACAGGAGACGACCCGTACGCCTCCAATCGGACGAAGGTGTATCATACACATGCATTCATAGAAACAAGAAGCAATGGGGATCACGTCCCCGAACACGACCTGTCAAAGATCGTGTCTCCGACAAAGGGAAGAAGTGGTATATTATACAGATAGAAGAGTAGATGAGGAGCGGATGCGAAGTCGAGGATGAGGTGAGAAAATTAGTCGTTCTTGACAACGCCGACCTTGGCAGCCTAACACACTTGTTAGTGATGACACCGAAAGGGAGTAAAAGTTGATGCTTACCCTCAATACACGGCCGTTCAGAGTGAAACCCTTGCTCTGAACGTACATAATGTCGCCGTTCTCCTTGCCATCCACCTTGGCCATGAAGGTAGCCTCGTGACGGTTGGGGTCGAACTTCTGGGCCTTGCCATCCTCGGCCGGCTCGCTGGGGTCGAACCGCTCGAGGCCATGCTTCTTCAGGGCGTTCATCATGATGTTCTGGGTCATCTTGACACCCTCGACGAAGTTCTGCAGATCCTTGTGCTCGGGGGAATCGGAGGACAGCTTGTCCTCGGGCACGGCCAGCAGGGCACGGTCGAAGTTGTCGACACTCTCGAGCAGGTCGACCGCGAAGCGCTGGATGGCAAAGTTGCGAGCGTTCTCCATCTCGCGCTTGGTGCGCTCCTGGAGGTTGAGGAAGTCGGCCACGGAGCGAACGTACTTGTCCTGTTGCGGGTTAATAGACCATCACACGGGTAGCTGCGATCGCCGAGATGGAATTACCTTCAGGTCAACGACCTCCTTCTTCTTCTCCTCCAGCTCCTTCTGGCAGGGATCCTCGGCTTCCTTGGCCTCTTCCGCGCCGTTCTCCTTCTTCTCGCCCTCGGCGGCTTGGTTCTCGGTGGAGTAGCTGCGGAAGGCAGCCCGGGGGACCAGAGGACGGAACTGGGTGAGCTGGGGCTGCCATTGTGATGTGCGACGGACGGCCAACGGGGCGGTAGAGGTCGAGCGAACGGAAAGGAGAGAGCGGGCGGCCTGGGCCTGTCTAAGGATGGATCTTTGGAACATTCTGATGGATGGGAGGAAGCAGGACAGCGACAATGGCAGTGAAGGAGGAGATGACTGGGGATGCTGAGCAAAGAGGCTGCGGTGACATCGTTAAGAAAACAGAACTTTCTTTGCTCCTCACCTGACTGACCGCCTTCGGGCCAACGACGGCCCGGTATCGGAGATGAGGTACGGGTACGGTCTGGGTACGGTATTTTTATACGGCTCAGAGGACGTCATTACGTCATCACGCACGCCCTCAACACAAACCGATTGTCGTATACAACTCATGCCGGGGCATCTCAATTGCTTCAGAACACGCATTTTCTGGATCGTACTCTGTACGTCGGCAGTCACGGAGAGTCCCGATGCGACTATCCATACCCCATATAGTAATTCCCATGTAGGGGCCCACTGCACCCACTTCGTTTAACCCCCTCATCTCCCCAGCTTTATCCCATAGAACCCCGTGTCAGTGCCCGAGATCCTTTGCACTCCTGCACTTGCACAGATACTACGCCTCTAAATTCAGAACGAAGTCTAACCGTCACAATGCCCCTGAGCTACGACCCGGCGTTCTCGGCTGCTGCAGCCCCCATCCTAGCCGCCATAGCAGCGTCTCCCCTGCCTGCTGTGCACGATGTCAAGGCCCGCCGGGTGGGCATCACCGCCCTCTACGCCGCGATGTTTGCAAAACTTCCCGACGCACCGGACGTGGAACAGACCATCCACCAGATCCGCTCGTACGACGGCGCCACCATCTCCGTGTACCGCTTTGCCCCCAAGCAGCGCTCATCGTCGCCGGGTCCTGCGATCCTGCACTCGCACGGGGGCGGCACGATCCAAGGCCACGTCGAGCTGTTCACGCGGATGCTCCGGCTGCAGGTGCAACAGACCGGGGTGCAGGTGTTCTCGGTTGACTACCGCTTGGCGCCGGAACACCCGCACCCGACGCCCTCGGAGGACTGCTACGCCGGACTGACCTGGCTCCACCAGCACGCGGACGAGTTTGGGGTGGACCGCAGTCGCATTGCCACGATGGGAGAGAGTGCCGGCGGACTACTGGCGGCGGCGCTGGCGTTGATGGCCCGTGACCGTGGTTTGTCACCGCCGCTGGCCAAACAGATCCTCATCTACCCCATGCTGGACGATCGGAACACCACGCCGATCGCGGCGCTGGAGCCGCTCGCACTCTGGCGGAATGACGATAACATCACCGCCTGGACCGCCCTGTTGGGACAGGACATTGGCACGGATCGGGCGTCGCCGTATGCTGCGCCGGCGCGCGCGAGCAAGATGGAGGGTCTCCCGCCTACGTATATCGATGTGGGCGAGCTGGACATCTTCCGCGACGAAGACATCGCCTATGCGGGTCGCATCGCGGCTGCGAACATCAGCGTAGAGCTGCATGTGTATCCGGGGCTGCCTCATGCGTTTGAAGTGTATGCGCCGGACGCGGAGCCCACGAAGCGAGCGGTCGCGGACCGCCACCGGGCGATTTCAACCTTGTAAGTTGGGTTGCCTAGATAGAATAGAGGCTGCAATGTTAGGATCGGTCGATATGACAAGGCGCGGCTCGTAGACCCGATTGTTTGTTAGTGCCAACGGAAGTCCGGGGTGGCTATGCATGAACGCCAAAGGATGACCTAGCTCAGGCTAAGCCCGGAACCTCTGCCAAGACGCGAACAGGCAGGCAAATTCTCAGTAGTCATTGGGGTGTTTAGGGAGTCAACATGCAGAGTACCCTGTATATGGAGATGTGTGCTCTCGTATGAAGGATGAGGCTGTTGCGCCTTGCGATGGACGGGTGGTTGGACCAGCCACCACATCAGGAACAAGTCGAATAATCAAATGTATGATGCACTACACCGCAATTGGTACTGCGAAGATAGAGAAGTCATGAAACTGACACTTGGCTGACCTCAGCGATCATGTGCACTCCGTCGTCTTGTTGAGGGTCCGTTGACCGTCATCTTGGGACGACTCCAGAGGCTTAGAGCGGGTCAGCTCCAAAGTAGACTTTGTTATTGCGCGTGCCTAGCAGAGACCAGCCTCCAGCATGCTCAATATGGAGCGACAAGACAATGGTGTCTGCAGGAGCGGACCGCGTGTATATGAAGCCTCCACTCTCGGGGCGGAGCTACGACGGAGTGCGGAGAAGCCTCCGACCATGGAACGGAATAGGTAAGGTAGGACAGTGGAGGATTCATGTCAGTCTAGACAGAGTAGACAGAGTATGTCTGGTGTCGATCGCGGGTCGCTCTGCATACTGCAGTCTGCAGAGCCTGTCAAAATAATAGCAAATGGGCGATAGTCAAAGAACCCCTGAACCAGATGAAGGCAGTGTGGCGACAAAGCTGCATCAGCCACAAATCGCCCGGAATGGCCGTGGCAACGCATGCAATAATGGACTCTGGAGGCAGTGTCGGCGGAGAAGGCCGCGCAAAGGAGGCGCAGCAGACGAGAACGGCAGAGAATGTTCGAGACAGCGCAGTATTTAAGAGGCCGGTCGTGATCATTCCATTCTCTCCAGACAAGGATCAAACAGAACAAGAACAAGAGAAAGACCATAAAGAAGAAAGAAGAAAGACTGAAGATACTGTGGTGGTGTTTATCAACTGTCTTATTAAGCCCTCCCACCGCAACTTCTCCTGACCATCTTCAACTTCACCTTCACCACTTCAACCTCAACCTCAACTCCCTTCAACCACTTCCACTTCATCCACCACAATGACCTGCTCATCACCCCCCGAATCCTTCCCTTCATCTCCCTCCTTCAGCGCCCACCGCGCCTCCCGTTCATCTTCAACCTCCTCCAACCGCCCGACTCTCTCGCTGGATCTCTCCAACCTCCCCGCGCTCTCCCAGCCAACGCCACCCTCCAACACCCTCCTCATCACCGACCTGCACGACCCGCGCATCTTCCAGACTTCCTCACTGGCCACCATCCGCTCGCATCTGGAGTCCATCGCCCCGCTCAACTCCTTCTCGCCGCTCCCGTCCTTCCGCCGCATCGTCTGCTCGTTCCGCACCGAGGCCGACGCCGTCCGCGTCCGCAAGCTCCTCGACGAAGAGGCCCTCCTCTCCACCCACATCCGCCCCAAGACCTACTTCGGCGAGCCCACGCCCCTCCTCGACGAGCGCCCCAAGCTCCTCGAGGCCCCCCAGGTCGACAAGCTGTTCTTCATCTCGCCGCCGCCCAGCCCGCCCCACGGCTGGGTCCTGCGCCCGGAGGATCCCCCCAACAAGGAAGTCCACGCCAGTGACCTCGCCCAGGCCCTCGCCAAGTTGAAGACGGAGCAGTCCGCTGCGGGTGGCGTGGCGAGCGCAGGCGACGACCCCGCTACTCCCATGTCGCTCTCGTCGGACCAGCGCACCGCGAGCTGGCCCGCCGGTGCCTCCCGCCAGCGCAGTCGCAGCAGTACCCTCATCTACCACCCCGACGACCACGGCGGAAGCCCGAACCTCCCCGCGGTCATGGTCGAGGATACCAGTGCTGATGTTGAAGATGAGGACGGCGATGTCGAGATGAGCCCGATCGAGATGTCTGTCACCAAGACGCCGCCCAAGACTGCGCGGCCGCCGGTCGAGCTCATGGTGTGAGCGGTTTCGGGAGGAGGCTTTCTGTTTCGATACGCTTTGTTGTTCTTAGCGGGTGCATTGTATCTACATGCTTGCATCGTACGTCTCTGCATGGTGTTCTGTTGGTGGGATCGTTTGGCGTTATGGGAAGCGTTGGGATTGTCTAGATTGTTATTTTCATTGTGTACTATCAGACCAGGTGGCCGTACAAAATGCATTACCTAATATGAAAGTCTACGACTCCTTCAGTAGCTGATAATCAATCAAAGAGCACCACCGCGCTGTTCTCGAACACGTCCGGGCCCAGCACTGCCGCCAGCTCTGCGATAATCCCCTTGACAGACTGCGGGTTGTCCAGCGGCATTCGTTCCCACCCGACCAGATCCTGTAAGCGTTAGTCATTTGCGTTCCAGCAGAATGCCATCCACGTACAATCATATGGACAAACGATCCGTGCACCACGAGCAGCCAATGGTCCAGATCCAGCGCTTTGACCTCCTCCAGCGTCATGACCCCGGGCATGTGCACGTCAAACAGCGACAGCTCTTCGTCGTTGATCTCGGCGTCGGCCTCGGGCGTGTCGTCGGGCGATTCAGTGCCTTCGGCGATGCGTCGGTCCCGCGACAGCGAGACGTACGACCGCTGGTCGAGCTTTGCGGACAGCTCGCCGTCGAGGGGATCCCACGTGTAGCTCTCGGGGTCTGTGGCTGTCAGTATTGTGTCTTGGGAATATACAGAGGGCAGGGTCATACCGAGGATATGCTGCGGTTTAAAGTTCGCTTTGTAGCGCATCTTCTGACACGAGTGGATGTAGTAGCCTGCCAGAGTTAGAGGCGCTCCCCGTGCACGCTCACTCCACATACCCATGTAGTAGTACTGGTAGTCGCCCTCGATCGCCAGGGCAATCTCGCGCATCGCGCTCAGCTTCCCAAACTCCCACTCCTCATACGCTGGATCGTAGCTGGCGATGTCAGTGGAGCTCTCTTTCCTGGCGGACGCCTGGCGCGCAGGGTACTTACAAGATGTAGACCGAGCTCACACCGCTGGGCATCAGATCGAGCACCGCAACGGCGATCAGCTTCCCATCCAGCCGGTAGCACTGGTGCCAGGAGCCGAGTTTCTTCTCGTCCGACTTGGGGTCCACGGGGGAGCGTTTCAGCCCGGAGCACAGGAAGCGCTTGAAGTCCTTGCTCTGCCACTTGGAGACGTCCTCCTTGTGGACGGTGGTCTGGTACTTGCGGAAGAGCTCGAACCTGGCTGATCAGACCTACATCCGAGGTTGGATATGGAGAACAAGGGTCATACTTGGCTTCAGAGATGGAGTCGCCTTCGAGGTTGACCTCGAAGCGATGGGCCGGCTCCAAATACTTTTTAGTTTTGGGGTCGATGGGCCGCTTGACGCGGGAGTATTCGGCCTCGTGAACCGCGGAGAGCAGGTCAAAGTGGCACTTGCGGCGTTTCTTTTCCCTGTCAGGGGTCAGTTCGGAGCGTCCATGGACGATGGACGACGGGAAGACGCACTCGCGGGTCTGTGGACAGAGATACGCGGCCCGACGCATGTATTCCGGACCGAGGACGAACTTGGTCCAGCGGTTAATGGCCTTTCGTTGGTCTTTTCGCGGGCGAAACGCCGACGCGTCGAGCCTGGGAGGTTAGTGATGGACATGGACATGGACGGAACAGTCGATCTGTACCTCATGGTGTAGTGCGGGCAACATGATCGCTGCGGGTTGGGTTTGTAGTAGAGAGTACCGGATCTAAGTGGTCAGAAGATGCCTCCATATGCATCGGGAGATCAATCCAGACGAAAGTACCTTCTCCAGCCGCGGTTGACGAGCTGTTCGTAGTGCGCCGGTCTGACCGAGACGGAACTGGTGTAGTAAGATGCGCCTGGCCCGTCAGTCACTCAGTCGCTGCAGAGACAAGTGGGGACCAAGGACCACGAACTTCCGTTGTCGGACTTGCAGTAACCGCAGGAATTGCGCTGATAGCCTGGACGAGGCGTTAGTCAGGACGAGGCAGACGGCCGTCGGCCAATGACGCTAGCACGGGGAAAGGCGTGTCGCCGTGAGTGGTGGTGTCTTACCCAGAGGGCGAAAGAGCGACAGATTCCTGGCCCGTTCAGCGTCGACAATCGGCTCCATCGTGGACGAGGCGATGGAGAAGAGAAGAAAAGAGAGAAAAGGGTGGCGCTCCAGGCGGAAGGGCGAAAATAATAAGTGTTGTTGAGCGAGGGAAAAGATGACGATGCGGATGCAGACTGCGGGGAGCTTCACGGCAGAACATCACCGCCAGAACATTCTATACAACAGTACAATAGGTAGGTAGGTACCTAGGTTGATACCTACTATATGATAGTTATAGTTATCAATCTCAATAGCCAGAGGGTATCTAATTGATATAGACGTTAATTGACTACCAGGTATTATTACAAAATTTCTACGAAGGAATTCTAGAAACATCATCCTTGTCTATAGACCATCCACTATCAAACGATCAACTAGACTACCTTTTATCCTACAGTGTAGACTCCAAACAACAGATACCCAAATTGTGTCAAACAGCCGACAGACTTCCGCATCGATGGAGGTACGTACAGACCGACGGGATAGCTCTAAATCCACTCCAGAGAGCCCGTGGTAATTCCATGACGATACATCACCCGTAACAAGTGGGAGTACTTCGGAAGGGCTCTCGAAACGGGAAGTTGGCCAAGTGTCAATCCTCATTATGAAGGCCATGGAATGTGGCCATTATTAGAAAGACATCTTTCTCTCTTTCCGTCGATATCCTCTCGAGTCTGTAATTACTCGTTGATCCGGCCCTAATCACGTGTTTGGCCAACGTTTTGTGTAGATCTCCAGGACGGAGTATGTGCGACAATTCTTATTGCAACGAGCTGATCGTATGTGTTGTCATCCATTGATCCCTTGATCCAGATCATCCATGGATCATCATCATCGTTGTCCCTCTGTTCGAAACGTGACTCAACGCTCACGATGAATGCAAGACTGATCGGAATGCAGCCCCGCATTCGGTTGAATCAACCTTTCCACCGACGTATGTACGATGACCGCACCCCCCTCCACGCCCATTGCTCGGGGCTAATGTATGCAGACTATGCTTTCTGCATTGCATGGTACCCAATCCGTAGCTTGTCTGGCGGCCGAGAAGGATTGGCGATGGGCCAGGGGGAGGACGGGGTCCGCCTGGGACCAAGCCAAGAGCGAGAGCGTCACACGTAGGTCTACTACTAACGCCTCGCCCTGCATATCCCGTTGCACCGTCGTCAGGGTGTGCGACGAGCCGCCACTGTCATTGCTCCAAGCCGACAGCGAGAGACAGCACGCGATGTCCGTGATCGATTCCCAAGGCGATCTGGGCGTCTTCTTCATTGATTGATTGATTGACCGGACTCGTGGCGAGGTCCACCGCGTGGATCGTCCGACCCAACCATCGGGCGAACAATAATACTCGCAGCTATGATTAGTATTGTGCTGTGCTGAACGGAAGAGGCTAGGGTTCCATCCGGTGCACCGCCCTTTTACCACGTCGGTGACTGTGGATCGACCCATGGAGCTGCACGATGATGGTTTGTGGGTGACGAGTTACAACGCGAACAACCCGAAGGTTGAACTTATTTCCCTGGCGCTCTGTACCGAGTACAGTCAGCAGGAAGAGCTTGGTGCATTGCCATCGATCAGCATTCAGGCATGACCGTGCGCTTGTGGCGGCAGATGTCGGTTGTTTGCCATGGGGTTAATTTATTTGATCTTTGTCTTTGATGAAGGACTTTTGCCGACACGCGTACGAGACGGAGGAGGAGTGTAACTGAGCGATGTCCTCGGAGTAGGGTTGGTCTGTAAGATCGATATCATCTGCTCTGTATAGAAGACACAGTAGGTAGCCTACCAGTATGGGTGACGCATCGTATAGGACTTTAAATACCCTAAGAACGGATCAGAATTCCATAAGAATAGAATAAGGAGTTATGACTGCACATAGACTCAATAGCCACCATATGGATCATAAAATGGGATGGGGATGAAGAGGTACCTGGAAGTACCTCGCATCGCAGCGTACGGAAAGGCCGGCGGACGTTACGGTACGGTACTCCCGCATCGAACCTCCAAGCTGTCGCCTCCCCCTCCGTTCCTCCCACTTCTTCTCCATCCTTCTTTTTCTTCCGCCCCCCTTTATTTTCGCTCTGCTATCCTCTCTCCATTATTATGATGTCCGCTTCTATCCTCGCCTCGCCTTCGACGTTCCCGTCCGCCGCGGGAGTGAACGGGAATACCTAGATCGAAGCTCTGTTTGTGCCCTTTGTTCCTCTGTTCTGTCCGAGAACTTACCGAGTTTCTCCTCGACCGCCTCGCTTCTTTTTTGCGTTCCTCCGGCCAGAAAAAAAAATAGCATAGGGTTACCGGGTCCTGGCCCAGCGTTTCCCTCCACCGGCTGGCCCCGTTGCTGCTCCGGAGATTCGTCTTCTCGACATCTCCCAATTTCCTCTGGGGGGCTTTTCAGCTTCTTTTCTGGCCTCGTCGAGGTCATTGACCTTCTATCTTTCTTCCTTTTCCCCCCCATCTTCCTCTGTCCACTCCTTTGACCCACTGTCGCGTGAAACCGAGCGTGCGCTGTCAGCACCGTGGGATCTCTTCCTATATAGACTGTCAACTTCGGCATTTTCATTTGAATTATCCCCTTTTTCTCATATCTTCATGGGTTCCAAAATGGTGGACCATGCGAGATCCATGGAGTCCCGAACGGGACGAACAAACCAACGTGAGTGATCGCATCATACCGTCATTGCACACATCCCCGCGAGACATGTGGATCACCGCAGGGAGCAATCCGCTCCTCCTCGAGCCATCCATCAGCGCATAAAAAGTCCCCGCTGACCCGTCCCCGCTCTTAGGGTACGGATCCAAAGGCGAACGTCTGGTTGCCGGTGTGGTGCCGCTGTCCGCCGACAAAACGCTAGTCCTGCTGATCCAATCCGCCGGCAGCGGCAGCTGGGTGCTCCCGAAAGGAGGATGGGAGACCGACGAGGAGAGTGCCCAGCAGGCGGCGTGTCGCGAAGCCTGGGAAGAGGCCGGGGTGATCTGCACCGTGCACCGGGACCTGGGGTTGATCCCGGACATGCGGCCGTCATCGTTACTGACGGCCCACGCGCCCAAGGCGTCCTACCACTTCTTCGAGGTTACAGTCGACCGCCAGGAGGACCAGTGGCCCGAGATGCACAAGCGGAAACGCCAGTGGGTGTCGTATGCGCAGGCCGCGACTGCGCTGGCCAGTCGTCCGGAGCTGCTGGAGGCGCTCAATCGCAGTTCCATGAGGAGGTAGCCCGTCTACCGTCTCGGTTCTGAGACAAAAATTGCGTGTCATCCACCTGCAAGATGACGCCCGTTACGATTGATATGAATGTTTCCTCTTCCCCACAAAAGAAACCACTTGCCGTTATTTGCTTTTTCTAGCTGCATCTCATCCCATCTGGATATCTCTGGTCCCGGTCGGCTGTGTCATTTTGGAGTTGGAATTGTGGTCTGCTTGGCTTCAGTTTTGGCGGCGGGATGATGGCTTTGCGCACGACACACTCACCCTATAGATTTTTCTCACGATGATCCGTCTCATAGAGAGCTAGAGGTTTCCCCGACGGATGAAGGAAAGGGGTTGGATCATCGAGGCAGCGGGCTTTGCCTGGGAGATGGGAGATGTCTGCCCAGTTCAGGTCTGATCCGAGAAATGAAGGCTTTCTACCAGTGACCCTTGTGGTTGCGGTATCTGTAGTCGTAGCATGCGTACTTGTAGAGTTAAAGTAGTTGATCTGGAGTAGTGGTGTCGTTGACCGATCGAGAAAAAGAAAGCGTGCTGAAGAGGACTGATAGACCGCCCAATCGGGAAAAGCGCATTTGAGCCTCCGATAACTCTTTCATCAACCGCTGCCTTTACCACTTCACTACTCCGTACCTCACCACTTCACCACCTCCACCCCTCCTTACTCTCTCCTCCATAACACTCCTCTCCCATAATATTCTCTGACCCTCTATCCGATTGCATCCCCGCAGCCGAGAGCTGCACGGCAGAATGGACTACACCGAGATGGACATTGAGCCCACGGGGCCCCAAGTGACCGTGCGAGAGGTACGACCCCTTCTCCTATCGCACAAACGCGCCCTCAAACTAACCAAAATCAATACTACAGGCAGAACCATACCGCGTCGACTTCAAACTCAGCTCGGTCGACCTCGCCTTCGCCAACTCGCTCCGCCGCACGATGCTCGCCGAGGTGCCGACGGTGGCGATCGACCTGGTGGAAGTGGAAAAGAACACGTCGGTGCTGCCGGACGAGTTCCTCGCGCACCGGCTGGGGCTGATCCCGCTCAACTCGAAAAACTGCGACCAGGACCTGGAGTACACGCGCGACTGCGAGTGCGAGGACCACTGCGCGCGCTGCAGCGTCACGCTCCAGCTGCACGCCCGCTGCACCGGCGACGACATCATGCGCGTGTACGCGCGCGACCTGGCCGTCGCCGGCGAGCGCGCCAACGACTGGGTCGGCACCCCCGTCATCACCGACCCCGAGGGCAAGGGCCCGCTCATCTGCAAGCTGCGCCGCGGCCAGGAGCTCAAGATGACCTGCATCGCGAAGAAGGGCATCGCCAAGGAGCATGCCAAGTGGGCGCCCACCGCGGCCATTGGGTTTGAGTACGACCCGCACAATAACCTGCGCCATGTCGATTATTGGTATGAGGAGGATCCGGTGAAAGAATGGTACCCCTTCCCTTTCCCCTTTCCCTCCGGGATAAAAAGAGGCTAATATGTCTAGGCCCGTCTCGCAAAATGCCGCCTGGGAACACGCCGCGCCCCCCGACCAGCCCTTCGACTACGACGCCCAGCCCGCCAACTTCTATCTCGACGTCGAGAGCATCGGCAACCTCGACCCGGACATGATCATCCAGCAGGGTATCATCGTGCTGCAGCGCAAGTTGGCCTCGGTCATCTCTTCGCTGTCGGGCACCGGCGAAGGTGACGGCACTGGCATGATGGGCGGCGACGAGGACGATATGATGGGCATGCGCAGTCCCGACGCCTACGAGCCGCCCGAGGGCATTGACGGCGGCTTCACGGCGTATGCGAATGGCGGGGCGGCCAGTGCCTGGGGCGCGAGTGCGGCCACGCCGTATGGCGCTACGCCTTATGGTCAGGGGGGATATGGGTTCTAACTTTTGTCTCGGACTTGCCGTGAAAAGTGGATGTTCATTATAAAACTCGGGAAAATTCTTTGTCCAAAACCCAGAGTCGATAGATTCTGATCGCTACAGCATGCGCGGAGTTGGGGGTTTGGGATGGCGTCGAGGATATGCTATTTACTACGTTTAGGTCTTCGCAATATGTTATGTTCTATACTATTGCCTGTGGCGGGAATCAAGAGATAAACGATACATATAGTACGATGAATTGAAGATAGATAGCCATCATACACCATTAATGCCCAGAACAACAACAGCCCAAACCCGAAGCACCAACCTCAGAAAATTCCAGAGAGAGAAATCCAAATCCAATGAACAACCACGAATCACCAGAACCCACAAGGAACCCGTCTACCGCTTTTGCCCAGTTCGCCAGTTCCATGAAAAGGAGACGGTATAGCGAGGACATGCCCGATTCTTGTAGACGCCAGCCAGCCAGCCGAGAGAAGAGAGGGACCGTAACACCGTCCGCGGAGCCCAGATGCATGACCAGTTCCGACACACCAACGCCAAGGGAAGAGGAATACAATAGGAGAGTTGTATGCGACAGAAGAATAGACAGTGAAAGAGACGGGGGAAACAGAGTCGAGTATGTATAAACAGTCTATGGGTCCTTATGTCGCATCACACTCCCTCTATCGTATCAGCTCCATCGTCGGATTCGGAAAGCATCGTGGTGGGAGGAAGTCTGCGGCCGGCGCCATACACCATCTCCATCAGCTTGGCCTTTTGTTTCTCCCGCACCGACCGCAGGTAGTCGTAACTGCCCTCGAGCCCGCGGATCTGGCCCTCGATCACAGCCTCGACGGGGCCCAGCATGCGCCCATTGCTGCGCCCGTGGCTGGACTCGACGGTGCCGACGAAACTGACGGAATCGTTTCGTCGCACCAGCGGACTGACCAGCTTGCGCCGCAGGGTCTCCAGGTTGACTTTGAGCGTTAAGAGCCGGCTGCGGTGGTCCATGAGGAGATGCTTGTTGGCGACTGTGCGACTGCGCACGTTGGCCAGCAGGCGCTTGTTCTTCTCGTACTTGCGCACGACTGCGGCATCGGGCCCGAGGACGCGCGTCCACAGCGAGCTGAGCATCTCGCCCTCAGCGCGTTCCTGGGCGTCAGATTCGCGCACGACGGTGCGTTGCAGGTTGAGGAATTGGCGATCGATGGACTCGAACAGTGCGAATAACGCCGTCGAGTGGGTGAGTTCGCTGTTGATGGACTCTTCGAGGACCGCCAGGAACTCGGTGAAGGTTCGCGTGAGCGTCGCGCGGGTGCGCTGCGCGGCGGTCTGGCCAAAGAGCGTGGTCACAATGTTGCCAAAGGTGGTGGGGGTGGTGGTGAGCTCGCTGCCGGCCGTGTCGCCACTGGGGACCGCGACCCGTTCTAGCGTGCCCAAGCGCGACAAGAGATCGTGGACGTTGTCGAAGACAATGGTTGGGAGCGTACTCGGGGGCTGAGAAGACAGCGTCTCCAGCTCGCGTTTAGCCCAGTCCATGACGATCAGGATGGAGTCTACGTCCGAGTCCACGTTGGCAAAGAAGCGCGTGAGCTCGAGGGAGAGCGACTTGAGTGACTCAGATAGCTCGTCCAGCTGGCGCACGATGATGGGCGCACTCGTCATGTTGGTCCCCCGGACGGATTCACTCAGGTCCCAGACGGCGACGCCGGTCTCCTGCAGCGTGCCGATCTGTTGCACTCCATTCTCCGAGTAGTAGATCAGCGGTTCGAAGGAGCGCGCAAAGCTAGACAATTTGACCAGATCTGGGATGGCTTGCGGCATGTTGGGCATGAACAGGGCGCGCATGAAGGCGATGGAGAGGAAGGCCACCAGAATGGACAGGGTGGTGTTGGACTTGGAACTGGTGATGCGATCGAACTTGGCGCGCACATAGCGAAAGAACGCGACAAAGGGTTCGCGATGCTGGACTTCAGCGCGGACCGCGAAGCGGATATCTTGAGAAAGGCCCACCGGTTAGTATGCTGTGCCAGCGGACTGGACATGATAGCAAACCAAGATCAAGCCTACAATTACTCAGATTGTTCTCCGACCCAAAGTCCATTCCTTCAGGGCTCGGGCTCGCCGCGCCCTGCACGGGGCCGGGACTCGGAGATCGGCCTTTCTGCGGGGTGTCTGCATCGGTCGGCAGCGGCACGTTGGCTGCGACGGTGACGTCGCCGCCGCCTTCTACGGAGTGACCGCGCCGGGATGCAGCGGGCCCTTCGAGCGCATCTTCGTACTGCGGACTGGGTTCGCGCGACTGCGACGGACTGAGACCCACGGTCGGCTTGAGCGCCAGTCGATCGTGATCGGGTTTGCGCAGGTACGGCTGGTGACGGTACCAGCCACTCCCCTGTACATAGTCATATCGGCGAAAGCCTGGCGGCGACCAGCGCTCTCCATTCGGGGTGGTGTCATCGTCATCCCCGTCAGATTCCTCGGAGCGAAAGCCAGAGTGTTGGGAAGGCAGACCGAAGACAGGGGAGCGGTGGGCGTTGCTGTTGTTCTCAAAGTCCTCGAGCGACGCATCCAAGGACGGATGGTCGTCAAAGACGTTGTCTAGCTCGTCCAGCATGATGGACGGCGGAGCGCACAGACTGTACGTTGTTGCGACAGCCAGGTTACTGGCACGGTGGTGTCTGGTGGAAGATAGATAGAAAGATAGGGAGGGGTTAGTTCGCAAACGCGCTTCAGGCCGCGATAGCACTCTAAACTGCGCAGGAGGCTAGGCCTGGGGGAACCAGTGCGACGATCAAGGGGAAATCCCAGTAAGTCAAGAGAAATGGATTCAAGACGAATGATAACGAAAGATGCTGCAGGTCAGATGGGAAGCACTCAGACGTCACGATACAAGACATGGGAGAGGCCTTGATGCCTGAGGACGGGCGGGTGGGATGCGACAAGTCACTTCTAGCCGCGGGGAGGAGGCTGGGGCGGTGCAGGTCCAGATTACCAGGCGTTCAGTTTCACCAGGGCGCTTTGCATTCCACGCAGAACACTGTAAGGGGGGTGGGGTTAGTGGAGCAGAAGGAGTAGAGCAGAAGTAGTGGTTGAGCAGAGAGAATAAGATGGAAATAGTTATTTGTATGGAATGATTTAATGATGAGTGAAGAGGACGACGGGAAGTACCGTGGAATCCGAGAGCAGGTCGAGGTACAAACCCCTCGCGCACGAGGCTGGGCCAATCATGGGCGAGTCCAGGTCATGTGCCCGAAGCATTGTTGTTCGGCCTGTTCTGCCCTGTACTGCTCTGTACACTCCCATCGTACTCGCCAGTCTTTCGGTTCTTCTCAAGGTTCGTAAGGCCACTTGTTCTAGCAGTCTCCGCCAATGATCGTCCCAAGGGAGGTCTCGGGCTGCAAGGATCGCCAAACGCCGTTGCATTCCAACTCTATCGGCCGATCCAGAGAAGGGAATGGGTGAGTAGTAGTAGATGGATGACCTCATGGGTGAAGAGTCGCCTGGAGGAACCAGTAGATCAGTTGGTAGTGTTGTATGTTGCATAGGAGAGAAGAACGAAGCGCAGAAGTGAGAGTTCTCTGTAGGAAGCAGGAATGAGATGGATGAAGGAATAAGGCCGCATCACGTGACTCGTCCGCCACACGTGCAACATCCATGCTCCGATCAACCCAGATCAAGTACGGAGTAGATCAACATTTTGGACTCGATAGATGTCATGAGAGGAGATCTCTGTTCATTACGGCTAGAGAAGAGCCGGGGTTAACCCTCAGTACAGTCAAAACATCAATAAAACACGCAAATCGGACACGAAACAACGAGATTTTGGTCGGCGCAAACGTCTATCAACCACACCGCACAAAGGAGAACCAGGTCTATTGCGAATAGTAAACAAGGTATGAGGTGTAATAGTACAAGCCCGCTCCGGCGCGACGACCCACACCGGCGGGTAAGAAGGAAATTGACATCATCATTCAGACATTTAAGCGGTGCTCTCCTTGAGGTAGCTGCACGGTCGTTAATAGACTCTCTTTCTCTGACGTGATGGATACGTACGTGATCAGGTCGTTGCGCTCCTTGCCCTTCTTCAGACCACCAAAGGCCATCTTGGTACCGGGGATGAACTTCTTGGGGTTCTCGAGGTAGGAGAACTGTACGAGTGTTAGTCATCGCGACGATCCGAAAGGAATGTCTAAAGACACTTCGGAAAGGGTCAATCATACCAGAGTGTTCTCATCCCAGGTCACACCAGCCTGCTTGTTGGCATCGGTGTAGGCGTAGCCCTCGGCCTGACCGGTCTTACGGCCAAAGAGACCGTTAAGGTTGGGGCCGACCTTGTGGGGGCCACCGGCCTCGACGGTGTGGCACTGAGCGCAGCGGGTCTCGAAGACGTTAGCATTTGGTTTCTCCGTGATCGCGATCAAGTACTCACCTGGAAGAGCTTGGCGCCCTTAGCCTTGTCACCTGAAGCGAACCACTTGTTAGCTGTCTGTTTGGCGAGATCGGCGGCCTCCAGTTCCGCCTCGCGTAGGTCGATGGTAGTGAGAAAACAGAGGGTATCGAAGCTTGTCATCTTGCGCAGTGTAGTGCAGACAGGATTGGGAACGGAGGGTGATGCTTTAAAACGGTAGGTGCGCGATGGAAGTGTAGGTGGCCAAACAGGGGAAGGAGTGAGAGGGAGTCACTGAGGATCATGGTAAAAACCCAAGGGACAGGTATCACCATCCTCTCATTCACTTATGTTCCTCTGGCTGAGACTGAAGGCATGATGACGGTCTGGCCAGGAGAATGACCAGAACCCAGCGAGGAGCAGGAGGAGCTTACCGGGAGCGAAACCAGCGTCCTTGCCCATTGTGAATGTGTGAGATGATTGTTAAGGAGGGAAATAAAAGAGAGTGTGTAGTATACAAGGAATTGAGTTTGTGAGGATATCCAAAAGCTGAGGGAAGAAAGATGGAAGAGGAAGAAAGAGAGAGAAAAACTTGCGATCGCAGGGAAAAGCGACTAAACCGGGCGCGGCCCCGTTGCCCCCGAGCCCTCCCGTGATCCGCTTCTGGGCCAATCAGGGCGCGGATGATTCAGCCGTCGACGGGCGTCCCCGGAAACTGTTCTTTTCGGTTTTTTCGGTGAACCTTTGTTGTTGTTGATATTCTACTCGATAATGAATATCCTATGAGTAAACATTAGTAGTTTATAGTCGTACTATGATTTGACAATATGGCTATCATATCCTAGGTAGGTATGAATATTGAAGTCGGCATCTATCTTTGTATAGAATCAAGTAGGTATGAATCGTTATGACCTCATCGCCCGGGAGAACGGCAAAAATGAAGTTGGAAATCCCTGTTTCGCCATTTGTTCGATGGCCTACTCCGTACGTACTCCGTGATTCACCCGTCCGAGTTCCGTCCGATGTACTGAGCATAATTAGTCAACTGCATAGAACAACTTGGAAGTTACTATGCACTCCTTGCCGACACCTGTATACATCCTCCATAGATCTGTTCCGGTTGGCGTAGCTATCACAACTCCGCGGACAGTCGTTCCAGCACTTCTTGGCCTTTCTCGTCCAAATCAGGATAATTTCGCAATTGATACAGGTCCATCCAGAAACGTTTGGCCTCTTCATATACATTAAGATGTTGCCGTAACAGCCTCCTCCATTCAGCATCTGCCTCGGTGAAGCCCCAAGTAGCTGAGACGTATTCATACCATATAGGATAGTACGCTGCATGTTCCCAATCAATGATGCCAACAAGCTTCCCATCTTTAACCATAATATTTCCGATATTAAGATCGCAATGTGTGAGGACGTATGGTGCACACTTAGGGAAGCGCTTCTTTAGGTTGTCCAACACTTGCTGGGGAAATGACTTTTCAGGAGGATTGTGAATGGTGAGACTTATAGCATCCCATAGTTCAACATCGGAGTGGAAAGGCCCACGAGGGTCGAAGTTGAAAAAAAGCAAGGCCGGAGAGCAGGCGCCTCCATCAACCGTTTGTATACTCGACGAGGTAATGGACTGTAAATGCTTGCAGACGTCCGCCACCTGGTCTGCAATAGCGACCTTTTGGTCGTGCGATAGTATAGGCCAGACGGTCTCGAGGCTCTCACCCTCCATTCGCTTTTGTAGCACGAAGTAACGCCCGTTTCGATCGGCCCAGTCACAGACAAGCTCGGGTGCCGGAATATCGGCATAACGTTCAAGAAGTTGCAGTGTTTTCGCTTCGTTTTTCGGACCCTCGTCAGGACGCTCTTTGAGAATCAGATCAGTCCCGATCGACCATACACCCCGGTCATGTGCGCCATAGATTAGTTTGACATGGCTGGAATAACAGCATTTCGATTGCTGATCCCGAGTCCATCCGCATGCAACGCAGCCTTCATCCGACGCTTTCTCAGCCATGGTATGAGCTGAAGTCGGACTGTCTTCTGAGACAAAGAGAATGAAGCATTAGAAAAAGAGAGGTCCCGAAGAGGATGGTTTACCATTTATATTTGGCGTACAACGCTCACCGCCACCATGAAGGTTGTCCAATCAAGACCTAGCAGAGTATAGCTTTGTTTATTCAGTGTAACCATTGACCATTCCATCTTGTAGTGGAGCGTACCGGGATTCCAACATCTGTCAGCTTCCTCTGCGGTTTGGATTCACAAAAACGATCTATGGGATGAGTTGGTAGGCTTTGACAGGGATGTGCTGGGCTGTCTCGTTCTCCTGGAGGGAGGTCGTGTGCTGTACGTATTGAGGAAGGTGGATGATTTCATGGGAATTCATTCGTGAATATTGTAGCCAGAAGTGCGAAGGTATCAAGCTTGTCTGAATAAGTTTGGTTGCGCCCAATAGCCCGAATCAGTATATAGCTACTTAGTGTTGGATCCTGTATAGAAATAGAAGCTCTCTGGATAAGATAGAATATATGGCAACTTTTCAATTCTCTATCTCTCACAAATTAGGATTGAATTCTTTATGCTTATCCACCGCATTTGGAATTTCTGTTTATTAATCCCACCGTTCTAGCAATAAAAATTTATCCTTAAGAAAGCGATGATGTGCGTTGAATTCTAGTGTGGAGAAGGACCGATCCGGGTTGTGGAGGACCCTATTTCGACTCCATCTACACTCTCCTCATCCTGCGTTTGACCATATTCCTTTCCCCCTTTGACTATGAAACATGACCCAAGAGTCGCTGATAGGATGTAGGAGTTTATGAAAGCCCACGAGCGCGGTATACTTCAAATTAACAAGCATGGCGCCAAGGGGACATCACTTGGTCTAATAAGATCAAAGTCTGGCCGACAGACAATGCTCTGATTCATGGCTCGTAGGTCCTAAGTGACCTGCAGCCTCAGCCACGGCCGATCTTTCCAAATCGGTTGTTAGGTCATGTCGGGTGAACGTTCGATTGCCATATGATAGCATGGAAAAGAACGGGAAATTGGAGGTAGTTCGTGAGCTCGAGCCTGCATCGCGACAGCAGTCGTGGGCAACATTAAGGCGACGTGGCCCTAGATATGGTACAGGAGCTCCTGATGAGGAAGCATTGGCTTAAATGTTGTACAATATACAATATATACATAATTTTGGCTTAGTGTGGTGTACCTACACAACTGGATCCCATGTTGATGTATAGATCACGTGATACCGATCCGAAAAGTTCACCTCCGAAACCCTCCCGAACAACCTCCCATCTCCGAGCTCAACCTCCTCCACCACCAACACCACGACAATGCCCACCACAATCCCGCAATTCCTCCTCCCGCGCGGGGCGCCCTCCCCGCGCACGCTGCAAGCGCTCACCCGTCGCACAACCCCACGAATCGCACTCCGCCGCGGCACCCCGTCCAGCCGCTGCGCTTCGTCGAAGGCTCCCTCGTCTGAAAAACCACGCGTGCTAGCACAGCCAGACAAGTTCCGCCCCCCATCCCATCCAGCCCGCCGCGTCGTCCAAACCCGCAATGGCCGCGTCGTCTCCAGCAACCCCGTCAACTACCCGGGGCCGCGCCTCTCCGAGAAGGAAAAGGAAGAGCAGAAACATCGCCAGTATCCGAACATGTTCCCGCCCGAGGGCACGGTGATGTACAAGTTTTTGACGAGTCGGTGGATTCACATCTGGATTGCCATGGTACGTTCCCCCCCCTTTGTTCTCCCCAATTGTCTCTTTCTACCGTTGGATGGAGGGAAGGAGGGCATGCTAATTCTGGTGACAGGGCGTCCTCACCTCCCTGGCAACCTTCACCTTCACGACCAACTTCAGGGCGACCTCGCCGTTTGCGCATCTGCTGCCGCCGTGGTCGGCGCTGCTGACGCATCCGGTCGCGACGGTGTCGCAGGCGCTGTCGGTGTTCCGCATGCATGTCGAGCATACGTCGTTGGAGACGCGGGAGAAGCGCCAGCGGCGCGTGGAGGATGCGGAGAAGAGGCGTCAGTTCCGCGTGGCGCATGGATTGGAGGAGCCGGCGGAGGAGAATGCGGTGGAGGCTCCTGCGGAGGCGCAGGTGGATGAGCAGTCGCCTGTTGCGGCCGAGTTCCAGGGCTCCGGCTCCGGCTCCGCGGAGGAGTATGTTGATTGGGAGGGGAAGAAGCGGCCGGTGAAGAAGTGGTTGGGGATTTGGTGAGGAAACCTCCGTGCTACGGTTGTGTCCTGAATGAAGGTTGTATGTTAGGCGGTGGACTGGTTGTATTTTATTGTTGATATGATAGTCATTATGTACATGTCCTCTCGTCAGTTGTCTGTCTGTCTGTCTGTCTGACGAACTGCACGCTTATCGGCGTCATGCGCCGTTGCTCTGGTCTGGCTTCCGCCCGAGCGGTGGCCGTATAGATGTAGTAGTTCCTACACGAGGCGAATACTCCATTTGCGCAGGTCTCAGCCAACCTCCACACCCTCCAAGCCCTCCAGCACCTCCTCGCCGACACCGCCCTTCCGCAGCACCAGCTTCACCATCTTTGCGACGGTACTCCGCTTCACACCACCACGGCGCGGCTTCCACACGCCGGGCACCTCCTCCTCGCCCGTCGACGGGTTCAACACAGCGGCCTCCTCAGCCGCCGCCGACCCCAGCGTCGCGACGTTCTCCGAGTTTGGCACGCCCGGCTGCGTCAGCCGCGACGGCGGATCCACCGTGCGAATCGACAGCACCTTCAGCGCATCCGACTGCGCGTCGCGCGCGACCGAGATCGCCAGGATCGTGTCCGCAACGGCGATTTCCTCGCGACTCGGATCGAAGATGACGTTCTCGCCGACAGCAATGACGAGCAGCGTGATGGGTGGGCGCACAGGGTGCGCGGCCGCAGTCTTGAGCCCGCGCGTGCGCGGGTACAGGTACTCGGCGGCGTTCCAGTCGTCGTCGAAGAACGGGTCCTCCTCGCCCTGCGACTTGAGCTTGGGGAGCTTGGTCGACAGCAGCGCCAGGTGTGTCGTAAGCGACAGGAGCGGGAGCGGGTACGAAAGGGGTTGCGAGAGGAGCAGCACCTACGCTTCGTCAGAGCCTGTGAACACCACAACAGGGAAGAAAACTCAAAACTCACATCAATGTACAGCCGCCAATGCCACCGTCGGTTAATCACGAGCCGACCCTTTAACCCGCCGGCCATATCGCCGTCTCCGCCGCTCGACACCGACTCCACCAGCGGCTCGCGCATCATCTCCGACAGAAACACCGGCAGGGCGTCGTCGTCGCGATACCCCGGGATCTCAATGGACATCTGTACCCAGGATCCGTGTCCGGTGCTCGATGCTTGCTGCGGGTCGTCGTCGCTGGTCTCGGCGGGGCCCTGCTGCGCGAGACTGGCGACGTCGGCCGCCGCGACCGTCTTCTCGACCTCGGCCTTCACGCCGACAATGGCCTGCGTGCCGTCTGCGAACCCGACGCGCGCGCTGCCATTCGTGCCGGGGAGGATGTCGGTTTCGGCGGTCAGCGGGCGGAACTGGGTTGGGGAGCGGCCATCGGGGCGGATGGGGTTGTTCGGGAGGGCGAGCGAGGTGTACAGGTAGGAAAGTTCGGCGGGAGAGATGAGGGGGGTCTGCGAGGCAGAGGATGCTTGTCGTTGGGACATGGCTGCTCTGAAAGAGAAGGTAGAGAAGGGAAGATTTTAGTTCTTCAGATCAATCCACAGGCTGTGCAGCCTGGGATCACGGCAGTTGGCTCGAGGCAGAAAATATAAAGAGGATATTTCCGCGACTGGTAATGGGAGAACTATGCACAAGAAACAGTCTTTAAATCGAGTTCATGGTGGTGTAGGATTTGCTATGGTTGACGTCGAATACTCATTTGGGAAAATCGCTGATGCGGATTATCGTTGTTCCGCGTCGATCATATAGACATCCGATTTACTACTGACTTGCATGCGCCTACTTTCACACTCAATTTTCTTGCTAATGGTATTCATTATACAATTATTCTGATATATTAACATAGATGACGCTTCAGATCACTTTTCAGAAGCCGTATATGTATAGAGACGGATCACCGCCAACGTGGTACTATATTACAATATGCGGTGCAAAGCCCAGACTAGCCACCGGTCGTCCTTCCCAGAGACAAAGAGAAACATTGTACAGGGTGAAAGAGAAAGAGTGTAGGAACAGCGAAGGAGAGAGTGATATACAGATAAGGATAGACTCAAGGAAAGGAGGGATTTCGAGTGTAAGGATCAGGACAGGTGAGAAATGCATATATAAGGAATGAAGCAAACCGCGTGACTCGCACAGTGGTATCAATGTATATGGGGAATGTGCAATCGCATGTGCAAAAGAAAGACAGACAACAAACCGCGTGCCGAAAACAAATTGCGAGGCCGACAAGTATATATCTATAAAAGGCCTGTGGGGTATGAGGACGACAAGAACCAGCAAATGAAAGGAATCCGGGCTAATCCGTGCCCATAAAACCCGTCGGGCAAACACAAAACAACCATGGCCAAACCTCCACTGAAAAAGATGAGAAGCTGAAGAGACACCAAATCCGATACGCCATCCTCGGGTAGATCGCCGCCACCGTGCATGATCACACCATGTTGTGCTTTTTTCCGTTTTTTTCGCTGGAAACTGGATAGAAGAAGGGGAAGAAAATCGAACGAAATCTGCTTATCGATAGGTCGTGCCGGACAGGAACTCCGCCGTCGCGGAGTGAGACCACTCGCCATCTTCGTAGGGGGGTGTAGGCCACTGCCGCGTCGAGGTGGCATGATCCGTCTTGTCCCCTGGCAACCCAAGTCGCCGACAGGGAGTGGCGTCCGTGTGGCCGAAGGACACCCCGTTACATTTGGCCGACGGGGATGGCGTGGGATAGGGACTAGGCAGGGGGCGGGAACTGTCGTTCCCCACCAGCTGGCGGCTGTAGTTGGACGATGCGTCAGACTCCTCGGCCTGCGCCAGGCGCTTGGCCGCTTTGCTGGCGGAATGGAGCACCTCATCGAGGAGCTCGTCTTCCTCCTCGGGAGTTTCGTAACGATGGACGGGATGGGTGGACATCTGGAGCGCACGCCTCGTTCGGCTCGAGATGGGGCCCGGGGTACCACTGGTAGACACCGGGCTGTCACCCATGGAGCGGATCGATCCTTGCGGCATCGACTGGCGCTTGGTGCCATCCACGGACGCGATCGGAACGGGGACGTTGCCTAGAGCGGTGGAGTCAAGCGAGTACTTCACACCCTGTAGCGCCTTGTCCAATTCGGTAAAGTCCGAGCCTTGCTTGCCCTCGTTCACGTGCACGGAATCCAAGGCCAGAGAAGACCGGTTCGACCAGGGCATGCAACCAGCATTAGCTTCAATGTCATCGCTCGGGATCGTGCCCTGATTGCGACCCGATAACCGGCGTGCCCGCTTGCGCAGATGGGAGAAGAAGCTCTCTTTCTGATTGCCTGCGACGTGGCTGATCCCGGCGCCATTGAGCGCCCGTTCGGCTTCCTGTCGGTGAATATCGGCATAATGGTTGCCGTGAGAGTTGACCGACAGCTGACGGCCAATCTTCTTGCCCGCCTTGCCTGCATCGCTATGGGCAAGCGATGAATTGGCCTGGGCCGTGACAGCGTTCGACAGAGGGGAGACCGGTCGAATGGAAGGAAGAATGGGCATTGGGGCGCCATTCGCCCAGGTAGCGCGCTTGCTGGGAGCCGGCTTGTTCTTGGTTTGGAACTCGGGCACCGTGCTGTAGGAGACGACCGGCTGCTTGGCGGGCGGGTCGTTCTCCAGGGCTGGCGCCGGGCTTTCGGACCGCCCGATCAATGACCTCCGGAACCAGGAAGACTTCGATGCCAGCGTTGGCGAGCTGGTGGGTTCCTGGGTGGGAGACCGGAAACTCTTGTCGGATTGTTTCCGGCCCAGGAGACGGGCGGTAGATGACCGCGGTCTCAGAGGATCGACCGCATCCGCGAAGTATTCGTGGTTCAACGCTTGCGTGGACGTGGGTCGATTCTTGGGATCCCACATCAGACACCAAGTGACAAAGTGGCTCAGGGCCTGCGGCCACTGCGGCGGCTGCAGAATGCTCTCCATCGCATGAGGCGCCATCTTAGGGAAGGTAAACCCGAGCTTCTGCGCGAGACGAGAGCCTTCTCTCCATTCACCACCGCCTAGCTTAGCACCGGTCTTGCTGTACCAGTTGCCGGGGCTCCCCATGATTTCGCAAATGCGCCAGACCTGATCGACCTCGTTCCCACCGGGGAAGAGAGGCTTCAGGGTCGCGATTTCGACGGCCATGGCGCCAATGGCCCACATGTCGACGGGAGCTGAGTATTCTCCCGCGCGCAGGAGGACCTCGGGCGCACGGTACCATCGCGTCGAGACATAGGTGGTATAAGGGAGCTTGGAATGGGTCTCTCGGGCGAGGCCAAAATCGGCGATCTTGACGGTGTAGGTGGGAGGAGTGGAAGGAGGGGTGACGAGGTTGGAGTAGCGGCTGAATGCGGAGTCGTTGGGGGCGGAGGTCGAGACGAGGATGTTCTCGGGCTTGATATCACGATGGAAGAAATGGTGTGCATGAATGTGGTCCAGGCCCGACAGGATCTGGTACAGGATGCTCTTGACGTGCTTTCCATCGAGACACTTGTGGTCGCGGGACTTCATCAACTGGTACAGATTGCCATCCATATACTCCATGCAGATGTGTAGTTTGCGCGAAAGGGGATCCAGGAAGATGTCGAGAGCGGGGACGAGGTGCGGATGGGTGGGTAATGTGCGGAGGAAGATGACCTCCCGCAGCTCGAGACACGGCGTCAAGGAGCTGAAGGTCTTCTTCATTGTTTTGATGGCGACCTGCGGGGGGCGGGGAGTGAGCCAGAGATCGGATGGAATGATGATTTTAGGATATAGCTTACCATGGTTCCTCGCCGGGCCACATTGGAACCAGCGGTTCGTACACGTGCCACGGCCACACTGCCAAAGCTGCCATCTCCAACCTCCTTGATCACCTCGAAGCGATCTTCGAGAGTGGCCATTGAGGTGGAGGCGACACTCCGAGGAGGATGATCGTAACAGACGGTCATGGTGACTCTCGTCCTATTCTCTGCCAGCAGATGAACCGAGCGAGTTCTGGTGACTGGTAGGCGGTCAGCATCGGGATGACGGCGGGTCGGCGGGAACGAGGGGAAGTGGTCTCTCACCCTTGATGTGGATGGGGGGTCGGGGGAGGAGGGGATTAGATTATAAGAGGATAGTGGTCTTCCTGTCGATGGTGGAAGGAATTAATGGCATCCGGGGTTCATCATTCGGGGAATCAGGCGAGAACGAGAGGTCGACGAGCGAGGTGGGTATGGCCGGAACCCATGGAGGGATGATGGTAGAAGGACGATAGTGGTAGTAGTAGAGGGGGGAATCGAACGAAGGGGGAGGGGGGTTGGAGTCATGTAAAGTAGTCGAGGGGAAGAGAGAGAAGGGAAAGAGAAAGGAGATCTGGAAAGTTGATGGAAGACCCGGAGGATTGGAGACGGGGTCAGTAGAGCGGAGCCGTCGGAGTGGGAACGGGGAGGAGATGATGATGACCGAAAGAATGATAATAATAATAATAAAGATCCAGAGAGAGAAAGGACAGGACAGGACAGGACAGAAAAGAAAAGAAAAGGAGCGAGAGGGTGGAAGAGATGGACGTGCGTGGGTGGAGGAAGAGGATGGGTACCTAGGTAGGTAGACGAGGTACTGTACTCCGTAGGTAGAGATGAATAGGAGGAGGTGATTATTTTCCCCTGACGGTGACAGCTTCGTATTTTTGTGTTTTTCCCTCTTTTTCTTTCTTTCTTTCTTTTTTAATTTTTTTTTGGGGGGTTTTTATTTTTCTTGTTAGGGAAATTTGGGAATTTTGTTTTTAGATTTTAGCCTGGAGCTTAGGAGCGGGCCGTGGAGACTGAAGAAGCGGTCGAGGGTGTTTTGGAGAAGATGACGGTGTAGATCAAGAAGAGTGTCTCTGCAAGCGGGGTCGGGTGCTGGCTGAAGTATAAGAAGAGGAGGCTGGGAGGAATGGAGTGTTCACAAGCTGACCATTCTGGGAGAGGGATGTTTGGATCTGTTGATATCGACAATCGATGTATGAGAAGATGGGAAAAATAATAATACATAATAACCATGATAATAATAATAATAACTCAGTATGAGAAAAAAGCATACCTATTCCGTACACGAGACTCGTAATATCTCGGACGATGATCGAGTCGGGAAAAGCTCGTCCACCAGAGATCCACCCCGCGTCGTCGCCGCCCAAAGAGAACCGACTCTAGGGGTCACTAGTTCCTGCGACTACTTTAGTCCGAGAGGGCCTCGACTGAAGACGGGGCCGTTGAGTGCCGAGAACGGAATCAGAGAATACAATCAATATAACTACACACACCTAAGCAAATGGATCTTATCTCTGTAGAGCTTCAAATGAATGTTCCACTACCTCTCCGTGGATACCTAGGTACGTACATAGGTACATCGGACTCAGGTGCGACAATTTGGTGGCTTCTAGCGCGTTGAGCTAGTATCGATCGAGCCAAGTTGCGAGCGACCCCGGGTCCACTTGACTAGGTCTGGTCCAGACATTCCCCTATTCTATTATTCCTATTATTACTGCGATTATTACTAGGTACTATTAATATTATTATTATGATTCCCCGTTGATATCATCCTTCTCACAATTAAGTTAGGTATGGGAGCACCGGCTAACGTCACCGTTATTTACTTCCTTTGTCTATTCAACGATTTACCAAAAGAGAGAAAATCAAATAAACACCGAATAAATGAAGAAATCAGAAATCCACTGCACGAATCAGACCGGTTTTGGGGCCCTCCCCAAACCTTCCTCTTCCACCGTCTTTTCTTACTCGCTGCCCCATCCACTTCAACACCAGCCTTAAGCCCCGCCCCACTTGGCCGCCGCCTCTAGTGATCGTTAGACGGGCCCTAGCAAGGATGTCCAGGGGTTGGGCCGCGTTCTCTTGTTTTCCTCTCCTGCTCGCGAACTGCTCCTCTCCAACCGCCACTCAGGAACCGCCTCCCAATGTGACGTGTCCCCAGAGAGCGCGTGGTGAGACCAACCCGACGCGACGAGGGTCACCAACTAACTAATCAACACCAACAACAACAACATTACCAGGACTGCCGTGCCTCATCCGGCAACACGCCCGCGCGATTGATCCAATTCCTGGCACGACTTTCTCCTCCGCTCAAACAGACCCCGACGATTTAACTATTACCACCCGTCATCGATCGTCCACGTCCACGGATGCCTCGGGTGTTCCCGTTTGGGAGCTGGACCGGGGACTGTCTGGGTCCGATGACCGTCCCTGTACCACTTTAGGCACGCATCGTGGGTAAGCAATCATGGGCCATGCGATCGACTGCACAGTTCATGCAGGCCGTTATCGGCTGCCGTCGATAGCTCATCGCTCCTCCTCGCCCACCAACAGTGGCGGGACATGTAGCGGGTGGCTGACCGCCAGCCTGGCAGCCGCTCCTCCCGCCGGTAAGGGAGAAGACAGCTTCACCGTTGCAAGGGGGGAATAAGGCATCGCTGCTTGCGGGGTCCCCTCTTTCAAACGGTCCATTGAGCTCCTCCTTTCGTTGTAAATCGTGAACTGAAGGATGACCATCTATCGAATTGCATTATTCCATGTAGGTAGTCTTGGCCTAGCGGTGGGAATCGGTGGATCCTCCAGCATGCGCGAACATGTACGGAGGGCTTCGTAGTTGCTCCGTATGTACAACCCGATATGGAAATCCATTCAACGCCAATTCAACGGGAACGGGTCTTGGAGTCTGATCCTGCGATTCGTGCAAGACAAAGTACAGGGAAACGCGGTGCGCGGGGACAACGCTTCCGGTGACCTGTATACTACTGGCCTTTCCCGAGATCAGATGAGAGCTGACCCGGATGGGATGGCCCGCCAGGGACACGCAAGGTCGATCTTCCCTGGGAGGGGTTTTCCGTGGGGTTGGAAACTTATTGAGCGCCTTCTGACCATCTTTGGGCGGGGATCTTTCTGTTCTCGTTTGGTCCGTCCAGGAAAGGAGATGGCTTAGTCCCGCACTGGTAACTAACAGCACCCTGTACACCGCAAAAAGCAATATCCATGCATGCTCAGCTCATTCTTCATCGGGAGGCAACGGATAGATCCACCGCATGGACGCAGATAAATCGGGACATGCAATATCCAGATCAGGGTTCACTCAACGCTGCGGGTGCAAAGTCCGGTGTATGCAGATAAGGGTACATAAGCGGTGTCAAGCGCCGGGAGCCATCTCATATCATATCGTATCCTATCTGCAAGATGGGATCAACGGCGGAGGAGCTGAGAGCTGTTGCTCCAGTGACGAGGGTATCCGTCCCTCTGGAAGATCTTCACGGTCCGCGAGGCGCGGCATCATTACCTGCGTCCCCTTCGGATGGTCCATATTAATGGATCCCCTTGAACTCCTCCTAAAATCGGGATCCCAAAGCGTTGCTTAACCGTTTCAAGAACATTTGTCCTGGTCGAGGATGGTGGCAACGCGTGCCCCAGGCTACCACACTGACCGTACATAGGATCATGTATGGTGCGCTTCTGAGATGCCACCTCGAACCGGATCCATCCGAGTCTTCACATCGGCGGTGTGCATGTCTTGATCTCCAGGTGAGTCAAACTAAACAGACCCATCACCAAGCCATTGGGACTTTTGGCATCGTGGTCATGGCCCGAAGAGTCTCACCTGGGACCGGACGGACATCCGCTAGCCGGGGAGCTTCAAAAGGGGTGGGTTTATGGATCACATCTGGCACTGGACCTATAGCCACGTTGCATTATTGTTGTCTCTAGTGGCGTTACGCCTGTCGCATCGGATACATTAACTGCCGCAGTATCAAACCGAATAGTTCGCTCTGGTGGTACATTGCCATCTTTTCTTGTCGACGAGTACCGTACTATCGCCGGGGCGACGCGGAAGATCCTTCACTCCGTATTTCTCCCACTCTGATAGAATGACTTCTCATTTGCTACCGACAGAAGCCCACCGGAGCTTCTGTCATGCGCCGTCCCCAAGGAGATCATTATTATTGGCACTTTGCCCACTCTCACGAACTATGGATTTTGAGTTCGAGGGAGCTACCAGAGTTCCAGAGTTAGTCTGGTGAGTTACCAAAGTCCACGAGAGAGGGACCGCCGCGTCGGAAAACCCAATTGGGGTCTGGTCTGGGACGACACCGCCTATCAGCTCTAGTCGCATGGGGCAGGGAGCCACCCGGGGAACGCAGCCGCCCCCACTGGGCCCCACTCCGAGCGGGCCCCGTCCCTGCTTCCCGACCGCCCGACCAACTGGGGCCATTCTTGCGATTATTAATGGCTCTCTACTTACGGAGTCAGTACGGAGTACTAGTAATGGGACCAAAATGGGACCACCGCTCTCTCTCTCTCTCCGTCACTCTCGCGGGTCAAGGTTGGATTTTGACAGGGGGGATCCTCCTCCGTCCTCAGATCCTAATCTCCTCGGCCAATTTGGTCCCAAGTGCGATTGGACCGTCCCTCCTTCCAAGCCGCCATCCAACATGCCTACGACGCTAGTCGCCCACGCCGGCGTCTTCCCTCGGTCTTCCAGAAGGATTCAGGAGCTTCGTGGAAACTGATGAATGCGGATTCCTCATCATCAGGGTGATGCAGTGGACCGCGGACTCCTTTTGCTTCGCTTGTCGGGCCCCGGTGGATTTCCGACTCTCCTTTCTTTCCTCGTCACCGTGGGCTTGGTTCGTGGCTACTGGGAAGCCGTTGCACCTCGTCGCAGACTAACGCATCCGGTGCGTCTGGTTGCCGTGGAGGATCAACAAGCCGCCCCTGCAAGACACAGGAGTTTTGGTTTCTGGAAGGCCACTAGACTTCTCTGCTCCGTCCCGTGTCTCTCGTCTCCCAAGGGCCTTCTTCTGTGTATGACAGAGGGCCGCTTGCTCTCCGACCTACTCGGAGAGTCTAGCAGGGGTGTGTTTGGGACTGATTGAACTCGGGTGTACTCCGTAGAATCAATCTGGTGCTACCGCGGCACATGTTTGACAAGCACTCCTGGTGTCACGTGGCGTGATGTCCCTGTTTCGGCTAGAATCAAATCTATCGAGGTACAGCATCATTATTGAAATTTTGGGAGAACTTGGGTGTGAGAGTGATATGCATGCGGTGGCCTACATTGAAAGTTCGATGTGGCTGCAGATGAACATGACATAGAAGGAATCTTCGCACAGGCTTGGTATTGGAACGAAAGATCAGGCCGTTTCACTATCTATAGCTGCAAATATATTCCATTCCAAGTCCCAATACGCAAGGTCATCGACACAGACTGATACGCGCTCACTCGAAGAAAACACGACAAAGACAACAAAGATAGAATGAGGAAGTAGACAAAATAGCATATGCGATTGGCATAAACAGACTATGCCGGCCGCCAAACTATTGAGATAGAGACTGCAGGTGTAACCATGGACTCTCAAACCACCCCAACAAACCCATACTCTACATCTCGGAATATACAACTGGAACACAGTTCATAGGAATTGCTGTAAGCGCCAGGTCCTCTTCATCATCCAGCCTTGGTTTGGGCCATTTGTAAGGTGCAGCTGTCATAGAAATCCAGCGTAGGACTGCTGTGCGCATAGCTCAGCACTGTTGATGACGTCTTGAGCAGCTTGTTGTTGTACCATCACCGCGTTTTGTCTGCTACGCCCCAATGCACTGCGCTGAGGAGAGTAAAAGCCGGATCAAGTGCTGGTGTGGGTAATGCCATTGTAACACACAAAGCACGAATATAAGGCAGTCCCCTATTTCTAGCACGATTTCTATGGTTATTAGTGGTACATCGTCGGTTGAAGGTTTGGACTAATATTGAGGAAATGCTCTTCTCAACATGTAGCGACTCAGTTTTCATGGTTTGAACTGCATAGAAGCTGTGCAGAGAGAACTTGGGAATGGCTTCCAAGACGAAGATGCTGCCGGTGCCAGAATTGCTGCTGATAGGAAATACCCTTGATTCTGGAGCCTTGTAGGACAAACACATTAGACACGCTCCTTTGGATGTATAATAAACCGATGGATGAATAATTGTTGTGTAGGAATGAAAGCACAGTATACTTTGGAATATCCATATTCTCCCCACACGATTGAATACTCCTTCACATTGTCTCATTCCATCAATATCATACATTATAAGTTCGAAGAGCGTCATAATGAGCTATGTTGAATATAGTAGACAATAGTGGATCATTACTTGACACGTTCAAGGGCACGTTGTTACATGGAAGTTGCTATAGCCATTTCAAACCTGACGCAACTTATCTAAGAGGTGTGATCAAAGTGTTGTGACCTGATGATGAGAGTGACACCTATCAAAGCCATTGACGTTTGTAACCCAACCCAGGATCACTTAGAAAGCCTGAGATCATTGATTCATTGATTATCGATATGACTCTGTCTTTTGTTTGTTCACCTGGTATTTGAGATATCGTAGGGAATACTAACACCTCTCACACTGTCTTCGATATGACTCAATATATCCCGAAGAGCTCTGACAAACAGAAGATACTTGGATTATGACCCAACATGGATGTTGATCCCAGTGACTGTTCTGATTCTACTCTCATAGACGGCATCTAGTAAAGTATGCAATGCTTCTAAGGGTTAGAACTGAATATCCGACTCTGTTTGGTGTGGTACTTGCTGTGCGTGAGGGTGTTTGGCTCGGGGTCATCCTGACGCAATGGACCAATCTTGTCTCCTTCACCAAAACATGCGTTTGTTTTCTTCCTCTGCATCTATTCCATTCCAGACTTCCCATTCCCTGTGATCCCCCAGCCTTTCCCATGCTCCCTCAATATAGTCCACAGTTGCCTGTCATGCTGTGAAGAGAGAACTGACCTCCGCATTCACTCTGGTCTCTGTTCCCATTTACGGTTGACTTGGCGTCAGTCTGGCTGTTTGCGAGAGTATACCGTGCTGAAGATTGAGCCCTCTCCGAGCTGAGAGATTGAGGCCTTGCCTGTTCTCTTTCCACTTTTTCTTCTCCACCTGCACCTTTCCTCTATCCTATTGACGCCCAGCTACTTCTCAGCCACCAACATGGTGGGCGGAGGAAGTCTCAAAGTCCGCAGCGCCTACGCTGGTGGCTACAGCGCCGACATCAAGAAGCGGTAGGTCTACAAGCCCAACATTGGGAATCAGAAAGCAAGACTCACACAGCCTCTACCTAGTCTCGAAAGTATCGAAATCCCGGACAAGTACGTCGGCCTAGAGCTCGACTACCAAGCAGAGTCCTAGGACTGACCCAACACAGAGTCAAATGTATCTTGTGCAAGAAGATCAAGATGCAAACCGCATTTTCCAACAAACAGCTGGAAGACCTCCGCCACGCCATCTTCACCGAACGGATCAACGCAACCCTCACCGGAGCCGTGCGCTGCAGAGAGTGCACTGGATCCCAGCGTTTCGAGCTGCGATGCTCTATCTGCGACGTGGTCAAGGGACTCGATCAGTTTGCCAAGGCCCAGCGTCACAACGGCGATTTCGCGGTCGGTCTCTGTTTATCAATACACGGAATCCCGGGGCCGAGCAATACTAAGAGTGACCATGTAACAGAGATGTCTAGACTGCGTGCAGAATCATGTCGAAGCCGACCCCGTCGTGGACGAGCAGAAACTCCTGGCTGATACCGAGCACACCTCGCTCCATGCGTCCACTGTTGCTGTGGTAGGTCCATCGACAATGTACTCGGGATTCACGCCATAAGTGCTGACGAAATTAACAGAGTCTGATTGACGCCCCATCCTACGCCGAGTCGGTGCACGGAAGCGACGACGGAGGTGTGTCGCTCAACCGCGATGGATGGATCGAACAGGATACCACCAACGCCAGCAGCCGCCACCTTACTCCCTTTGCGAGCTCTGTGCATAGTGGATGGGCCTCGCTCGGCATTGGAAGTGAGAACACTCGTCGCCCTAGCCCCGTGGTCAAAACACCAAGCATTGTAACTAGGGAAGACTCGCGTTGGGTGAAGATTCGCGTAAGTACCGATACGATGAGTGCACGCGGAGAAACCCATGACCCTGAATGGTTACTGACGCGACACGGTATATAGAGCAGGGTCAAGGAAGACAGTGTGCCCGTGCACCCCCCTCCCGCGACTACTCAGGCTGTGCCCTACGAAGACGATGACGAGGAAGAAGCTGGCGTCCATACTTTCCTGTAGGGGGCCGGATGGACACAAACAGACGGCCCGACGAACAGAACCATGGATTCCCCTATCTCGGTTGAACAGCCCCACAGATCCAAGATTGTTGCATCCATGGTTGATGGAGGTATCTATTTACTTGTCCAGAAAGACCCGCGATTTACTAGGATGGTCTTTCTGAGGTTATCTTAGCTGAGAGCAACGGGGCGTACCTGGTGCCCGACGGCGCCAGATGACACTGGCTGGTGATATTGATAACGATTTGCTTAGAGTGAATTTCAAACACACAATCCGAGACAATACCAAGAAAGAAAACTCCACGGGGAGCATAGATCGATCGGGCAAGGGAAAATGTAGTAGTAGGTAGGACATAAGGGTCGTACTTTCGTAGAATCGTCGTGTGGGGAGGCGGGGATGACGTAGAGAGACTGACCGGATCTTTCGCTCTCTTTCGGTCTTCCTACCTCTCTTTCGCCTCTGCCTGTCACTCTTCTTAGCCTTGCGCGGATCGCCCATGCTGCAGTCGCTTGCGTCGTCTGGCTGATTCTGACTGGCGTCATCATCTTCTCTCCCCACTTTGCTCATAGTTAATAATCTACGCTGCGTCGGCTGTTTCATGCTCCGTTGGGTTTTTTTTTGCCCCTCCTCGTCTTTGTTGCTTTCAGGCATCACACCCACACAAAAAGAACCAGACAGACAAAGTCTTTGCCTCCTTCAACTCCTTTCTTGCTTTCGGTTCCTTTATACGTCTCCGAATTCATCGTCTAGAACCCCCACACAGATCGCAAGAAGCTCCTCTACTCCTCTCGTGTGCGGCCCCCGCTCGCGATGGCGTACGACGACTACCAGAGCTCGTCCAGTCCATACTCCTACCTGAACAATTCGACTCCCGTGAATCCAGACGAGTATCCTCGCATTTCATATACAGCGCCGCCTTATCCCTCGCAATATGACCCGGATCGCCTGAATATGCCGCAGCCCCAGGCACCGCCCTCGTCCTCGCCCAACCAGTACTCGGAGTCCGTTTCAGGCCAGCATACATGGCAACAACAACAACAACAACCGCCGCCTCCGCCGCCGCCATCCAACGGTAGAATAAATGAGGCTGTCAGCTCAGCTTTTGACAAGGCGCACCCCTCCGCCTATCTGTCCCCCGAGGTCCTCTCCCAAATCACAGCGACGGTCATCCAGCAGCTCAAGGAAACGGGCCTGGAAAATTTACAAAATGACCAACACCAGGCGATGCCGCCCCCGCGACCCCCCAAACAATGGGTTCCTCCCACAGCGCCTTACAATGAAGCTGCACCTCCTCAGTCCAGTGCGATGCCGAATCCGGGTCCGTCACCACCAAACATTGTTCACGACAGTGCCGAGTACCCACCCCCGCCGTCCTCAACGACATACTCTGGTAGCCCTAGGGCCTATACCCGACCTTCTCCAGTGCCATCCGAAAGACGAGACTCGCCGCTGAGTCACGCCAGTGATCAGAGCCAGAAGATGGACTCTCGACCCAGGGGCCCGCCGAGGGACGCCACCGTGGTGGAGCTGACAACTCTGGAGAAAATATGGGGGAAGCTATTTGAGGATGGTAAGCCCACCGAGCGATTGGGACAGTTTTTACGTGGAATTGCCGTTCATCTGGTAAGTACCCCAATGATACTCTGAGGACGGTGTAAGTGCTGACACAGGCCTTAGATCGAGGATTATCCTCCTGGAAATACTCTTGTGATTGTGCCCGATAAATTGCAGAAATTCTACGAAGACACCAAAGTTTCATCGGACCCTTATCCGTGGCAAGGTACGTGTCATCCCTCCTTGTAGCTGGAAGCTTCCTGACTCTATCTTCTAGATATCTTTGATGACCGCACCTCTTCAATTTCGAGACTTTTTCGAGATATCGAGGCCGAACATCATCTGGTCCAAAACAAGTTGAATGAGAGACCCGACATTCCCGGACTGACCCCTCGGGGCTTCGAGCGATGGGCCACCTTGATGATTCAAGCCCACCCCGACAAAGAGTATGAGCGGTTCCAGAAGGCTGTTCTGAACATGCCGATTAGCAACCCGGACAACAAGAAGGAACGATTTCCCAAGGAGATTCCTCGTCGGCTTTTCCCGGAGATCGCGGACCTTCCTTTGAGGGAGAACCTGGATCAGTTCATCATAAAACACTGCGGTGTTGACTTACCTCCAATCACCGACGAGGAGATCAAGAAGGTAGCAGCGCAGCGACACAAAGTCTCGACCGGCTCGACCGCTTCGGCCGCTGAGCCAGGTCCCTCATCCGCCGATTCCGACCGCAAACCGCATCATGCATCGGTGTCCGCTGCCGTAGACGATGACGACGAGGACAATGATATCCCATCTCGACCGATTGAGCGCCAGCGGAAGCCTTATACTGCCCAGCCTGGAGGGGGCAAAGTGTATGAGGGTCCTGGAAAGTCCATGCATCGACGGGCCAATTCTTCCTCCGCAGGATCAACCTCTCGCGACGTCCCATTGTCGAGCTCTGCGCCGCGAGGACCCGGATCGCACTCCCCAGACCCGCTTTATCCCCGTGCTAGTAGCCAGCGCCCTGCGAAGCCTATGGGACGGTCTCGAAGCCCGTCTCGGGGAGCCAGCGACTACCGGCATTCAGAGAGTGACCTGCTGGGCCACAACGGCGGCTCTAGGTATGGAGGACTGTCCTCTGGCGACTATTATTACGCCTCCGGCTCCTCCAACACTCCCAATCTGTCAGGGGATCTAATCGATGATGATCGACGCTACCGCGATGTCCCACGCGAGATTTCAGATGACCAGCCACTGTACGAGTCCCTTCGGGAGCGAGAAAAGGAACGTGAGAAGAGCAAATACCGCGACCACCTTCCTCAGCGCAGCACTTGGGCTGGCGAAGAAGACTACTACCGTGGCATGCTTGGTGGCCAAGGTGGCGGTCCCGTTGGTGGCGGGTATGACAAGTATGGATCGAGGTTCTAGAAGTATGCGTGCCATGTAATTTTTGGCTTATTTCTAGTTGGCTTCCTAATGTTTGTTTCGGCGCTTTTCCATGGAAAAATGATATCCCTCATGTAACGAGTTTCTGTTTCAGCGGTTGTCATTTTGTTGGTATACGTCTGTTATGAGCTTATACATGTGACCACGATATAAACGAGCGCATCACACGTTGTTTAGTGCATATACTTCATTCCACCCGAGTGCTTCGTATAAATCCTATCGCATCGCGGCTCACCGCTTGATATTTCGCATGAACTTGATACCAGCGATTCGACAGAACTCCGCCTCTTTCTTCCTTCTCCGCTCCTCCCGCTCCCACAGTCTCAGGATCCGCTGATGGTCTTTCTCCTCCCGCTCGGCACGTCTGCGCATGCGTCTCCGCGCCTGGATATGCTCCTCCTCCACCCGCTCCTCCTCCTCATCCGCCTCCACCCGCAGCTTTGCAACCTCCTCCGCAGTCAACTGCCACGGAACCGATAGCACCTCGACCAGGTACCGGTTGCGCTGGTCGAGGAACCGCATTTCGGAGTTCGTATCCCGCACCGGGAACACGCGCTCCAGCTGCACCTGCATCATCCCGCGGAACATCGACAGCGTGCCCTTCACCTGGGCCCGGGCGCCGGGCACCAGCGCCGAGATGTCGAGGTCAGTGCCCTGGGTCGCGGCGACGTGTTTGTCCCGCGGGGCGCCCCCGTCCTCGGGATTTGTCCCGGCTGCGGCGGGCGCGTCGGGGGCCTTGCGCACGGCGATCTCGACGGTTGCGCCGCTGCTGTCGTCGAGGGTGAGGATCGTGAGGCGGGCGACTTCGGTGCGCGCGACGATGATCCCCACCAGGGAGACGAAGCGAATCGGGTGGTTGTGGTAGAAGTAGGTTTGGTCTGCGGGGTTAGATGTATGGCTCATGAGGGTTGTTGAGGAGGGCATACCTTCGAACCCCGGCTGCCGTTTCAGCCGATGGACGTCCGCGGCGGACAGCTTTACCCAGGTGAAGTGCGTGGGGGCTGCCTTGAAGCAGAATGCCGGGTAGAAGATGAGGTCATTGCCGGCGGCTGTCGCCATGGGCCCATTTTTTCTGGTATGAATGGACGTTGTTGACGATGATGGGGGTGTTGCGGAGATGGAAAGATAGAGGCGTAGCTTATCGGGAGTCACGTGTGATATATGTGCGTGCCTTGCTGCCTGATAATTATCCAGCTTCGTTACAGACGACAAGATGATGAAGTAATGGGCTATCATCATAACACAAACAGTTAGATACGTAAATGCGTAGAATACTGCCAAGGGCTAGCCTCCATTGCAGAATGGTAGGAGTCACAGGACAATATATACCCAAACTGTGACTATATGTATAGAAGGCATGTATGTGCATGGACATACTGGGCCGTGAATCACTCCTGTCACAGGATCTACCACTTACGCAAGGGGCTCTCCTGATAGAGAGGTGTAGGGTAGTTACTGCCTACATAGCAGGAGATGAAAGGAGATAGTCCATGGATTACATGACATCGGCTAGGATGGTGGACTGCCAGGTCTGCATCATTCAGAGTAGGAAACACAATCCAGAAGAGACATGCACCTAACCCAGTAATGCTAGTCCTATATTCGATGACGGACGGTCCAGAAATCCACACATACCGCCGCTGATATGACTCAGTACACTTCCAACTGTCAGCATGCAACACAACCGAAAAGACAGGAGTCGACTTACTGACAAGCACAACCCACCCAGGGTGCGTCCGTTGCCCACCCATTTGCCTCTTTCGCTGCCGCAGTGGGCTCAAAACCATCCTGCGGAGGCGCGGAAAGGTACCAATCAGAAACACCAATTAGATGTAGGGCTAGCTGTCCTCCGCCAGACAAGCGTGGAAGAGCACGGCTCTTGTTGAGGTCTTGGACAGGCGATGTAACCTGAGGCTTGAATTTAGTATTGGGGCCGAGTCGAATACTCCATCTCTGAAGTAGCTATTGGACCTCTACTATCGGCTTCATTGCAACAAAAAGGGGATGGAGGTTGAAAACAACCGAGAGGTATCTACAGATATATAAGCGACAAGTCTCCCAAAAAAATATTGACAAGAGCGAGATTCACTCACGACCGCTTTCGTGGACCAGGGTGCAAAATTCCAAAGAGGAAATTCTCTTCTATTATAGGGTTAGTCACAGTTATATCTTTAAAACACGAAAATTCCTTGGGTGGCTCACAAATCTGGCGCCTGCTAATTGGTTAATTTCGTGATGAGAGGCTAGGTAGTTTTCGAATTGAACAGACCGTAAACCACTCGGCCATTTTGTCTCACTAGAGACAATTTGGGCATTACACCTATAAGATCCCTATTTCAATACCGAGACCTGAATGCAGCCTTCACCTATCTGTAGAGGTGGAAGCTGGGCCGCTTGAGATCGTCGTGCAGCTTCGGTAGGGTTCCCAGGTGCTTTTTTTGGGCTGCTATATATGCAAATCACTTAGAGACTAGAACAACGGATGGACCTTACTATAGCTGAACACAAAGGAGTATCCCTTCAAAAAGATTGGTCTCCAGGAAGACGGGACTTGAAAAGGTTGCACTCCTGTAGGGCTTGGATATGGATCCCCCCGATCGCCTCATTAGTCGGTTCGTTACTATTCATTACCTCTACTTACTCTACATTCCTGGTGCCTTACTGATCGATCGCACTTTACGCCTCGGTCCCTTGGCCTATATATAACATAAGATAGAGCGTTCGGGGAATATCTAAGACTGGAGTTGAATCGTATTTTCTTCCTATGACATGTCAAATGTTGCGTATTGACACTGCGTCATACAAGCTCTGTCATTGCTTTGACAATATCTGATACAGCCAGTGTGTCATGTGAAGCATTGTGATACTGAAAATTCTGCTCTTGTCCTCGGCTCTCTAACAAGATAGAGTGAACAACCTCAAGTTTCATGCAGAATCCTGGCGGCAACATTGAACGCAAGAGATACCCGATGTTAACTGGATTGAAATTCTGCCCGGGCTGTTCAAGGTCTGGTTCTGTTGGCGGAAGAAATTCATCGGACCCGGTAAGGAGTTTGTGGAAGCATTTCCAGTCATGCGTCGCAAACCAACTAAATAGCTGAACTCGCTTTGGGCTGTATCCCAGCACATCTAAAAAATGCTTTCTGATCTCCGAAGGCTTCATACCGTGTGTATGGCTGCTGCCGTAGACTCGAGAAACCATCGGACCGAGGGGGTACTTGGATATCTGCTGTACCTTTTCAAGCATACGGGGTAACGATATCCCGTAATCGACCGTTGTTTCAAGCAACGAGGACCCATTCATTTGGCGAATCGATAATTGTATTGGGGTGCTTCCGTTTCCCTTTACTGTGATGAATTCACAATCAATAATCCAATTCTCATGCGGGCTGTCAACAAGATATCCCTTCAAAAGCTTGAGGGCAACCTTGTGTTCCGCAGTAGGGCGTAATTCCCATTGCACTCCTGGTTTGCTTGGTTGTATTTGTTGTCCTTGCCCAGCGTGTTTCAGGAGAATTTGCGTAAGCCCTTCCGAGTGATATTTGCAGTACTTGGAACGCGGGGACCGTGGTAAGGGACATGATTTCCACCCGCACATTGGCTTCCCGTCCACTTCTGTTGCCATTAGCCGTAAATGGCACATTATGAGTCGGTTGAGATCCTTCCGATTTCCTTTCGTTGCATTCAAACTCTGATTTGGTATGTTGCTATCCAGAGCCATGTGGTATGTGCCTGGACTTTCTCCTATCTCAGTCAATCCTGATTCACATGCTTCTCCATCAGCGAATTCGTCGCAATGAGGATCCAGGTCGCCATCTAGATTTTCGTCAAACAGGTCTTCCATCTCAATATCAAGCGGCTCGTTGGCCATTTGATCCTCTTCTGGGTCGCTGGTCTCGGGCGAGTTGTAGGCCAATAGGGTATTGAGAAATTCGTCGATATCAGAGCTACAACCAGCCCCGGAAATAATCGTGAATTCACCCGGGCGAAGTAGCTGGAATGGCTGGAGACGAAAGTTCTCGGCGAACTTTACTTGCGATGCACAAGCGTAGACCTCGTCCAATAGGATCGAAAGACTTGTGTATAATCCACGAACACGAGCTATTGGATACTTGCGAGAACTGCTTGCGTGAAGAATAGTGTCGTAAAGTGTCCACGCTGTGGCGAAACGACGCGGTCTCCATTTGACTTCCGTGGACTTGGTAAGAAAAAGCATGTCAACATCTGTGATATGCAAGACGGCACTGTCCTTAAAGTCAGACAGGACCTTGGTAAGTTCCTGATAGAAGAACTTCGGAACTCTGGTAGATTTCCTTGACCGTTTCCATCTAAGCGCCGCATAATCAATTGTCCATCCTTGGAGGAGAAGGCGATCTGTGTTGGCACCATTAATCGATCTAGGGCCTCTGAGGTCCAGAGATAGTGGCAAAATGACCTGTCTACCATCCAAGAATGATAGTACTGTGGCCCACTGGGGAGGGGCATTGGTGTGTGGCTCATTGTAATCGAAGCCCACTCGAACTGGCATTGCAGAATGAAGCAAGTTGCTCGCCTGGGAAAGACAGTGACAAACAAGCGAGACACATTGTTTCAAACAGTCATAATCAGACGCCGATGCTTCAGCATTCAGTTTTCCATAAAGCTCAGACGATTTGTAGGCCCAAATCGTATGGTGGGCACCCGCCCTCCTCTCCAAAGAGGGTATGAGTGGGTAAAGTCTCCGGCTTATGTCGGCGACTGAAAGTTCTGCCTGACTATATCGAGAGCCACCAAGGTATGACTGCGGAGAATCCACGTCAAAAGGCACACTCTCGGAGGGGATGTGGGACGTCGGCTCGTTTGGATGCCCAGGGTGTGAGCTTTCTCCTTCGATTCCAAGGAATCTATAGGCATCCTCAAAACTGTAGATGCGCATTGGCAGCCCTGATTCAATTCCAACGAAAGGTATGGGGTGGTCAAGCTTGGCAAGCTGTTGTAATCAGCGATGGAAGCAAATTTCTTTTGCATCACAGGTCATACCTTGTTCCAATCGTCCATTGTAATCACCCCCGTATCTATCAACTGCCGTCGCCCGAACTGGAGCAAATGAAGCGGACAGGATGTTGTCCTCCAATTGCTCGCTTGCTCTCTGAGTTTTTCTTCATCCTTGAGCCATCTCTTAAGACATGCTACCTGGATATAGAACTTCTCTGCAACCTGTTTCAAAGAGAGCGGTTTTAGAGTCTTAGTCACCAGGTCGTATTCCTTCGCATTGCGGTAGAAGTCAATAACCTCAAGCCTCTCACGAATCGAGGAATATTGGATGCCTTTAGTTTTCTCAAGCCGTTCGTGCATTGAGGTGTCCATTGCCTTGGCCTTGTATCGAATAAAGCGTGAAGAGAACGAGAGGGATGACTAGGGAGAAATCAGGAAAGACAAAGCCCATGGAGTTAAGTAGGAGTGAAGAGGAGGAACAAAGTACACAATTTGAGTGCCCCTGGAGAGACGGTGGGGGAATTCCACTTGCCGCAACCTGGAAGAGACTTACAAAGTGAATGGCTTTCGTAGTGGCCGCAAGTCTTTGTTTGTTGTACAACCCCGTCACACGACATACCTATGCAGATACCCGGAAGCTCATGCTTTGTTACACTTCGTGGCAAACCTCTAGAATAATTCTCAGATGCCTACAAGTTTCACTTATGTACCTGGGTTCCAATCTAGATACATTATCTCAGTCTTAGGTCCCATGGACGGGTATATGATACTGTCTCAGTCTCACGACTTACCTGTTATAGTAGCCCCTATAGTACGTTGCGATCTAATCATAAGAGTCAACTATCTTAATGGATAATTGAACACGCTGCTTCTGCGGTATTCTCACTCTTCAAATACGCCTGGTGAATACAAGATTTGTCCAGAGACCTGCGCGCCTACTTGTTCTAAACTCAATCCTATTACCTCTTTATCTCACCCAACTCCATATATGGGTCATTCTCGTCATCCTCCGTCGACTCACAGAGATTTATTCTTTCAATGCAGCAAAGTACCTACTTTGTCATTCACGTCTAATCTCGCCTCCACCCTTTTTTCGTCTGCCCAGACGCACACCGAAGACTACAAATGACGGGCCATATTCAGGGATAAATGTCATCAGAGACGACTGACGCTTTGCACTCTAAAGAGGCAAGAGTAAGTCTGATACCCTACGCAAATAACTCTGATGCTGATGCCAATATACGGAGGATGAATCATCCTGCTGAAGGGGCAACGGGTATCCCATGTCTCTCCACTTCCTTGTACGACATAGCAGGACATATCGGAATCTTGACCATTGGGTTCAAAAATCCAAAAGTCCCGGATAAACCCCTGACAGATACCCCCCCGTGCAAATGGCGCCTCTTGTGAACGAAATCCGCAGTTTTCTTCTGGGTCGACCCATTGCAACGCTACGAGTGATCCACGTCTCTCTGGGGTCCTATTCCATCAAGGAGATACTTCGAGCTCTACCTTTTTGTGGATACAAGTTTCGCGACGGTCCCTGGGAGGGAGCCTTGGTGCAGTTTGGTGTCGATCCTCGGCTCAAGCCTTTTTGTCGCGTCTACCAGACACTTACCTTCAAGACATCCTTGAATCCTATCGTTTATTTCGAGAGTACTTCGGTCCCAGGCCTTGACACACTGGAATTTCCACAATTCTACCCGCCGACAAGTAGGGAAAGACATATGTTCGATGGCAAGATGTTCGATCCTACAGCAGATACTTGGCAGATATGTGATCTGTGTGACCCCCAGCTAGCCCGCATCGCGGCAACAACCGATACGAAACTCCTGCCGACACAAGATACGGGTTATTTCAAAGTGGCTACCATGGCAAAGCTAACAGTGATCATGTACGACAAGTTGATTTGCATCCGTGACCAATGGCCTTTACACACAGAAAATGAATACGAGGTTCTTCTGGTCCTACCGGACTCATATCAGTGGAAGAAAGCAAAAAAAGGAAAGCGATATGATCTGGAGCTGAAGGGAATTTCAACCAAATGGCAGCAAAACCTTTGGGGCAAAATGATACGTTACCTTTACGAGCATTCACTAGAGGTAAAAAACAAAAACGGAAACAAAAGGGGGAGCAAGAGGACCAGAGGACCCGATGAGTCTCCCAGCAGTACCGGCTTGTAGGGAACAGTTGTTATACAGTGGCGTCGAGAGACAATGTACGAATGTCTAACCGGTTCATACTCTCGACCTTATCGACGATTGCTTTGATGACTGATTTCTCTTGGGCCACGGTCCATCCACGTATTGTGAATTAAAGATCAAAATTAATTCGACAATAAAACTCCGGTGATATGGGAGCCCTTATTCCTGCGGCTCTGTGCCGCCACCTTGTTCGATGTCTGGGATGGACGTGGTCGGTCGAGATCATTCGGAGGAGCCCATCGGCAGTGGGGAGTTAGAGTCCAGAAATTCATCACTGAGTGCCCTTGATGCCAGCTAATTCCGCTCGTAAACTAGTAGGGGCAAGGTCACTGATTTGACTTACCAGGTCTCTCCGGTCCAACCTCGACACTCTCCTAAAGCTCCATGTCAAGTTTGCCCCAGGAAGGGCTGACCATGGCTTGCAGCCATCCAAGCAATTGAGGTTTATGACCGGCCGTGCCACCCGGTCAGCGGAAATCAATTCGATGTGCTTCGTTAGATCAGCGACACAGGGATAAGGTACTCTCCTCGTAACATCACCATCAATCCTGTAGTTCCTAATAGCACACTCTTCAGCCAGGGATATTTACTGAGCATAATTGTTAACAATATTTTATTCGGAGGGTATTAATTTGGATGCTAGAAAAGAGAGTAACTGCTAACCAGACTAACAGAAGCTAAGGCTGACCTTTTCATTGATTCTCTTTTGGGAATCGCCTATAGAGCACAGTCTTCTCTTCTCACTTAGTACCCGCCTAAATCGTGCTATCCAACCAACACTGCGTCTGACAAGCCGAAAGTTACCTCGTGGCGCCAACTCATGCCTAGACCATCCGATTATTCTACAAAAGGATCAGTTACGACTTTACAGAACCGGTGTCGGTCACTAGACACGTCTCTATACTTACATCAATCGTCTACTAACCTAGTTGCCTCGGTCCTTAGCTAGTCGTGGCCTGGAAAACCTTATTCCAGGATCGAAGTACCCGAATATATGCGACTTCTACCTTATATATTTCATTAATGCAGCAGTCTCATACGCATCGGGTACACCGGTTTAGATTAATATCTAGCAGAAGTCAAACACGGCTGCGAGGTTTTTGGCAAATGATAGTAAGCACATTTTCATCGGCCTCATCACGGACAACCACTAGTTCTTTCCTTTTCTGAATATCTCTTTGTGGATCCATATTTGTCTTTCTATGATTGACTAATTGTCTTTTACCATCTTTACGTCTAGCTGTATGCGTATCCTGCTAGCTAAAACTTCCGAAGATTTTGGTTGGAGAGAAATCCGGCCTGTTAAAATAATTAATCCATTGTCCAGCCGGTATTTAGTTGTACATATAGAGCGAGGAATTGCGCATCCCCATGTACGACCCAGCGTGTGATAAGTTTTATAATTACAAGTGTCAAGTTATGTATCAGTCAGGCAAGGTGGCCGAGCGGTCTAAGGTGAGCCCTCTTGTTTATCGGCAGACTTGGAGCTTTGAACTAACCAATCAACAGGCGCTGGATTCGTATGACTCACCAATCAAACCCTCAGCCCGATAAAGCTAACAGCCCCACAGAAGAGTTTCCTCTTAAGGTTAAAATGCCTCCCAGTACGCATAGCGTGCGCGAGTTCGAATCTCGCCCTTGTCACTATCTTTTTTTTGGCCTCCTTCACTGGAGGCACTACTTTCCCTGCCCTTCCCTGCCTGCAGTAGGATAGTCGACATTTTGTTTACTTCTACCGCGACGCTATAAATTAATACTCCTATGCGTGGCACGTTTATACCCACCCCTATGGGGGACTGGGATCTGTCTGATACTTAGTTGGTGGGGGGTGGGCGCTTCTGGGTAGAGTCATCGCCTCGATGGCCACTACGCACACCAATTTGACCTCTTTTTGAGTTTCACTTCTCTTCCTGACACAGGATACTTTGGGTGGGTCAAGAGCTACCATGGACAATGAGTCGGTGGTATTAGTGATTGTCCTTCACTACCTAGGTTGGTTCATGGATAATTTAATACAGAGCAATTCACTCCTCTGTATCTCACTTCTATTTGTCATCTCTGTCATATTGAGCCAACAACTACCTTCATATACAAACATTTTGACGTCAGTCTGCTTATCGGTTGCAAGTAACATGTTCTCTCCCAAAGCAATACTTCAACCTCTGGAGCAATGCTGGTCTCATCGTCCGAGCTGGCTCTCATAGCTCTCTATCCTCCCTCAGCTTTCGCGGGATCCAAAGCTCTGAGGGCTGCTGTGACCGCAAAATCCACAAGTTTGGCACAGGGCGGCTTCCAGCAATACATCTCGCTGAAGCATGTGTCCAGAAGAGATTTTCACCCTCATCGAGGCCCACCGCCGCGAGCTGGGTCGCACAGCGCGTCTGACCTACTTCCAAGACATCCAGACCCTCATTGTCAAAGTCGCCTCTCGTCAACTGAAGCGGCGCAGTGGGGTCTCGGGCAGTTAATCACCCCGGGAGTTGACCGCATAAACATTCCCTTCGCCGAGTTCACGGCTCTAGGATCGACGATGTACACCGGACCCTCGCGCTCAACCAAGGAAGGCGATTCTCCATTCACAAACTCCAACCAGAGACTGAGGGGATGGCCGTACCTGGCAATCGAAGCGTGGCCAAGTCGATGTCCAGATTGCGGGCTGAGGCAGCCTGGTGGTTCGCGAATTCGAATGGTGCCGTCAGGCTGGTACTGCTTGTCCAGGTCGGTGCGCGCAGCGAAAGACGATCGCCGTCGAGAAATATGATCGGACTCGCGGACCGCCGACTGGATCGAATCCGCATAGGCTGTGGAGACCTCGTAAGCTCAGGACTGTTGTTATCGATCGACAGGTCACGACGCCGACTATACATGTTGTCCCAGCTGTCGTTACGGATCCTCCTCTGACGCTGGAGTTTACCCTTGTTTTTGGCCGGCCGCCGAATCCTCCAGTGGGAGTGGACATCGTGCTCGCAAACGAATAGCTGCTGGAATGGTCTCGACTGGTGGTCTCCTAATCCGAGTTGCTTGTACTATGGAGTTTCTGTCGTCATGAGATTCCTTCGATGGGAATAATGCGAAAGCTATGATATATTTCGTGCAGAGAGGGTGGTCGTTTGTATTTTGATTCTAGGGGTGAGTGGAGGTACTACCGCGCATGAGAAGACTGTAGCTCCTGGATGGTAGGACGAGCTGAAATGGGAGTCACTGGATGCAAACCACACCTCATCCCGTCCAACGTAGGAAGGTCAGTGTCTGGCTTGTATGGAGTTGGGCGTAACCGTACCGCTTCCAGATGGCACCAGAATCTGCTACTGTAGAGGGACTGATCTTGCGGTATTGATGGAGACAAGATATAGAGTGGGTTATGTACTGTCTCGACTTTCTAATATGCACAGACTCGCTATAACAGAAAGACAACATCATGATGCTAGCAAAACTTCTTGGACTTGAGATACTCATAATCAGCCATCGCCTCGACAACACACTTATGAAGCATCTCCGCTCTGCTCTCTCCAAACTCTGCCTCCCACTTCTTCTTCTCTTCTTCGATGTCTACATCCCCAGCAGCTTTGTCTTTGCGGACACCACTCGACGACGCCACAGTCCCCTTCCAGACCCTGGTAATCGGGCTTCGCAGGCAATCCCGTCTGGGGCTCCACGTGTACTGGACCCTGTCCGCGTCCAGTCCCAGGATATCCGCCAGGCGACTGACCAGTTCGGGGCGGTTGATATAATCGTCGGCATCTAGCACGACGGGCGTCGCGGCCGTATCCTCTTTCAGAGCAGAGTATTCCATATACCAGTCATACAGGGACCGGGTGAAGGAGAACGACAGCTGCGATTCTATGTACTCATCCTGCGCGCGACGACACAGTTCCGCCTGGGGCCTGGATTCGTAAAGCCGGACAAAGGCTCGATAGTAAGAGATGAACGACCGGGCCGGATGTCGGATCAGGAAGATGGGTTTCCAGTCTCCCAGGTACGCGGACGGCAGCACCGTGGGATTCTGAAGCCGGTCATCGTGGCCATTCTTCTGCTGGGAGGAGACAGAGACGGTGAATTCAGCGGAGACTGTATCACCCCCAGCATCTGGTCGCCATAGCAGATTACAGTGCTCCTTTGCAAAGACAACCTTGCCATCGGCTTCTCCCTTGACGCGGTATTGGTCCAGCTTGTCGAAACACCGTTGGTATCCTTGTTTGAGACGGCTCCGCTCATCTTCGGTCCATGTGTCCACAGGACTGCTTTGTAATTGCATCGTCGTGTCCACGAGGTCGAGGTCGACAAACGGGTACGATGTGTCTTCATCGTAGTATATGTTCGGTTGACCCTCCAATCCTAGGAGTCGCGTCAGGAGATTCGAAGTCATGCGCGGTTGGGAGAGTAGAAATATCCGAGCTGGTTTGGGTGGTGTGGAGGCATTCATTGCGGACAGCACAGTATCGAGGTGAATTCCCCTGAAGCGCGTTGAAGTTAGGAGATGTGAGGGTTGAGGGCAGCTATGGTCATAGCTTGTTCACGCGACATTCGCGTCGACGGATGTCTTCTCCTTGGTATTCAGCCATTATATCTGCTGGGCAGATAAATCAGTAGACGATCCTTATAGAGGCCAGTAGTTTCAGAATTATTCGTGGGTTTCATCTTGCTTGATTTGCGGTGCCTGTAACTCACCGCGTTTTATGTTTTGGTGATGACGAGTACAACAGATGACGACGATCACCACAAACGACGTCATTGTCAACATCGCCACCCTCTCCCCATATGCCAATATTGCCTCTGATCGTGTGCCTTGAATAGTCATCCCTTGGACTCGAGGCCATCCAATGATACATGTCTTCAGCTACCCCGCATCGGAAGGCCGTGCATCATGGTGGTGGTGGTGGTGGTGGTTAACATGCACATGCACTTGTGAACCACTCCCCAGAGCTCAATAAGCTCCAGCTAGAGCGAGCAAGAGCCGATCAACCGCGAACCGGGGATATTGCAGACGAGCTTCTCCGCATTCTTCACAAGCCTCACAGGCGAGTCAATGGGAGGGGGTACAAATGATGGCAGACAGCGCTGTCGGCATCAGGGGCTCTCAACTTTCAGAGTCTGCTGTTTTGTCTGCTGCGGAAACCGCTTCGTACTGTTCATCATGCCTTCAACGTGGGAGAGTATCGTCCTACCGACGAGTCCAGAGCCACGGGGCATCTTCCAAGTGCATCCCCTGACGGCAGAGAGCGCGGCCAAGACCGCCGAATTGCTGAGGAAGAACCACGAGCTCTACCACATCTTTATCCATAATGCCGGTGTCCATAGTAGGCATGGCTGTATTTCGGGCGTTGCCTGTGCTGACGCTTGCAGACCATATCCTGCACCACTTGCTCGCCATCTACGCCCTGGGGGCCACGCCGGCCCAGCTGGAAAAGGCCTTCCAGCTCGGCATGGCCTCGCAGAAGCCCGTGAATGCGCCGAACGTCGAAAAGGTCCATGACTTGAGCGACCCCGCCAAGTTCAAGGCTCTGATGGGTAGGGCAAAGTATTACAGTGAATACTACGCCTTCTTTGAGGACGAGGTCAGAAGAAACGGAGTCCCGAAAACAATCGAGGAGTATGTATTCAAAGGCGACGAGAGAGCAGAGGAGATGTTCCGCAGGTTCTGGGGTGGTCAGTACCGCCTATCTATGAGGTAACACGGTCATCCATCAACTTACACCAGCCAGCGTATCTGCACTCGCCCATCCATCTCGGATACGCGATCGAATTCGACCAGCCCCTCATTGCGGTCGACGCCTTAGCTCTCACAGCGATTCATGAGTCCCGACACGGAGACATTTTGGATATGGTAGAGGAGTATGCCCAGGCATCGGCGTCACGGCCTGGACGTGCTCTCGTCGATATATTAGGGGATATTAGTTCCAACAAAGCCATCCGCAAGGCGTTGAATTATGAACACATCGATAAGATAGCGCAGGGTATCCTCCCCCATGCGAAGGAGGACTTCATTCGCCTGGTGAGCCAGTACCGGGTTCACCCTGATGAGCTGGAGGTCAAGACTGCTGAGCTACTGAACGCATTCAGTAAGCCGCATTCTACCAGACGAAAGAACTACCTAACACCCTCCAGCATACATCACTTGTCTCGCGCAGCGCCCAGACAAAGAAATCCGGATCGACTTCTTCCTGATGCACACCGTCACGGCTTCATCGTTCGCACCCGTTCTAACGCAGACGTCGTGGATCTCCCGCCCGAACAGAGCGCGCATTCTGGAGTGGCTAGGTCGAGCAGCGTTGACGGTCTACATCGAAGCAGGTGCCCCTAAGCCTCGTCCTGAGGAGCTGGCCTCCTATATGCCCCTTCACCCCTCCGGATGGGATGAAATCTTCCGCCGTGCATGCGATTACGAAGATGATGGCCATCTGTCTAAGCTCATCCGGGGCATTCGGACGACCTCAATCGTCTCGAGGCCGTACGTGGACTGCCGCGAGTTTCCACTCAAGCGGGAGGAGGACTTTTTGACCTTGGCGCATATGGGTAAGTAGAGGTCTTCTAGGATGTCGTGGGCGATGACTTACACTGCAAACAGTCATCGACAGCTCGGAGAAATTTCAGGACGAGCAGACTTTGAAACATGAGGTGGAGATGGTGAACGAGAAATCCTTACTATCCAAGATTTTGCCGTACGGCATCCAGCAGGTCGTGGCTCGGTGGCCGCGCGGTGTGGGATTCGATGAAGCCCGGTATCATGTTGCTGACCGGAAGAGCGGCGCTGTCCCAAGGGCCAGGATTTGAGGGCTTGCCATTGTCATGGTTGAAATCTACTTCGAAGGATCAGTAGGACCTGAATTGCAGCAGTTACGAAGCGTCCATGGCTATAACCGGAAAAATGCCGATGCTAGAAGACTTCCCCTCTTCCATCGCGCGTTTTAAACATCTGGCATAGATCCCTGCTGCGGATGATTCGTGGATCTGCATTTAACCAGCGAAGATCTCTCTCATTTAGCCGGCGGCTGCTGTCCAAATGGATATACCCTTGGATAACTAGATGGCATGGACCAAGACATCCCCGCAATTATTCCCCACCGGGTGTACTCCGTATAAGAAGGGCGAAGATGCAGGGACCTGAGTCCCCCTGCAAAGCGTCCCCCATCTCCATTCCTGCACCGTAGGACACACCACGAACGCAATGCGGGCGTTGTCGAGCATCACCCTCTGGGTGTCGTCTCTCATGGCAATGGCGAACGAGAGTCTCGCCCACGGCCTCCCAGGCTCAACATATACCAATCCTGTGTTCGGCGGCTGGCACTCCGACCCATCCTGCGTCCATGTCGCCGAAAAGGATACCACGTACTGCGTGGTCTCGACATTCATCGCCTTCCCCGGCTTGCCGATATACGCATCTAAAGACCTCCGAGACTGGAAGCACGTCAGCAATGCGTTCAACCGGCGCAGCCAGGTCCCTACCCTGGCGCAGGTTACCAACCAGCAGGGTGGCATGTATGCGCCCACCCCTGCGCTACCACCAGGGCAAGTTCTACCTGATTGTCTCCTTCCTGGACCCCGGGGCCAAGGGGCTGGTCTTCACCACCACCGACCCGACCGACAACGCCGCCTGGAGCGATCCCGTGGAGTTCGCCGTCCACGGGATCGACCCAGACCTTTTCTGGGACGACGACGGCGCCGCCTACGTCTCCTCCTCCGAGAACCAGGCTATCTGGCACTATTCCCTCGACCTAGAAACCGGCGCCACAGGGCCCGCCACCGGGCTGTGGAATGGCACCGGCGGTGTCTGGCCCGAGGGCCCGCATATGTACCGTAAGGACGGTTACTACTACCTCATGATCGCCGAGGGCGGCACCGAGTTGGACCATGCCGAGACCATGGCCCGGTCCCGGAACCGCACCGGCCCCTGGGAGCCCTGCCCGCACAACCCCGTCCTCACCAACCGCAACACCACCCGGTACTTCCAGACGGTCGGCCACGCAGACCTCTTCCAGGATGGTGCCGGGAACTGGTGGGCCGTGGCTCTGAGCACGCGCTCCGGCCCGGCTTGGAAGAACTACCCCATGGGCCGCGAGACCGTGATGGTGCCCGCTGTCTGGGAGAAGGGAGAGTGGCCCGTTGTGCAGCCTGTGCGCGGGCGCATGCGCGGGCCTCTTCCGGCGCCAGCGTCGAAACCAGGTGACAGCTTGGCCGGCGTCGGGATCGGTCAGTTCGTGGGTGCGCCGGACCGAGTGGACTTTGCGCCGGGAGAGGCCATGCCGGCGCATTTCATGTACTGGCGATTCCCCAAGGGAGATAATTACGCCATTTCGCCGCGCGGCCATCCGCACACGCTGCGGCTGACTCCCTCCGCCAGTAATCTCACCGGCACTGCCGACTTCCAGCCCGACGACGGCATCACGTTCGTCGGACGTAGACAAAGTGATACCCTCTTCACGTATGGGGTGGATGTCTCCTTCGATCCGAAGGTTCCGGGTGAGGAAGCTGGTGTCACGCTGTTCCTCACGCAGTATCAGCACGTGGATCTGGGGATTGTCCTTTTGCAGGAGGGCGACAGCGGGGAGTTGTCGCTCTCTTTCCGGTTCCGCGTGGAAGGCCGCGGGAACTTTGAGGGTACCGTTGTGCCGGCCGTTATGACAGTTCCTAAGGCGTGGCGGGGAAAGCCGGTTCGACTGGAAATCCAGGCTGTCAGTGACACGGAGTATGTGTTTTCAGCCGCGTTGGCGCACAAGCCGCAGCAGAAGAAGGTCATCGCACGAGCGAGCTCGTTGTTGGTCAGTGGCAATACAGGTAAATTTACGGGCACACTGGTTGGGGTGTATGCCACCAGCAATGGTGGACCTGGGTCGACGGAGGCGTATATCAGTAGATGGAGATACGATGGACAAGGTCAGATGATTGATGAAGGGGTTATTGTGCCGAGCTAGTCATCCCAGGCCGTCGTGATGTATATACACCGCAAAATGGTAGACGTATGGACGCAGATTATGCCCATAAGACCGGTACCAGTCAAACGTGGAATATGCCTTGGCTGAAGCTCTCGTAGGAGCCTGCATCAATCCCAGATCCCATCCATCCGAGCCCATACCACGACCCAACATCCCATTGGTTGTCGAATGAGAGATCGGGGTTGGAGAACGGAAGGATGTCGGGCATTAGATCAGAGATCATGCCGCCAGCGGCGGCTGTCATGCCCATGCCCTCGGCCTGGTCCGACGACTGCAGGTCTATCTGCTGGTCTTTGTGGTGGGTCCTGATGTCGACAGTACCACTCAGGATCTTCGATACCGAATCCGCGCACTGTGCTATGCAGATGTCTGCCAGGTCCCACCCGTCGTTCTCAGCAGCATTCTGAAGCTTTGTCCAGAAGCGCCGGAGACTCGTCTTGCAGGATTGGACAATTGCCTTGTCCGTTGATTCGACGGTGCACCGTAGGAGGATGATCACGGTCAAGATGAGGTGATATGATGTATCTGTCGAGCGTCAGGGAAAGACAGAGGTGCATTGTTTTGGGAGGACTTACAAGGAAGCCAAAATTCTTGAAGCTGGGCCTTACTCAATGAGCAGACGTATTCCGCAATCTCCTGTGCTGATTTACGAAGTTGCGACAAGTGGTACTTGGTGTTTTCTGGGCGGTCTAGGTCATCTGACAGTGTTGCAGCCTACATGTCGTTAGGAGATGCTTTGTGGTTCTCAATGCGAAAAACTCACATGTAATGCAATCCGATTCAGCAGCAATCGAACACTGAGGTAGCCGAGTCGGAGACTACTGGACCCAGAGACACTTGGCTGGTCGCCTGCGGCTGGTTGGAGATAGCTGGGCAGGGAGTCTTCCCATCCATCCAAATCGGTCTCCAGACGGCGTATCTGCTTCCAAACATCCTTCTGGTTCGTGTTGAGGTCATAGACAAGCGGGAGCACGTCCCCGAGAATCACGGTCAGCGTACACAGACGGATGAACGACTCTGCAGCTTTGATACGATATTCAGACTGAACGGTCTCTGGTACTATTTCAGCCAGCACAGGGACGGGAACATCGTACTGCGTCCTCGATACAACGGGTGGGATGCCGTGCGCAAAACTTGACCTATTTTTGCATGAACAAGGAGTATCAAGACGGACAGGAAGTGATGAACTCACCAGCGATCGTTGATAACAACAGCCCACCACAGGCGAATCCGAAGGGCTTTTTCGCTCTTAGGTCGACGCCAGTTCGTGGGATCTCGGTTGAGACCGAGACTCTGGGCAAGGCACACGGCACGGCCAATGTTCATCGTATTCATGATCACGGATAGAACGGGCCGTCCCATCATGTCTAGAATGACCGAATATACGGTTGACAGGCCGGGAGCCATGAAGTCATGCTGCATGGCCTCTACTGCCAAGTTCCAGATGAATTGCGGGTCCGGCTTGGGGAATTTCTTGAGAGTTGGGGAGTGTTTCCACAGAATGAGCGAGAGGGCAAAGAACTCGCAGGTGAGCGCCGGGGAAAGTTTATCCCCGCTCTTGTAGAGTTCGATGAATGACTGTTCATCCAAGATCGGAAAGGCGGGATGATATTTATCAAAGTATCTTTCGATAGTGATGTTAGTTTAGCTGGTTAATCCGAGGACCAAGAAAGCAACCCACAGTCGGACTAGCTCGTCGGCATAAGGCTGAAGGATCTGCATGAGGATCTCCTTTTGCTGTTTCCCCGGGTTCTGCGAGATAGCTAGACCTTCTCTCCGTCGGGGGACTCGGAGATACACGCTTGGTGCGCTATTAACCGCATGGGACGCCAGGCCCCCGGACAGGGCGTTGGCCTTGGAGGACATGTAGCGCTCCAGGATCTGAATATCTTCGGAGATCACTGGACACGCTACCATGGACATCTCGATTTTGGACCGGTCATGATCCGGAGAGCCATGATAGTCAGGCCCAATGTTGTCCTGGCTTCCCTCTCCGTCGGCGGTGGATAAACGTCCACTGTTGTCCTGGGGCGGAGAAGGAGCGGCAGGGGCGCTCGTCGGCTCCAGACGACGCTGATTAACACGTCTGGAAGTGCGACGCGTATTCATCTGCGCTTTTGGACTTCCTGATATCACACAGGGAACATCCTGCAGGCCGCAGAGCACGCATGGCCGATCGGGGGTGCCGCCGGTGCAGCGTCGCTTGAATCGGCGACACCGATCACAGGCGGGGACTTTGTGTGAGCGGTAGGGCCGGCGTTGACTTTCCATGCTGTAGAGGGGGCAGTTTGAAACGTTGTATCAAGGAAGACTGCGTCTGCTGGTCATCGTTGTGTCTAGTGAGGGGTTTCCCTGCGGAAAAGGAGGGTGGAGTTCTCCGCCGGAAAAGATGCGATAAGAGATAAGATTGGCCCTCCATAACCCTAACTATGGTTACCAGAGTATGTCGCTGAGAGTCTTACAGGGACATAAGTTTTCAATTAAGTGCATTCAGTTTATGGTAGCATCATATAGGTATACAAACCAGGTATTGAGAAGTTTGTAGGGATCCATAAAGTATAACAATGTTCCCACAAAGCTTCGTGCAGAATGCAGTGACGTTTACTACACTTTTAGGCGCCAGATAGCCAGCCATACACAAGACTTTGGTGCCCAGATGTACCCGGATTTTGGAAGAATTCATTTGAAAAACCGGGTAGCTGTCAATCTAATACTCCACTTGTAGCGTCGTATATCAAGCAGAATCTAGGTACTCGTACAGAACACATCCGTTCAACTCAGAACACGGACAGATCATCAAAGTACGCACCTTACTCGCTATATCCTCCCATCATACGAAGATGGAAGCTGTGTGGGAAAAGGTCAAATGATATTTTTCTCACAAGGCCTTATCTCCCCTCGACCTGTGGTCTGCTCTGCATTGGTGCGACCTCAAGCCAGTATGCCGCCCTCCCGACAACAGTGGGCTCCACGACGGATTGAGCCTATCTGACGATGCAATGTCTTTCTTCACTCTCATCGGCGAGACCAGCAGACCGCCCTGTTCATGTAGCAAGGCACAACAAGTATACCAGCGCATGGAACATTACATTCGCACTGCCCCGGAGCACCATGCCGATGATTACTCCATCCACACGGGGAAACCAGACACAACATTAGAAGAAGTGTGCCTTTACAGCATGCGGGACGCTATGCAATGGTGGTCACACTGGTACGGCACACTTGAGGATCATTATTGGAAAAAGACGTTGATTGGCAGCTCGACCGTCCCCGACGACGTGATGATTCCTCCCCAGGACCTCGCTAGCGGCCGTTTCCGCTTCCCGGGGAATAGCCTGTCCGATATCCTTGCTGGCTAAAGGTCCGAGGGAATGAGCCCAGAAGATATCACCTTGATAGAGCATTACCTCCTCCGGCAGTACATGATTCAATATCTTGAAAAGGCAGACCCCGAGATCATGCAGATGCTGCGTGGGAACATCACCCTCATGCTATGATGGAGGAGCCTCACTAGTTTTTGTGACGGCGCGTCAATCGCAGTGGTAGCAGCTCGAGGCATCCCGCCGGCGGCAATCTCCAATACGGGCGTGGAGCTGGCCAGCGTTGCCCAGCTGATCGGTCTGGATATCTGCAAAGAGACTCGAGGCATTCCAGGGCGAAGCTACCGAGACCGTTGCAGGGGCTGGTGACCGAGAGCAGCGGAAACGGGAGATGCGTTGGGTTCAGGCGCGATTGATCGAGCGCCTGAATCTTTGTCCCGAGGGGAATTACCTGAAGCCATATGCTACCTCTAGCTTCCGGTATTTCTTTATGATGGATCGGTACCGGGAGCGCTTGATCCAGAGGCGGTTGCCCTTGACTGATGTCCAGTCTCGTCTTCTTCAGCGCCAGATCCGGGCTGCTGGTGGAGTGGGCGACATGGGGTACAGGTCAGGCAATGAGACAAAGCATGGAAAAGGGGTGAACGGTTGGGACACTGCCATTGAGTCCGTTCATATCAAAAACCTTGTATAGGGGATTCTATTCCGCTGCATCCCGGCTGACACCAATATAAAGTCAATTACTATAGGACCCCTGCATATATGACCCCTGAGTATTCCTTGACCATGCTTGAATGCATTGAATGTCTTTTGGTCGAATAATGGGATTGCAGCTGTCGCTGGATTGGTTCGCGCATTGCATTGGTGATAGTAGTAACTAACGAAACCCTCCGAACACGAGGTTCTGCTAAAGATACTGGATCCGAAGATTTGTGCTTTTGACCCACTGTAAGCCACATAAGGCAATCAGACTATCGATCCGCTAGCGGGATCGGCGAGAGCAAACAACAGACTCGAGTAAGCACAGGGGCTCAATTGCGCGAGGAAAAATGGATTTCTTTCATTCTTCATGCAGGACTTCTCTGTGTTCCAGGCTTTCAAGCAATGGGGAATACCACCAGCATCGCCGCTGGGCGTGACTGTCTGATATCCGCTGTGGGAGGTAATGCAGCTCATGTCGCGTTCCAGGATCAGCTACTCTACCAGGCTACAGCCGTCGATGTATACAACTTGAATATTCCGGTCACTCCGGCGGCAGTCACATACCCTCAATCAGCGGACGAAGTTGCCGCCGTGGTGAAATGTGCCTCAGAATATGACTACAAGGTGCAAGCTCGCAGCGGAGGACACAGTTTTGGCAACTATGGTATGATGACCGATAACGCACTTCTCGGTCTTGGACATACAGTCGACTGATTCGCGCGTGATTGCAGGTCTCGGAGGACAGAACGGCGCCATTGTGGTCGACATGAAGCACTTCTCCCAATTCTCCATGGACGAGTCGACCTACACCGCGACCATCGGACCCGGAATCACGCTCGGCGACCTCGACACCGAGCTTTACAACGCGGGCCACCGAGCCATGGCACACGGGATTTGTCCGACAATTCGGACGGGCGGCCACCTGACGATAGGCGGGTTGGGCCCGACAGCGCGCCAGTGGGGGCTGGCGCTGGACCATGTGGAGGAAGTCGAGGTTGTGCTGGCAAACTCGAGCATTGTGCGAGCATCCGAGACACAGAATCAGGATGTGCTCTTTGCCGTCAAAGGAGCAGCTGCTAGCTTCGGGATCGTCACCGAGTTCAAAGTGCGTACCGAACAGGCCCCAGGCCTGGCCGTGCAGTATTCGTACACGTTCAATCTGGGGACCCCCGCGGAGAAGGCGAAGCTCCTCAAAGATTGGCAAGCTTTCATCGCGCAGGAGGACCTCACCTGGAAGTTCTACTCCAATATGGTCATCTTCGATGGCCAGATCATTCTCGAAGGCATTTTCTTCGGCTCGAAGGAGGAGTACGACGCGCTCGACCTGGAGAAGAGATTCCCCACCAGCGAGCCCGGCACTCTGCTTGTTCTGACGGATTGGCTGGGTATGGTCGGCCACTCTCTAGAAGATGTCATTTTGAGATTGGTCGGAAACACCCCGACCTGGTTCTACGCCAAATCTCTTGGGTTCACCCCTCGCACGCTGATTCCGGACTCGGCAATCGACCGCTTCTTCGATTACATTCACGAGACCAATGCCGGCACTCTGGCCTGGTTTGTCACCCTCAGCTTGGAGGGCGGGGCTATCAACGCCGTCCCAGAAGATGCCACAGCATATGGCCACCGCGACGTGCTTTTCTGGGTTCAGATCTTCATGGTCAACCCGCTTGGCCCTATCTCACAGACCATTTATGATTTTGCCGACGGTCTTTACGATGTGCTGGCCCAGGCCGTGCCAGAGAGTGCGGAGCATGCATATCTAGGATGCCCCGATCCTAAGATGCCCGACGCCCAGCGCGCGTACTGGCGTGGCAATCTTCCACGACTGGAGGAGCTGAAGGGTGAATTCGATCCAAAAGACACCTTTCATAATCCACAGGGTGTTAGCGTTGCGGTTTGAGGGTATTTGTGTATAGCATCCGGGACCTCGGCATCCCGGGCCATATCATTATTGGAATTCTCCTTTTTATTTTGTGTGTATAGCTTATTATTACGGTACTTAATTCAAAGAGCTGCGATATAGGTGGTTTTCTCATCAATTTACACACAGTCTGATAATATCTATATAGTAGTCGAACAGCCCTTTACTCTGAGCTAGGTTACTGAACTATACGATAGAGGCGATGTAGAACACTGATTCTATCCCAAAATCTTCTGTTGCCCTTTCGAGCATGGATATTGTGTCACATAGAGTGAAGGTGACACGCGAAGCTGTCGAGTATGACACATTTTGAGACTTCCAGCTTGACTGTAGGACTGCGTTGCTGGCTTGGGTTGGACAGTGGAGTCTCCTGTTTCTAGCCTTGAGTCTGCTAGTCATGTTGACAACGGATGATATGGTGCGAAGGTCATGTATATTAGGTTAAAGACCATGGAGGTCTCCATGAATGCTCCATATTATTTCGATGCCGTAATGCCATGCTATTATGTTGAAGGTGTGTGATAGTTAAAGAGTATGGCCGTGTGACAGTGCAAAACATCTCAGGCGTCTTGTCATACCACTATTACTCCAGACGTTAAATCATGCACACATGGACCCTCAGATCGATTGGACACCGGCGCGAAACGCAGCACAGACATGCTGAATTAGGTACTAACACATCGCCATAGCTATTGAGGCATGTGTACACGGGGCAAAGTAGCACAGATGGAACCCAACTGCTCCAGTCACCCACCAATCTGAATCCAGGTGAAGAAAGGCGCAAGTACAAATTGCCCAGAGGTCAGTAGCATCTAGACCATTATCGGGGAGGTCTACTCCCAGACGCGTTCCTTCCATTACCACTGCCTGCGCAACAGCTGCGTATAGAGAACACGGAGATGATCTGATATGCCAGATGCAGGGTCTTGCCCCGGATTCAACTCCGCATTTTATCCATCGATATACCCCGAGTCTACGCAAAGCTTATTTATATGGTTATCCTGCATGTACCCGTTAATTTCCCGACAGGAGCCAGGTTCGAAAGTCAGTTGATATCCAAGTCGACGCACGTCTACTAACGTGGCGCAGGTTGAAGGCCAATCGGTTGAACGAAGACTATATTCTATACGCGAAGACTGTATCTGTACAGCTCCGGGGCATAAAGTCCAAGTTGTGTTCAGAAGTTGATCGTTTATATCGTAGTCACACCGTGGAACACCCCATAGATGTCGTCCGGGTCTCTCTTCTCGTTGTGTCTGACCACTTGGATTCGGAGAATTTCCAGCCAGGTCGGATTGTAAATACCCCATGGACATCATAACCGTGCTTTATACCAATGACCCAGTGGTTTAGAGCATCTCGGCCAAGCTGTCCATCGAGTTCCTTGTTGAATGTGCATGTATACTGATTTAGACCGTTGCGGTCTCAACTGCCAGCTTAGGAGCTCTGCTTGAGCATTGCAACTTTGTTCATTGAGTTCATACTTTCGAACCAGGAACATCAGATGATTGCCAGAACCGAGAGTTATAAAAGGATGTCTGATGCCGCCAAAAGCATACCTCCTGATCAAGCTGCTCTTCTATCAAACAAGATCTCCTGAGAACCCATTCGATCCGGCTTCATCCATCCTCACGCATTCAATATGAAGTTCTATCTTCCCATTGCTCTGATGCTTGCCGCATTGGCAATTGCCGGCCCAGCGAACAACGCTGAAGCAGGCAAAGGGGACGTGGATGGCCACCGCTGCCATAAGGGACTCCATCACTGTCTCGATGTAAGTATTTGTCTGCTCTGGTTTTTTTCCCATAGATGTCGGATAACGGTCTAGCTAACACCACGCTCTACAGCATTGCCACCACCATGACAAGTTCAAGGACAAGGAAAGAAAAGGATGCATTCATGTACGTTTAAGAGACATCACTTCTCGTTGACTCTCTGTTCTTACTGTATACAGCGATGCCACCGCCGTTTTTGCCATGATGGGAAGCATGGCCATGATCACTATGGCCACGATGGCCATGACGGCAAGGACGGTCATGATGGTCATGATGGCCACCACGGCCATGACGGCAAGGGCCATGGCTACGACGATGACGACGAGTAAGCACTTCGCGTGATGTTCGATGCTCTCCGCAGTCACCATTCATCGAACTGGTCTCGGTGGTGCAGGACATAGGCGCAGGCGCCGGCCTCCTGGACACGTCTGGCCTGTTTCTCGGCCTTAGGATATGAATCGAATTTAGTCTGTCATTACAACTAGTCCACTCGTTTGGTGTTCACGCGTGATCAATCACAAGCAATTGCGCTCATGACCAGGATTCTGTAATGTTTCGTAGAGACTATTGTTTCTTCTAATCCAAAAGACTGCAGACACGATCTATTTACATCCTAAGAGGGAAACCTATATTACATGATTTTTCCAGCCTCAGGCCATCGGCTTAGCCTCCATCACCCGCTTCTTCGGATTCCGAGGCATCTGTTCTTGTCGCTGCCGCTCATCCTCGCTAATATCATCCAAGTTGGTCTCCACCTGATCCAACGCAGACTTCACCTCTTCATCCTTATTCTCATGGCCAGCCGTAGCCACTTCCAGGATCTCCTTCTCCATTCCCTGTACCACCCCCCACTCGATCCCCGCCGCCGTCAATTTCCGGCACCCTTCCGACTGCCCCACGAAGGTCCCGGGCTCCTTGACGCCAAAGTACACCTTGTGAATCCCCTTGCGACCTCCTTGCCGGGTGTTGATAATGCGTTCGACGCAAGGCGTGTTCCCCGATAATCGTTTCCCGCACGGCTCCATCGTCACATACATGATGAGCTTGCGGCCGGGTTCAACGGGCAGCACCTCCGCGACACGGTCGTCGGGGACTGAGTGGACGGCGGCGTAGTTGGACAGACAGCATTGTTCCGCGTGGGTGTTGCCGGCAAGCTCCATGGTGTAGCCGGTGGAGAGGATGCAGTCGTCTTCGTAGGTGACGTCGCCTTCGCGGCGGGAGAGGAGGATGGCGCCCACGCGGAAATTCGTGGGGCGAGGCGGGGACTTCTCAGCGAGATCAAGACATGCTCGCATGTATTTTATGTGTGGAGAGGGCATGGTGAGGACGGTGCATGTGAGGTGAAGGTGAGTTGTGGTGGTGGTGAAGAACGATCATCGGATGACCTCACTGGATGGCGGGGAAAGCTGTCGGGTGCCCTAAGCCCAATCAGGAAGGCAAAGTGTTTGGTCGCGTCCTACGCGTCGCTTTTCTCTCTCAGAGCTCTATCCTTCTTCTCTCGGGTCATTCTCCCAGGTCAATTCCCAACCTACTATTCACCATGTCCCAAGACGAAGAAATCGAAATCCCCTCCGAACCCCCCGTCGACACAGATCTCTACGACGTCCTCGGCGTTCAGAATGATGCAACTCCCGAGCAGATCAAGTCGGCCTATCGCAAACAAGCTCTCAAGCACCATCCTGGTATATCTTATCCCCTTGACTCCAAGCGCGCCCTGTCCGGGTGTTCCGGCTGACGACATCCAGACAAGGCCCCTGCCGAATCGAAGGAAGAGGCCAACCACAAATTCCAACAGATCGCATTCGCCTACGCCATTCTATCCGATGCGCGACGACGCCAACGGTTCGACTTGACCGGCAGTACCGCCGAGGCCGTGGATGAGGATGAAAATTTCAACTGGGTCGACTTTTACAGGGAGCAGTTCTCGAGCGCGATTGACACGGGCGCCCTCGATCAACTCAAGCAGGAATACCAAGGTTCGGACGAGGAGGAACGGGATGTCCTGGCGGCATTTGAGAAGTACCGAGGCGACATGGACAAGGTGTACGAGTCGGTCATGCTCTGCAATGTTATCGATGACGATGAGCGGTTCCGAGCGATCATCGACAAGGCGATCGCCAATGGAACAGCACAGGCCTACAAGAAATACACGGAGGAGCCGGAGAAGAAGCGCCAGCAGCGCCTCAAGCGAGCCCAGAAAGAAGCCGAGGAAGCGGAGCAGCTGTCCAAGGAGCTGGATGAGAAGAAGGAAACACCGGGGAAGCGGGGGCGGAAGAAGAAGAGCTCTGCGATGGACAATGGGGATCTGATGGCACTGATCCAGCAGCGACAGGCGTCCCGGGCGGAATCGTTCTTTGACCGGTTGGAGGAGAAGTATAACCCAGGCAAGAAACGAGCGGCCAAGTTTGAGGAACCGCCGGAGGAGGCGTTTGCTGCGACGGCTGCTCGACAGAGTTCGAAGAAGAAGAAGAAAGCCAAGGCCTGATGGTCAATGCGCTTACTCTTTTTTGTTTTTTTTTTTTTTTCTTTTTCCTTTTATTGATTCTATTACCAGACAGGTTACACATTATTGGGTCATGGTCAGGAGGAGTTGGGACAGCTGTTGGCATTTGGAGCTACTAGTTTCGGGGTTTACTTTCTTTTCTTTTTTTTTGTGGTCGATCGATGGCGCATGTGCATACTCCTACATCCAGATAGCTCATTTTCCATCACCTTGTCTAGTCTACCTAGGTTATCCACCTATGTTGGGTAGAATCTTCTCTCCCCCCTCCCCCTTAGGCTGCAACCAACTGATCATCGTCCATATTGGGATGCTGTGCGACATCTGCGACGGCCGATCATCTTCATTCCTGAGTGTGCCACCCTCCTGAGCAAACATCAATACAAGCCTTGCGACAGACGCAAGGGATGTCATCATCGGCAGGCCATAAAGGGGAGCTGGACGCCACTCGACAGCTGCGACTGCTGTCTCTTCTTCTCCTCTGCACCCACTGCTCTGACTGCTCTGACTGCTCCATTAAACCCCGCAAGGTCTTGGCCTGACATCTTTGCGACCTCTGCGCTCTTGGCTTCTCCCCTCTTCTGGCAATTCTTCCCCCCTTTCTGCTCGTCTAGACCTTCGCCTCTCCAGCCAGGCGACTACCGCACTGCTTGGCTGCATGAATCACCAGCCAACCCCCCTCCTTCACAGCCACCACCGCTGAGGCAACAAAGACTCCGTGACCAGACTCCTCTTCTTGGCACCAACCGGACGGAAACCCTAGTGGACGATCACCGTGATTTGCACGTGGAACCGGCTCCGAAAAGCTGTCGGGCTAAACAAGCTGGTCAAGACCGCGCTGTGATCAAAAGGGACGCATTGTCCACACAACGACAACAACTGTTTGTTGATCCCTCCTTCACCTTCTGTCCCTCCCACGGATCGAGCAATCTCGCTGAATGCGGTCCTGAATCCACCCCCTCCTGTCAACGTTCGTTCGGAAACGCCCTTCGTCATTAAACCCCCGAGCTCCACATTCTTCAGCCTGTGTGGTCTGTGACGGCTGCAATTGCTCCACCGCCGCGGGCGGCGCCACTGCTACACACAATAATCGACTGTCCAGCAACCATGCCCTCCTACACCCGAATTCCCTCGCTTTCTACCGCCTTGGAGCAGGAACGTCTCGAGCTGTTGCAGGAGGTGCAAGAGAAACGCAAATCAAAGAAGCCCAGCCCTCCCCGATCCAAGGGGGATCAGAATAACCACCACCATCACATCCATAGCCCCTCCGTCGCCCCATCACCCGGTGACCTCCCTCCGCGCCATGGGTCCATCGCCGGTATTGGTGTTGGCGTGACTCCCCCGTCCGGTCGAAACGACGAACCTGAACCCTCCTCTTCTCCATCGACTCCCCTTCGTGCCACCACCACCGCTGTAGCTCCTCCACCTCTACCGAAGCCCAAAACCACCACCTCCGGTCCTCCCGAACCTGCCGCCCGCCGGGCCAGTGATCAGTCATCCGACACGTCCAGGCCTGCTGAACAGAGACCCCGACCCAGCATCCGTTGGGACGCCTCCGTGAGCATGTCCCCCAGTGCCACCGGTCATGGTGGACACCGCCGGAGTCTCCAGGTGCAGGAGAAATCGGCCAATCGAACAATGCCTGGGAAAAATGCAATGGCGGCAGTGATGTCAGGGCTCGACCTGAGCTTCAACCTCCCGAGCTTCAGTCGCGGTAGAGACTCCGGTCGCTCCAGCACCCGACGAGGCAACTCCTTGGATTCTCGCTTTTCGGCCCCACGATTTGCCCGCTCCAGCTCGCCGAAACATCGCGTAGTTAGTCAGACCCCGCGCAACCCGGCGCCTTCCGCCATGAAGCCGGTGGTCTCAGAGAAACCCAAGCCGACGGAGAAGACAGAAACGGAGAGCATCGACAAGGATGCGACTCCAGTCCCTCAGACGGACGCGCCCGACGCGCCCGACAGTGCCGTCAAGCTCCCCACCGAGGAGGATCAGCGCTTGGAGAAGGACAAATATGACAGTGAAAACAATCCCATTGAGAGCAGTGAAGAAGAAGAGGACTCTTCCTCGAGCGATGATGAGAGTCCGCCCGATGTGACACGCGGTCGGTCCCAAACAGCCGACCGGAGCTCGACAGACACCACGAGTGAACTGGATACTGCTACGTCCGTATCGCAACCAGGTGAGTACTCGCTCCGCGGCATTGGCGGGGGCCTGTATGTTAACGACTCGGGCAGACCTTGAAGACAAGTCAGATTCAGCGTCGGACAAGTCGGATTTTGTCCATTCGTCCAAACTCGGGCCAATCCCCAAGAAACCAGATGTCCATCCTCAAACCAGCTTCGACTCGCACTCCGCCACCAACACGCCGTTTGGATCAGAGGACGAGGCCGAATTGTCTGACATCAAGCGGGCACAGAAGCTCGGCATGCAGATGTCGGCGATTGATAATTCCGTCCAGAACCGGTCCATTCGGACGATCGTCCGCGGGGACTATACCAACCTGCCCGAGTACACCGATAGTGGGCGCCGGCGCCGGCGCAAATATATGGTCGCCACCGACTTGAGCGAGGAGTCTGTCTACGCGCTCGAGTGGACTATCGGTACCATTCTGCGGGACGGGGACACCATGTTTGCTGTCTGTGCGATCTACGATGAATCGGCCTCCAGCGCCACCCAGAATGGAGACGGCGCCAAGGCAATGCAGGACGTGGCCGCGGTCGTCGGATCGCAGACGGAAGAAACTACCCTTAAACCGAACAACGACTCAGGCACTAATCTTCCCCGCGCCATTCTGGGACGGTTGGGGACAGGCACGGATAGTAAACCCGGATCGGTTGATTCTCGGGGCATGTCAAAGACGGAATCCGAGCGGGTTCGGGCGGTCGAATCCATCTCCCAGACCTGCGTTCGTCTGTTACGAAAGACGCTGCTCCAAGTGCGTGTGGCGGTCGAGGTGATCCACTGCAAGAGCCCGAAGCACATGATCACGGAAGCTGTACGTATTCCCTGCAACTACAATTCTTAGCTGGTTATGGATATTGATTACTGACATCGTCATCTAGATCGACGGGCTGGACCCGACACTCGTTATTGTAGGTGCGCGTGGTCGGAGCGCGTTGAAGGGGTAAGCTACTTCATGCTCCTAAGATCCAGTACCTGTACTAACTGGCATGTAGTGTGCTCCTGGGTTCGTTCTCAAACTACTTGGTGATGCATTCGTCCGTCCCCGTCATGGTGGCGCGGAGGAAGCTGAAGAAGCATTCCAAGAACAAGAAGACGAATATTCGGCTGTCCAACAATCTGTTGACTCCGAAGAAACTGGCATTTGCGAAGGTGGACTAGTCGAGCTCTGGCGTGCAGTTTGCATTAGGTATCTGGTGGCGTCTACTATGGTTCCAACGGTGTCTCCCCTCATTATGGAGTTTGTATCAGTATTACGATTCGTTCTGCCGGCGTCTGGATGGTTTGGATGATGATTCCCCATAACGAAATTGGGCCAAGCATATTTATGGAGATAATTATGAAATATGATGCTATCAAGGATATGAAAGTAGCCTGCAAGTATACATCCTGTAGTGGAGGAGCGTGATATCACGTGCCGGTGCGGGAGCGGACAGACAACCGCAACACGTCAGGAGCTCCTCCTCGCTCCCCGGACCTTCACTCTCATCTCGATCTCTCCCTGCTCTCCTCCGATCTCCCTCCCAACTCCCCCTCTCGGACACTGCAGCCATGGCGTCCGAATTCGTCGACCCCAGGATGACCTCCATCAAGCCTCGCATCCGTTACAACACCATCGGAGGTATCAACGGCCCGCTGGTCGTGCTGGACAATGTACGGACGTCGCTCGGGGATGGGGCGCTCTAGCCTCTGGATAAATTCATGGCGAACTGTTGGTACTAACACACTTGGTGTTAGGTCAAATTCCCCCGCTACAACGAGATCGTCTCCCTTACTCTTCCTGACGGCACCGAGCGATCGGGTCAGGTGCTGGAAGCTCGAGGTATGCCCTACCCTTGTCGGGCCGTCTCCCTACATACCGTGGACGTACAGTGGATGCTGATTCATGCCATTTGTGAATAGGAAACCGAGCCGTCGTTCAGGTGCGCATACTATACATACCATCCCCGACCTTGGGTCATCTCTACTGAGGTGGTCCTGTCCGTGCGGACTACTGATACGGTGATCATGCAGGTCTTCGAGGGTACATCTGGCATCGATGTTAAGAAGGTATAATCTCCGATTCGCGGTCAGCTATCGTACATGCGATCGACTATCCTAGACGGGCACAGCTGATGCATGGTTTAGACGAAAGTCGAATTCACCGGTCACAGTTTGAAGCTGGGTGTCTCCGAGGACATGCTGGGTCGTGTCTTTGACGGTTCCGGTCGCGCGATTGACAAGGGCCCCAAGGTCCTGGCGGAGGACTACCTCGACATCAACGGTCAACCTATCAACCCCTACTCTCGAGTACGTCCAGCATGGTCTCCCCGGCTCGGCCAATCGATTGTTATGTTAACCCCAGGACAGGTTTACCCCGAAGAAATGATCTCGACCGGTATCTCGGCCATCGATACCATGAACTCCATCGCCCGTGGACAGAAGATCCCCATTTTCTCCGCCGCCGGTCTCCCGCACAACGAAATCGCCGCCCAGATCTGTCGTCAGGCTGGTCTGGTCAAGCGTCCGACCAAGGACGTCCACGATGGCCACGAGGAGAACTTCTCCATCGTGTTCGCTGCTATGGGTGTCAACATGGAAACCGCTCGTTTCTTCACCCGCGATTTCGAGGAGAATGGCAGCATGGAGCGTGTCACGCTGTTCCTGAACTTGGCCAACGACCCGACGTACGTCTTGCTCGCGGTTGTCGACAGTTGGATTCTGATTGACTGACTGCTCCAGGATCGAACGTATCATTACCCCTCGTCTTGCTCTGACTACGGCCGAATACTATGCCTACCAGCTCGAGAAGCACGTCCTTGTTATCATGACTGATCTATCAGCCTACTGTGACGCCCTTCGTGAGGTGTCTGCCGCCAGAGAAGAAGTCCCCGGTCGTCGTGGATACCCCGGTTACATGTATACTGACTTGTCGACCATCTACGAACGTGCGGGTCGTGTGGAGGGCCGTAACGGATCCATCACGCAGATCCCCATTCTAACCATGCCTAACGATGGTTGGTGCTTTCGTCTGTACTGAGACGGGGTTTTGGCTAACACATGTAGATATCACTCACCCCATTCCTGATTTGACTGGCTATATTACCGAGGGTCAGATCTTCATCGACCGTCAGCTCTACAACAAGGGTGTCAACCCTCCGATCAACGTGTTACCCTCTCTCTCCCGTCTGATGAAGTCTGCCATCGGCGAGGGCCGTACCAGGAAGGATCACTCCGATGTGTCCAACCAGCTGTACGCCAAGTACGCCATTGGACGAGACGCCGGTAAGTCTTTCCCAGCCTCGTGCTTCCTAGAAGAACACCAGTCTAACGGAATGTGAACAGCCGCCATGAAGGCCGTCGTGGGTGAGGAAGCCCTGTCGTCCGAGGACAAGCTCTCTCTCGAATTCCTCGACAAGTTTGAGCGCACGTTCATCAGCCAGTCGGCGTACGAGTCGCGAACCATCTTCGAGTCCCTCGACATCGCCTGGAACCTGCTCCGGATTTACCCCAAGGACCTGCTCAACCGTATCCCCAAGCGTGTGCTGGACGAGTTCTACGCGCGGTCGGCCCGCAAGGTTGCCAACAAGGATACGCGAGACAACACCACTGCTCCGGAGCAGGTGCAATCGTCGCAGACGGCGGATCTCATCGAGACTTAACCGCCCGTAAGAAGGGGGATGACGTCTCAGTTGGCTGGATATTTGGTTCGATTGTTCTGCGTGTTCTGAGCTTTGTTTTGTCATACTACGACTTGCATATACTCCATCGTAGTTGTATATCATATCGATTACACTTCCGTTCTCGTACTCAGTCTACATCGTAGCACATCAACTTCATGAAGATTGTAAACAAGCCCGAAATGACTTTTATCTGCTAGCTATAAACCAAGTCATGAATACAAACAGTCAACTCCCGTCCCGAATGGATTTTTGTTTTCATTCTAATCATGCGATGTCGTATCCATGGATAACGTGTCTAAAAGAACCAGACAGTCTAGAAACGCAAATCCCAGCCGATCTTCGGACCGAGACGGGGCAGCTCATCCGCAACACTCTGGACGTCCTTGTCACCTCTACCGCTGAGGTTGAGGACGATGTTCTGGTCGGGCCGCATGGACTTGGCGAGCTGCATGGCGCCGTAGATGCCGTGGGAGGACTCGAGGGCGGGGATGATGCCCTCGGTCTGGGCGAGGGTGCGGAAGCCCATGAGGGCCTCGGCGTCGGTGGCGGCGACAAAGGTGGCGCGGTTCGAGTCCTTCCAGTTGGAGAGCTCGGGGCCGACGCCCGGGTAGTCGAGGCCGGCGGAGATGGAGTGGGTTTCGGAGATCTGGCCGTGCTCGTTCTGCAGGACGTAGGTGCGGACGCCGTGGAGGACACCCTTGCTGCCGCCGGAGAGGGTGGCCGAGTGGCGGGCGGTGTCAACGCCGTCGCCGCCAGCCTCGACGCCGAGCAGCTTGACGGACGGGTCCTCAGCGAAGGGGTAGAACATGCCGACAGCGTTGGAGCCGCCGCCGACGCAGGCGACGACGGCGTCGGGCAGGCGGCCGGTCAGCTCACGCATCTGCTGCTTGGTCTCATTGCCGATGACGGACTGGAAGGTGCGCACGATGGTCGGGAACGGGTGCGGGCCGATGGCGGAGCCGATGATGTAGTGGGTGGTGTCGAGGTCCACGACCCAGGCGCGCAGGGCCTCGTTGACGGCATCGCGGAGCGTACGGGATCCGGCGTCGACGGCGACGACGTCCGCGCCGAGGAGCTTCATGCGGAAGACGTTGAGCGCCTGGCGGCGCACGTCCTCGGCGCCCATGTACACGACGCACTTCATGCCGAACTTGGCGCACACGGTGGCCGTGGCGACACCATGCTGGCCCGCGCCAGTTTCCGCGATGATGCGCGTCTTACCGATGCGCCGCGCCAGCAGGATCTGACCCAGCGCGTTGTTGATCTTGTGGCTACCGGTGTGGTTGAGGTCCTCGCGCTTCAGCCAGATCTTGGCCCCGCCGACGTGCTCCGTCAACCGATTAGCCAGGTGCAGGCTGCTGGGCCGCCCCATGTAAGGGTAGTACGAGCGGAACTCCTCCCAGAACTGCGGGTCGTTCAGGGCCTGCTCGAAGCCGCGCTCCAACTCCGCGAGACAGTCCATGAGCGACTCGGGCACGTACTGGCCACCGAACTCTCCGAAACGCGCCGGCTGCGCCGACGCCGGCGCCTGGCCGGTGCCGTTCAGCGCGTCGAGCTGGTCAGCCAGCCCGGGGCCCTTGGTGGCGGTCTCTTCGGTGATGACGGCCGTGGGCTGGGTGATGGCGTTGTCGAGCTTCTTCTCCACGCGGGGCAGCACGTCGACGGCGCGGGTCAGCGCCCCCTGAGCGTCACGCTCCAGCTTGCGCCCCGTCACGCTGGACAGGTACTCCTCGGCGTGCTTGGCCGCCTGACCGGCAGGGGCCTCACCTAGAACGGTGATGATCTGACTGCCGATCACGACGCCCTCGGCGATGTCCTGCACGGACAGGAAGTGCTCGCGGGTGCTGACACCGAAGCCCACGGCGGCGGGCACGTTGCCAGACCACTGGTGCACGCGCGCCAGGAGTTCGGGCAGGTTGGAGCTGAGCTTGCCGGTAGCGCCGGTGACACCCATGCGCGAGACGACGTAGATGAACGAATCGGCGATCTTGCAGAGGAGCTTCATGCGGGACTCGGAGGTGGAGGGGGCAATGAGGGGGACGTAGGAGAGACTGCACCGTTAGCTTGGAAGTGCAAGGGTAGTAGACAGGGGGAGGGGCTTACCCGTAGCTCGTGCAGAGGTTTCGGAAGCGGACAGCCTCCTCCGGAGGGAGGTCGACCATGATGAAGCCGTTGACGCCGGCCTCCTTGCAATCCTGCAGCATGCGCTCCTCGCCATACTGCATCAGCGGGTTATAGTATCCCATCAGGAGGATGGGCGTCCTGAGACCGCGGGAGCGGGCAGTGCGCACCGTCTCCAGGACCGAGGTCACGGTGACCCCATTCTCCAGGGCCTTGGTGTTGGCGCGCTGGATCGTGGGGCCATCGGCAATTGGGTCGGTGAAGGGCACGCCCATTTCGATCACGTCTGTAGGTCGGGTGGTGGTCAGCTCAGGTCGCCACTAGACGCAAACAAATCGAACCGCAGCAAGCAAACATTGACGGATGGAAAATGCCACATACCAGCGCCACCATTCTCCAGACCCAGCAGAATATCGACAGTCTCCTCGACGGTAGGATAACCGGCCGTAATGTAGGACACGAGGGCCGCACGCTTTTCCTGTTTGGCGCGGGCAAAGGTCTCTTTGATGGCTTCCATGATGGCGATGTGGGGAGGGGTGGCGGGGTAGAGGGGAGAGAGGGAAGACAGGGGAAGAGGACGAGGAGGAGAGGGGGAAGAGACGAGAAAGAGGTCGAGGAGGTCAATTGGATATAAAGAAGAGAGGGAATCGGCGGTATGCAAGAAGCGAAGCGATGCAGGAAGAGAGGGATGTGAGAGAGAGAGTGAGAGAGCGACGGAGAGGGGCTGACTCACTCTTTTTCCTGTTCGGGTCCGATGCCGGCCACGTGATACCGATAAGATAGCGATAAGATAGATCGCCTTAGGGTTATTTAAGCTCCTCGACCAACTATGATCAATCTACATCTATACAAACATTCCAGTGAATCGGATATAACAGATAGAATGGATTTAAACGCCCAGCTATGCTCAATTCTGCAGTATCCGGAGAATCCTACGAGGCTTCTCCACACAAACATGCACAGAATCCATATAAATATCAAACAGCCCTTTTCCATCGCCACCCGAAATCCATTATCAATCCCAGTTATGTATACTCCCAGACCCGCCCAAATCCAAAGGAATGACTGCAAAGCACCTGCTATGCCCAGTACTGATACACTGTTCGTAAAGGAGTGGAAGCCCAATGCCCGTGTAAATGCAAACCAAGAACGAAGCAAACCCCAATGTCGCCATCGTCTATAATGCGTCATCGAAACAAACCGAAATGGGTAGTATCAAATCAATCAACTCAAAAAACAAACAAGGGCATCAAGACATGAGAAGAATTGCGGGAAAGGAGAGACATCAGATCATAGCAAGTGATCGTTAAAACCCAAAAGCAAGCAAAGAACACCATCACCGGATTAAATCGTCCATACAGACTGCATTAATGACCCAGCGTCGTGCCTTCCAAAGGAGCGACGAAGAACGGAACAAACAAGTGGCAGGTCAGTATGAAGCAGAATTCAAAGCAGAAGAAAAATTAAAACGCCAAGAGATGCAAAGAACAGGAATGACACGATATTATTAGGGTAATAGGTGGGTTGGTGGTGGGGTTTCAAGACCCGTGCGACAGGTCCGGAAGCGAGTATGGCATCGGCGCCAGGTAATGGTAGCACGAATTGCTATTCGGGCCACTCGTCGCCGGAAGCATCGAGTTCATCTCCCAGGATCGACTCGCCGGCGCCGCCAATCCCATCTGGCTGGGTTGCTGGCACACCGTGGGATAGGAGTACGGCGCCGCCATCGGATGATACGACTGGCTGACCGAAGGCAGCACCACGCGCATGTCGGACGGAGCGGAATGGTCAGTGGCCGGGGAGTACGCTGGGGCCGTGAGGCTCGGCCCATACGTGCTGGACACGGCCGTGTCTGACACGGACTGGGGAGAGCCCGCGTTAGGGGGCTCGGTGCCCGAGTCAGACGCCGCGCCGGTGGTGTAGTTCGAGCTGATGGGAGTGGCGAGTGCACCCGCCGTCGAAGAATAACTAGCAGACTGTTCCGCTGGAGTTAGTGACGACGTCGGGGCGGCGAAAGGCACAGGAGGAACATGATGGTGGCGACTCACGTATTTCCCGATGATTTTCTTCAGCGCGTGGCTCAGGATCTTCCAGGGGAACACCTTCACGTCTTTCTCGATATTTCGCGGCTTCGGCGCGGGAAATCCCATGATGACCTTGAAAAACTCCTCGCTATCCAGCTTGGCCTTGGAGACCGTCAGCGGGCGGAATCCTTCCAGGTTGCGGCGGATGCGGTTCTTTTCTTCCACGGTGAAGCGCACGCCCACCAGCGACTCCAGCAGATAAATGGTGTCCACACTGGTGACGAAGCAGTCGTCCTTGCCGTCCCAGTAGATGCAGCTGATGCAGATGCTGTTAGGGGCGCGTTCCTCAGGCGCCACAGGCTTGAAATCGGCGTGGATGGTGCTACCACTTTGCGCCCGCGTAAACTGAACCAGTCGCCGCTTGGCCTCCCGTTCCTCCTTGGTCCAGTTCTGCGTCATGGTGTCGAGGTCGCCGTTCAACTTCAGCACCGCCTTGGAGGGGTACATGGCGTAGGGGTTGAACGACTGCGACGGCGCCAGACTTCCGGAATGCTGCAGAGTGGACGTGCGGATGAGGGTGGGATTCCCGAGCCGAGCGGGCGAAGAGGGCTTGTGATGGCGGAAACCATGACCAATGGGGAAGCCCGGGGTCCGCGGGTCACTGCTGACGGGGATATAGGACGGGCTCCAGGAGGGCGTCAACGGGGATGGCGCGCGAATTGAGGGCGGAACGGAGGAGGACACCGCCGTGTACTGCGCCGCTCCCACCCGGGGAGACGAGGTGCCCGGGTACGGCGCAACGAACCCATTGACGGCAGGCAACGACTGGAGGTACGGCGAGTAGGAAGCAGAGTAGGCCGGGGACTGTTCCTTTGCTGGCATCGGAGGCGCCGTGGGCCGCTTAGTGGGTCTGGAGACCACCGCCTCCTCAGAATAGCAGGAAATGCGTCTCTTCCGCGATTCCTGCGAGGGCGAGTCGTGGGGCGCCTGTTCGTAGGTGTACACGCCCACCTGCAGGGTCGTCGCCGGACAGTCGTTCTGAGCCTCCAGGACCACTTGCAACGGGACCGCATAGGAGGGGGACCCCGTGGAGAGGAAGGGCGGCGTATCAACGGACAGCGCATACTGGAACGAGGAATCCTGGAAGCCGAGAAAGTGCGGCACGCAGTCGCACTTTTTCGATCCAAAGACCAAGTAGTGGGTAGCGTACGATGATGTATGGAGATCGTACGGCGACTGGATCTGCACAAAGACCCTCGTTCCTTCGGATCCGCGCTGAGGCGAATACGAGACGACTTCCGGAATCTGGCGCGACTCGCCACCCATCATGGGAGACCGACTCTCTTCATAGGAACTGGCATACTCGTTGTTGCCCACGTAGGGGACGCAGTCGGAGATTTGGCTGCCATGGTCGGCCATGGGGGACGGGACCATCGACGCGCTGCTCACGTAGGGCGTCTGTCCATAGTTGGAGTAAGAAGAACCCTCATGCAGAGACCGCGTGGGTTCATAGTCTGCCGACGATTAATGGAGATCCTTGCCATGACGAGTTGAAAGCTTACCGAGCAAAGCGGCTGCCGCGGGTTTCTGGAAAGTAGACATAGACAAGATGGGTTCAGACTTGGCCAACAGGCCGTCTGAATATGCACCGATGAACCGCGATTCTTCAGGATCCGAGAAATCCAGTGATTCGTCTAGAATCAAAGGCGTTTGGAATTCCGGATCGAACTGCAGATGGTTAACACAGCTCGCGCTATCAGGGTGGAAAACGAGTAGGAGCAAGGGACCGGACAGATTCTGGCCAGACAACCGGTTTTTGAATCAAAATTCCAAAACAAACGGAGAGAAAGAACCAAACAAGCAGGACCGTGGGCAGCAAAGACAGAAACAGAGAGGCTTACCAAAACACCGTGTGTCTTCGAGTAAGCCAGCTTGAAGGTGTTGCAGCGAGTGCAACTCAACACGACCGCCTAACGAAGCGAATGACAGGGAATTTATCCTGGATGAAACGATAGGATGACGGAAAGCCTCAACACGCTCTCCGAGACAAAACGAGTGACGATACGAAGGGGATAACAGTCGCAACCGAACGGACCCAATGACGGAGTTCGAATCAACGCGCAGCATTCAACGATCCGGGCTGAAACCAGGACAGGTTGGCTGCAGGACGGGGGGAACAGCTAGACGCCACGCTGCCGAAGAGTGCTCCAGAGAACCACCTATAAGGGGCCGGCAGACATGGAGAGAAATGGGGCCGACGGGGATCGATGAGATGGATGGTCGAGCCTGAGGGAAACAATAGTCAATATCCGCGCAGACGTCGTCCCCAAGCAGACACCCTGCCGTCCGCTGCACACCGATAGGCGAGGTTTGAGGTCTCTTTATCTCTCGGCAAGCTGAGTCTCAGCGAGTTCGCGACGACTAGACTCAGGGGGAACGGAAGGCAGAGGGGCCACGAACTCCCCAGCTGACGATGAAGAACCCAGAGGCGAAGGACGGCGGGATGTTGCATAAACTAGCAGAACTTACCAAGCGTTGACCAGAGGATCGATGAATCCAATCCGATTTCAAGGAAAAAGGAAGTGCAGAAGAGGTCTCGGGAAAGTCTATATGGAAATTCCCTCGATCACGAAACGGAGGCCAGAAGTCTACACCACCACCATGTCAACAACAAACACCGCGAAAATGGATGACATGCGCGTGGAGCCCCGACTGGGCTTTAATTTTCCCTGAGCGCTGGTGCACCAGTGGCACGACCTTGGAAACGCAAGGAGCGCCCAGAAAGGCAACCCGAAGGGATTTGGATGCAAGGCACCACCACGAAAGGGAGAATTACACTAACCTTAACAAAGGCTGGGTCCTGCGGAATCAGAGACCTGTTCCCGGCCACGAAAGAGGTGCCAGACGGAGCAATCGGCGGTTCGTTGGAAATGAGGTGGTGCTCTCAGCCGAGACAATGATTCACGATGCCTTCCGTTCTGTGGCGGTTGTCTTCAATCACAAGAGGATCTGGGAGGGGAGGATCGACCAATCGAGATCTACCCTGGCGGGCACGTCACAATTTAAAAGCAACGAAGAGCAGTCGTAAGGGTCCAAGGGCGAAAGAAAAGAGGATGCGCAATTTCCTGAGCTCCCGGAGACAAACGGTGGCGCGGGCTCGATCTCACGAGGGTCCCAGAAATGGCCCGACAAACGCGCACAGGAGAACGATCTCCACTCGGAACAGGAGATCAGGGACGTCAACAATTGCAGTGATCGACTCTTTGAGGTCGAGAGACGCGTCTTTGGAGAGGTGGGATGAAGGTTGGGATGCAGCGGCGAGACAGATCAGGTCGGAACGAAAGTAGTCGAACGGATGCCGTCCACAATTAGAGATTATCCAACTATATCGATACTGGTGTGTTTCTTGTGTTTCTTGTGTTCCTCAAGGGAGATATGATGGAATGGTCGTCCGGATTGAATGGAACCACCACCGTAGCGAATGTGATATACTTCCGATGCCAAAACAAAGCGAGTGTGTGGCGAACGTTGGTGAGCGAGTGTAGAAGAATGGAAACGAAGAAAAACTGAAGAGGCCCGAAGATGGACTCAATAATGTGCCATCGTAGGAATTCAAGTGGACCAAAGGGTACAAGGGAGTAGTTAAAAAATAAAATATACGGAGTAGAGAGGAAACAGAAAAGGGTAATGGAGGGGGGAAATAGTAAGTAACTAAGGTATGGTGGAGGAGGTGGAGGGGGGCGAAGAGGAGTTGTTTCCAAGGGTGCAGGATTCAGGAAGCAATGGGGGGAGTCAAAAATAAAATAAGAAAATAACAATAATATAGTAGAGATAGAAAAAAAAATAGTAGAGGGTAAGAAAAAAAAGAACCAGTTAAGAGTTGAAGATGGCGAGAATTATATTCTTTTTTTTTTTTACCCTTTTTTTTTACCCTTTCCTCTAGCAGACTAAGACCTCGGATGTGGTGGGAGTAAACTGCTGGTGCTGGGGGTGCTGCTGGTTAGTGCGAGTGGCGGGGATGCAGCCAAAAATATGAGCAGAATTATAATAATGATAATAATAATAAGGATGACGATATAATAATAGTATTATAGTATTATTATTACAGAATCAGAACCCCAAGCACCATCACCCTACGCCCAATAATAACAGACATCCTAAGTGTCAGATGGTAAGAATAGTAGCACGCCCGTGGTGCTCGTGGAGTGGTGGTCACGATCCTGATGATAATGATGATGATGATGGTGGTTTATTCTTAGGTCGTCTCGGTTGTGATGGATTAGGTTCTGATGTGAAATCAGGTCAGCAATGTGATCCTCTATCCGATTCTTATTACTGTCCTCCCACGATCATGATTGGCACAGCATCCTCATGAACCATCGTTATCCGAGCATCCTCCACATCTGAACCGTTACTGGACCTTCCATGGTCCACGATCCCAGGGTCAACCTGCCCGGGATCAGTCGGACAGAAGGTCATCGAAGGAGGTTTAGTCGCTTCTCCCCCTTCTTGTCTGCTTCACTAGTCGAAAGTTAGGGTAAAGTCAGTGGAGGAGCTTCTCCAGGAGATCCATCAGGGAGAAGAGCGAAGATTTCAAATGTCCACCCAAATTATCCGTGGAAAATTGACCAAACTAAATGAATCACTTCTCCGTACAGGTACTCCGTAAATAAAAAACAAAAACAAAAACAAGGATCTCTTCTCCAACGCCCAATGGAGTAATAGTCTACTAAAGGAGCAGACACCATTCGGTCCACGCCGCCGCCGTCGTGACGGAGGTGGATCCGCCGCCAGCGTGGGATCAGTCAGGGCTGCAGAAGAAGGGAGCGAGCAGAGGAGGAATTCTCCTGTGGTTGAGGCCGATGATTCGTTTGTTGTGCAACGGGACCGTCGGACTATAGTACAGTGCAGAAGTACTTGGGTACCTAGGAGTATCATAGTAGTTCCTAATAACAATTCAATGATTGATGCTCCAGGATACAGATCATGAGAGCTATGGAGATCCCTCTACGATACCCTGATAGACTTCCAGCCCATGTCAGACCAAAATCCGCAGTCGCATCACAGCATCACAACCAACATCCCCTGCACCGCCTCCCTCCTGCTCCTCCTGCTCCCGTCAGATTCCTGCTGCGCCCAAAACGAGGGAACCATTCACCTGACCCACTGGCTGAGATCCCAGGAGCTCGGAGGATGGGAAGACCAAATCGCTGAATGGGAGGAGGGAGTTGCTGACTCCACTTCCTGCGTTCTGCGGCTGCTTCTTCTTTTCTGCGCCCTTTTCCACCTCCGATTGGAAGAGGCTTATTTTTGGATCCCTGAGGCCGCCATGCTGGACGGACCTTGCCTGGTTGGGATACCTCCGGGACTGTGTGTGCCAGTCAGACTGCTGGTGGAACTGCGATGCCCTGACAAATCATGACATGACTGGAGCCACTGCTCCCAGAGATTGTTTACCCAAGGATGGGTGATTGGATTTCTTTGGAGTGCATCGTTAGGTAGACAGACAGATTACTCTGGAGAAAGTGATGTTGGATTGTTGGTAGCGAGGTTTGTACTCCGTATCGAATGCGAGCCATGCTAGGCAGCAGCACCCTTTTTTCGTTTTCCTTCACTTTTTTCTCTGACCTGCTCCACCGGATGGACTAACTCCATTTGAACCCTAGGGCTTGGCATGATGCTGGAGAAGATGACTTCAGGATGGACTGCTTCTTCTCTTCCGATGGAGATGACTCTTGTTGGACCTAATAATAGCCGAGAGAAAGTTTATTCACGGCATGATTGGGACCATGCGATCGCAACACGAGCAGCCGACCAGCGCAGTCGGATGGACCGGTTGCACGATGTGGCTTGTGCAGGAGCATGACTACGGAGTACCTAGTAAGATGTATGGTCCCTACCTATGTATGTACTGAGGAGGTAGCTAGACAGGCATATCGTGCTCTGTGATGCAGTAGTAGAAGTACTAAGTACCTCGCAGTACGGAGTAGCTCGTAGCGGAGTACACTCAAGGTGTTAGGGAATTTTCTTGGATTGCCCGATCGGGTGATGGACCGATCGAAGGTGCTAAACTTAGCACGCCTTGCAGGGTTTGTTGTTATCTGATTGGCTAAGGTGGAGCAATTCCACCGGGTTCTTTTCCAACCCGACTTACCGGTCATTTATGATTGGTGGATCCGAGTGGGTGGCCCCATTCCTCCCTCGTTAAGGTATTTTTGTTTTTTTTTTTTTTTTTTTAAAAGAAAAATCTTTTTTCTCGTTTTTAAGGTAGTATGCAGAGGTGGTAGTGAGCAACACAGCCAGCGGTGCTTCTGCACTGTCACCACACTTGTTCTTCTCCAGGACTAGATTAAACTAGTCAAACTAAATCTCTCACCAACTCCTTGGCCCCCTCGACCGGCGTTTGGGCGACCAGGGATGGTTGATTGGCTTTATTGAGGTTTAATTCTCCCTCCCCCGTAAGGCCGTTCGGAAGAATCTTCTCCTGCGCTGTCAGCCAATCCCGGCAGTCCGCCGCGGATCACAGTTCGTGCACGGCGTAGATTGCAATCCCAAGTTAGTTATAATAGGGACCGTTGCAATGAGGTCACCACTCCACAATCCACCCTTCACCACACAACAACCACAGAGGAAAGGACAAAGGCAGATAAGAAACGCAGATCCCGGCAGACCTGCGTCCCCTCAGGCCGCCAGCGTCAATCCCTTCCAATCCGGTAAGAATCCGTCTGGAGAAGCGCTCAGGGACCCAACTCAACGCTCTCAGTTCCATGCAACCGAGGCGTCCACAACCCTTATCATGATCGTTGGGACCATGGGAGAGTGTCCTTAGGAGGAGATTTACGGAGTCTGTTCAAGATGCGGGCCATTTCCCGAATTCGGCCGAACTATTGACCGGCTATGCATGTTCACGCCGAAAGGACGGGGAACATGTCAAAGGGGAAGCAAAACCGTTCAACGCGCTAGAGCATGGTCTGTTCCGTTCAGGTTGGCCCGGTGGTTGAGGATCTATTCTGCTCGATATCTGGCCAACCGATCCTCCTCCAGCCGGTGGGCCTCTTGATCCGCAGTAGTTGCTTTTCTATCGGATACTCACCGACAGCCCTCGCCAAGTTGAGCTTTCCTGACCCAAAGATGGTTCAAGTGATGTCAAAAAAAAGACAATCGGTGTACTCCGTAGTCCACTATGGAATACAATGCTCAGTCCCCTACGGATTACCGAATACTTACCTAAGGACATCCTCTGCACTCCCTCTGCTTGACGTCGGTGAATGCTCGGCCCCAGACCAACCAAAAGCCGATATCTTCACGACCGAGGCATGCAGCAGCCTCCGCTCTGGAGCCAGCGTGAACCCGGTTTTTCTTTTTCCTCCCGGTCCATTGTTAACCTCTAACCCCCGGTCCCAACGCTAGGGCGTTAGTCTGGCAGTCGGCTGGGATCGGATGGTCGGTTACCCTTTGGAGTATGGTCCCGGTTTTGACACTGCCCTGGCTGCTCTTCGGGAACCGCGGGATCCAGATACTATGTACTCCGTACAGAGTAGATGAGAGTAGAAGTAGGTATCTACGGAGTACCTAGTAGATACCTGAGGTCATTGGAGTATGCATACTCATCACGAACAATGGAGCACGTTACTCAATCATTTCGCGCTTATGCAGGGCTCTCCGTGCTAAGAGATCCCATGTGCAGTCTCGGTCGCGACAGAGATATTTACCCGAGTCGTCTGTATTCGGCCCTGTGCCACAATCCGCTGATAGTCGTACAAGCCGAGTCGAGGGTTATGTACAGAGTGCCTACCTACTGGCGTATACCTCCGGCCTACGTACATAGCCTGCCTGCCTGCCTACATAACCGATCCGATGTTACACTACGCATCGACCAGGCCCTCATCACCCATCATCCCGCGGCGCCTGTAAAATAAAGACCTCTGCTCCTTGCTTCGCGCGTCCAACCCGCCGCCAGAACCCTTACGTCGTGAGCTACAGGATGCACGGGCGCACCTTACGGAGGACGCCCTCATGCCATTCCGATTGGTGCACGAGCGCTCTGCACGCCAGGGACAAAGAACTAGTGCTGTCCATTGCAGAGGCACGTAGACAACGTCCACGAATGTCGCCCATCCATTGACTATCTTCCGTGCGGCAAGCGCACGGGGGCGACCAAGGGCAAGGGATCGTCGCCTCCTTTGGTGCAGGCACCAGATCTTGAACTCCGGATGGAATGGGATGGACGGGAGGAGAATATCGTCAATCAAGGTAGCGACGGCATAGTTACGATGCTCGACATGGCCATGGCAGCTCCAATCATCAGAGAGCTCCAGTTCACCTCCCGCGCCGTTCGTTCTGATCGGCACGTTTTGCGGCTGGGGAAAGAAGCGTCGATCGGATTCCAACTACGACTGATGTAGTCTACCTAGGCATGGTCCGGTCCGTCGATCGTTCTTAATTCTCCCATTATTATTCTTCTTTTTTCTTATGGTTACATCTCAACAATTTCTAAAGCAAGCACAGACTGGAAAATCCTCGCCAGCCAGCCTCATTGACAATTGTTAGACAGAGATCAGGCAGACTAGCTGACCGGGACCTCTTTGTAGGAGGCCTCATTGTGTGTCCCTAGTAAGGATCGTCCAAGCCCTAATCGAAAACAGCAAATGTCTCACCAGCCCTCCCGCCGTCCACCCGGCATCTTCTCAGCGGTCCATCTACCGTTTAATCTATTTGGCTCTGTTCGTCTGGCGTTATTCTTAGAGGCGGCAGAGCTAGTGTCCGTCTGCCACCGTAGCACTCATTTCTGCCGATCCCCTGCTACTCTGTGCACACACACACACACTTGCGTAGTTAGTTAGGACTTCTTCCGCGGAGCCTGTGTGGGGTGAAACACCTCGTGGTGTTCCGGTGGGCAGGCACAGCTCTGGCTGTTCGGGTGTTGGGAGCGAATGAAGATGCTAGAGTACGGAGTATGATAGTATGATCTCTGCAAGAATTAACCGACCGTATAGTTCCACGCGGAATCTATTGCGTCATTGTTGGTAGGCTCTGCAGATAGTGTAGACGTTAGTTTAGTAGACTTTGGTTTAGTGTACAGGTACCTCTTTTTGGGGAATCTACACGAATGGAGCGCTGAGTATGCTTGAGATGGGACAGTATCTGATGTGGAAGCCCTCTCTCGTCGTCTATGGCTTCTTCTGAAAATAGAACTAAACGCATTGAATACGAGATGTTTCAGTGTGCCGTTGTTCCTGTTGTCTGTACCCCATAGACTGAACCATGTATCGTGGTTCCTAAATATATATCTACGGAGTACAGTACAACTTCATACTTGACTTGCCATAATACCTCCGGTACAGGCCATGCTACTGAGTAATTCTTAAGTAAGCGCACTACGATATATTTATCTCGCTGACCTGACCCAGTCTCCATGCCTGACGGTAAATATAGCATCATCTAGAGACACTCCCAACCGGACAAGCCGACTCTCTTCACCAGTCTCAATCCGACCATTGCCCCGAAGAACCGTCATAGTGGGCTCAGCTAGTTAGTTTCCAATCCACTGGGAAACTGTGCAAGGCCCAACGTGGTGGTATTATTGACTTCACTGGATCAATTATTGGAGGACCCTCTATCTATCGGTGACCCCGAGGCTGAATTGATTCAGGATCTGAAAGTCCCTCTAGGTGTAAGACCCTTAATGGACAATGGGGATTGGAAATAGTACCAGAAGTGAAGCGCGCTAGGCGTCTTTTCATGTTCACCGAGCTGTACCCATAGTGCTTGTTCACTGATACTTTCACTCTCGCGGTCGTCGCCTGCCTTTACTTTGCTCTACACTCGGGATTTACACTGCATGTTGCATGACGTTTCCCTTTGCATTTCTCCTACCTCTTCCCTGGTTGAATCCCTGCTCCCCCTTGTGCGTGGCCACACATGGACATGCTGTAGCCAGACTGCAGTGTTCTGGTCTGCATTCTGTCCTGTAGTCATCCGACGCTCGGGAGCAAGACCAGAGATCTGTTGGGAGCATGCACCAAACTCTACAGGATCACTCCATCTATTCCAGAACGCCACCCAAGACTCCCACAAGACTTAGGGAGGTAAAGAAACCTCACCACAGGCCAGAAACATAAACGGGGCACGAGAACAGAACACCAGGAGATTGGCCCGATAAGTATGGAACTTTCCACCCATTATCGAAAACTAGGATTCTTTAGTGATTCGGCAGATACATGAAAGGAGACAAGCATCAAATGTGTGCGAGACAGATAGGATTGCAAGCAGGGTGAGGAAAAATCTCTGTTACGCTTTCGCCTACGTTTTATATAAAAAACTGTAAACCTTCCCTACACAGATAGCCATCACGGATGGTCCATCCTGCCCTGCGCTTGAAAGCCTTTGGCTATCATCCCCCCTATCCCAACACAGAGAAGCCCCGTAGTCCGTCACATGGTACCCGGCCGGACGTTTTACATAGGTACGTGGCGCTGATACAAGGATGCCGCTAGGACAGACGGCCGCGATAGCAGTAACAGACCACCGGGAAGTCCGTGTCGCAGATCAAGATGATGAGCTCACTTCCGATATCCAGACCCTAGTTACTTATCTTGTGGACGTTTCAAGGTGCCTGGCTCTAACACTTGGAGCCTAGTCCTCACGCCACATTTACCTGCCCCTTTCACGCTTTAAGACACTTCTCCGGCTCGCCAACAGCTGGACATGCGGAAGATACAAGGGACACTTACGTGGGGAGTGGAAAACTCATGGCTCTTGTGATAGGCGGTCGATCACCCATTGTATTGATGAACTCCTGAGAGACGCTGCATAGACCACATACCACGAGAGGAATGGCTGGCGAGGAGATCTTCTCTCAGCTAGCCATCATACACCTCGGATTCTCGCTGCTCTGGTTCCGGCGCGGTGTGGCAGAGACCGTCTATTTGCTGGAGTGTCTCACCAAGGTCGGTGTCCGCCAGCTGTCCCAGAAACATAGCCACTCATGGGAGTCTCCGCCGGGATTCCCTCGGAGTGGTCTTTGCCGGGCTGGCTGGTCTGCGAGTGGGCAGCAGGAATCCCGGGAAGATGGTCGGTAGGTAGTGATTCGGGTCAGGGGATTGAAGCAGTGACGGACGAGACGGAAGGGACAGCATGCACCGTGTATCATGTCCTGATGATTGTATTCGCAAGCCTGCTGCAAACTATCAACTACTACTGATTCTAATTTACAAAGACCTACCGTCACTGCACTGAAGAGAGCCGACCCAAAAGTAGGACAGACTAGAATATCTCAGACGCCTCCTCCACCGTCCGACCATAGCACAACGGAAACAATCCCCCCCAGAAACGATACACCTCGGCCTGAGTGTCCTTCTTCGATACCAGCCATCGAGCAAAGCTACATTCCGATTGAAACGGATTTGCGCTTCGAAATGGTGTGATCTGTAGTTGTGAGAATCAGACCCAAGGCCCCTGAACGGAAGCTGACACACCTCATCATATTTCTGCAGCGCCTCATAGTATCGCTCGTACAGTCCGAGTGCCCTTAACGTCTCCTTCTTCAGTTTTCTCGCCGCGATTCCGTACATCATGGACATTCTTTCCCGGTTGACGACTCCATGGTCCCGAGAGGTAACGCCGCCCGGCAACCTCCAGCCATGCCCTTCGTAAATCACTTCGATGAGCCGGGTAAGCGTGTCCGCTTGCCATGTCACGAGGAATTCGCGATTGAACCCGTTCATGTGGTGTTGGAACTTCATGAGATCGAGCCTGAGACGGAGGGTGTTGGAGCACAGCTCCTTGATCTTTGTGTCGAGCATCTCGTTGCTGGCGGAGAGGGATTTCAGAGTATTGGTGTATCTCTGCGTTGCGGACATTAGATCCATCGTGGATGGGAGGGTGGTCGTCTGTGGAAGCTTACCGCCAGTAATAACTTCGATGCGTCTGCTGGTTTGGGGCGTTTCGTCTCCAGACGGGAGCGGTAGAAGGACATGCCTGGCCCGTACAGCTGCACCAGGTCGTTGTTCATGGGGTCGGATGGTGCTAATTTTTATACAGAATAAGGATCAAGCAATGAGCGATGGCTCTGTATACTAAGATAACAGTGACGGATAATGAACGAAGTGTGTCGGATGGGTGTGGTCTGGAGTACTTGCTGCTGGTATGGCTACAGCAAGATATACTGCGGTATGCCTGCACACAAGGCAAGCGCTACCAGCTCGGGGGAGAACAGGAGAAAATGATAAACTGGACTGGACTTTCCATCTAGGAGCTTGTATTCAGATAAACAGCATAAACGGCGTTATCAGCCTTGATGCTGTCCAAGTCTAGCCTGAGTACACCGCACATGTATAGACAACAAACGCTAACGATCAATACCACTTTCTTTTAGAGCTTGCTTCCCGACTTGCCAAACTCCACCACCAGTTTCCCAAACTGCTTGCCCTCCTTCATATCCTGGAACAGGCCATCGAGCCCGGCTACATCACCAAGGTCCGTCTGGAGGACGCGCGAGATGACCGGATGGATCTTGTTGGCCTTGACGAACTGGACCATCTCGGCGAACTCCTTGCGTGAGCCCATAGTCGACCCGCGGACTTCGATGTTCTTCAACACGGCCTGCATAAGGAAGGGCATCTTGGGCGAGACTGTCATGCCGTACACCGACAGGATACCACCGGCCTACACAATCAGCACCACTCAACAGACATTCGCGGAGGAAACAGCGGCACATGCGATCAACGTACCTTTAGAATCTTGGCTGCCTTCTCGACAGCATCCCCCCCAGCGCCGTCGATAATTGCATCGAAATACTTCTTCCCGGCAGGCAACATGCCGAGGAGCTTCTTCTCCCACCCGTCCTCCTTGTAATTCACACCCCCTTTAGCGCCCAGCTCGACCGCCTTGCGAATCTTCTCCTCATTCGAGCTGGTCACATAGACGTCTGCGCCGCGCGCGACCGCAAACCGCAAGACCATGAGAGCCACGCCGCCCCCAATGCCGGTGAGCAGGACCGCCGCTCCGGGGCCCGTGTTGCGCTCACCCGCCTTGACTATCAAGGCACGCCATCCTGTGAGACCAGTCAGGGGCAGGGCGGCCGCTTCCGCGTCGGAGAGATGCTCGGGGGCCTCTTCGACCTCGGACGCGTCGATGGTGAGGTACTCCTGCATGGTGCCCTTGGTGTAGAGCTTGGTGCCGCCCATGATGCGGTAGCCGCGGGGGTCTTCGGGCCCGTCGGGAGAGTCGTTCCAGCCTGTGCCTGGATTGATGATGACGCGCTTGCCCTGCCATTTTTCGGGGCTGGTCACGCCAGGCCCGGTGGCGACGACGGTGCCGACCCCGTCGGCGCCCATTGGCACATCAAAGGTGATGCCGGGATAGAGGTGTTGGCGCAAGAAAACATCGCGGTGGTTCAGAGCGGCGGCGGTCATCTTGATGAGCAGTTCGTTGCCCTGGGGCGTGGGCTTGGGGAGGGTCTGCACGGCGAGAGGGTAGTAGACCTGACCGGGTTTGCCGTCCACTTTGGTGAGGAAGATTGCTTTCGACATGGCGGTGTCTTTATCTCCCTGGTTCCCTGCTAGAAAATTGCTAGGCAGTCTTTCACTTGGAAGTGTGATTGATGCCAGGAGAAAGAGATATCGTTGGGGATTCTTTTGTCGTCATGGCCGTGCGGGGAGGTTGGGGCGCCGTTATCGATAACCGAGGCTCAGCGGTTGATCATCATATCAATCATGAAGATGATTCCATGTGGACTACTGCATCTAGTGGATGAATTTGTGAGTCAGATGGCCGTTGTAAGATCTTTGGGGTGGTTGAGAATGGCTGTGCTGCCATTATGCCAGAGTGCTGATTCTGTGCCTAGGCATCCTGGGAGCATTTGTCCACGAGCTCCGATGGCATCCTCTCTTCTCGTAGGGATATTCCAGATGTAAAGTGTGCTTTTTGTCAGTGTCAGACTACGAGCAGCGCTTGTCAACGCCAATTGGCCACTAGATAAGTATGGGCGCATTGACACTGCTTTTTGTGCAGAAGAAGCACATCAGTATCTATATATTTCCCCTCTAGATCTACCAAAACATAACTTAGTCAAATCTAGCGATTTCCCTTGTATCAATAAATGTAGTGAACATCGTATATTTCTTGGTCTAGCAAGATACGTTGGTTTTTTGCTACATTGGGCGGTGGGCGTCCATTTCCGGCTCTAGTATATATCATCAGAAGAGGGAAGATGTCAAATGTTACCCCAACTTAACCTGGGGTCTCTCGAGCAGTAGATAGTAGAAACAGATGCCTGCACTGTAGCTGACCAGCCCAGGCTGAAAACACACAGATCTATCTGGAGCGAAAACACTCTACAAAACTCTGTTATGACTGGAAACAACCTCTTGCCCAGGCCACGTCAAGCAACGAGAGCACCTCTCAGTACTTCCGACACACGTAGTGCTGTCTGGAAGACCGATGCTTGGTCTCGACAGCCCCAGAAGAAACCACCTTTTCCTCTGGCTGAAGACATTTCAAACATGGCCCTTTCTGCGGGCCACCCGCCTCACAGTACCTCATACCATCCCGTGCCTGATGCTGTTTGGAGTCGTGTCTGCAGCGATGTACTCCCGTAGGAACAGACTGTCTAGGATGTAGATGACGAAGGTCACCGCGGGCACCCGCACAGGGGGTTGATACATGTTGCGATTGGTGACAGGGCTTGGAGGGATGTTTGCAGTGGGGACAGGACTGTTCCTCCTTGTCTTTGGAGCAGCGCAAGAAAGAGCCTCTTCGGATCTTGATGTTCTTGCAATTCGTGCAGTTCCGGCTGTCCGTGGACTCCGTAATATCCTTGGGGGTTGGTGTGGCCTGTGAATGAGCATGGGAACAGCAGTTCCGTGGGAGAGGCTGCTTGGGGTGATGTGGACGGTCTACACGGCAACAGACATGTTGGATAGAGTCTTTCTGGTGCGTGGTACGAAGGGGTTTGCCTTTCCAGAAGGAATTATAAGGGAGAGGAGGAGAGTTGGCGTCGGAAGAGAAGAGACACATGGTGGGGGTACCTGTGAAGGGTATGAGGGATAGATGGGGAGATGTTTCCAAGGGAAGGGTTTGGTTTTATATAGCAGATGCATTGTGGGACAGAGTGGAAGCCACTGGGCAAACAAGACGTCAATGCTGATAGTGTACCTACCTAGTCTATAGAGTGAAAGAGATGTATAGACTGAATGTTTGCAGCAAACAACGACCACATCACGACTGCCGCCAGCCAATGTAGTATGTGCGTGGCAATATTAAAGCTACGCACTCACCCGCGCAACTCTCCGCCCGGGCGTGGTAATGCCACTGCCCAGCAATTTCTCTTTTTTCGACCCGCAACTTCGCATCTTCTTCTTCTTCTCTTTCGTTTGTGATCTTGGATCGTCCAGCGTTCTTCACAGGTACGTCTCTGCCTCCCTACTTCTTCCTTTTCCAGTGTTATCCTCGTCTCTTTCCATTCTGACTCTTCCCAGCCTTCTCCGCGCCGCCTCCCGCAAACGCTCGCAAACGAAACCCGTTCCACACGACCATCTCTCCCTTCCTTTCTCCAGAGCTGTCCCATCATCTTCGTTGACCTCACCTCCCACAAAAAAACCCTTCCTCCTCTTCATTCTCTCGTCTGCAGAGCTTCTTTCTCCTGATTGCATCTTCGCTGGACGGGAATTCTTCCTTTGAACCAGTTCTTGACGCCATAATGCCAACGCCACTCCCTTCGAGTTTTGCTTCCGCCGCTGCTGGCAACACCCACGACTCCTCCCGGAGGGGGGATGGAACTGCCAGTGGAGAATGGTATGTCTTCCAGCCAGGTGATTCTGTTATCATACGTTCGCGTGTTTCTTCCGTCCTCCTCTCGTCCTCCTCATCAGCTCCTTTCAGCTCTCCCTCGTTCTCCAGTTCAACAGCCCTCCAGCCACCCACCCGTCCCGCCAGCTAACCACCACCCCTCCAGGGCTCGTTCCCGCATGAACGGAGCAACACAAACCTTCCGCCGTCCGTCCGTCGCGACAAACCCTTCGCAGAACCGGGACACTAGCCAATCGACCTCCGTCGCCGCCGCTACGGGTACCTATAACCCCCCACACGTCACCACCTCCTCCACTCTCCGGAACGGGGCCGCCACGGAAACTCGGTATTCCAAGGAACAGCTCCTCAGTCTCTACAAATCCCAACGAGAATCCGGTGTCCTGGGCAAAAATGTCGCAGAGTACTTCGTTGCTGACTGGGATCCCCATGTCGAGACGCCCGCTGCTGTGAATGGAGCTTGGGGTCGACGCGAGGATTCCAAGGATGCCAATCCCTCCGGGCCGGAAGTCTGCTGGGATCATGGAGGACAATCAGAGCCCCTGGGTTTGATTGACATGACGGAGGATGAAAAGGAGGTGCGTCTCGCCCTTGTTTCATCTGGCTTTGTTCTTCGCGTCGGACCTCGACTAACTACCCACCTCTAGCTCTTCTCCCTTTCAGTCAACTCTCCGCTGAAGCCCCCTCCAACCAACGCCTCCAAGGATAATACGGGAACCACTCCGGGAGCGCGTAAATCGTCGGTGTCCTACTCCCAGAACGCCTACAACACCTCATCCCCCAGCTCCACTCGCCAGGGCCCCAGACGTCGCGAGACGGGTGATTCCACCGGTAATCCCATGTCTCCCACTACCGGGGGTTCTCGTTTTTTCCGCGACGAACCGAACACGGCCACCCCGCCCCCTTCGCTGCTGCGTCGCAAGACCGACTTCCGTGACACGTCGTCCACTGCCAGATGGGAGGAGAAGGAGAAGGAAAACGTCCGGGACGGAAGCTCGGAGGTTGCTTCGCCCTTTGGTTCCCTCAAGCGCAGCTCCACCAATCCTGTGGTGTCTGCGGCGGGTGGAACCAGCTCTCCGTGGGGATCAGCCTCGCATAATGCCAACTTTTCGCCCATGGGAGCTTTTGGCGCCTTCTCTCTGGGCACGACCACACCGACAACGGAAAAGAAACCCGGGTTCGGCAGTCTGCGTGGAGAGAGTCGTCTGAAGGGCTTGTTCTCCAAGGACAGCTCGGAGGATATTGGTGCCTCGATCAAGGAGAAGCCGTCTCTCAGCAGTCTGGAGCGCTTGGTGGAAGGAGACGATGACAAGCGCCCCCAGTCGCCCTGGGCTGAAGGCCTCAAGACCCGCACCGGACGCAGCGAGACGAATCCCTTCCAGGAGGAGGCTCGCAGTGGAAGTGCGGCGCTTGGAGGCTCCCAGGACGTGGCCACACCTTCGCAGGCGGCCGACCAACTCGGTTTCTCTGCGTTTGGAATGACCTCGAGCATCCCTGGCTTCCGCGAGTTGATGCAGAGCCATGAAAACTCCCGCAACCCAACCCCAAGTCTGCTGCAGGGCCACGAACCCACCAGTCCCACGAACACGAACCCCTACCAGAGCCCTCACCATGGTGACCGTGGCGAGGCTGAGGATGTGGAAACCGACGGATCGGATATCCAGAGCTCGAACCATCCAGGCTTGACCGGACTGCGCGACCCCGCGGGCGCGTTTGGATCCATGCGACGAGTCGGATCGGGCATGGATTTGCCGGCCATCGACCGGAGTCAAACATCCAGCGCTGCGGGCAACCGGAGCTTCTCCAGTCTCGGTGGCCTGGGCGGTTTGTCCTCTCTCGGTGGCGCTGCCGGATGGCCATCGACTGGCGCTGTGGGAACTCCGACGAGAGAACGGTCCGCCTTTGCCGGTGGATTCGGCGATCCTATCTTCGGTACAATGGGTGATTTGCAATCCCCTAGTCTTTCAACTCTGGGCGGAGGCGGTCTCTTCAGTCCCCATGCTGGTATCTCCGGTACTGGAAGCATTGGCCGTTCCAGCAAGCTGGGATCTCTGTTCCCCGCCGCCATGCAGGAACAAATGCAGGCCGACCAGGCCCGTCACGAGCTTGGAAACCTGGATGAGGCTACTCGAGCTGGTATGTGTTTCCCCAGATGGTGGTTCCAAATCGAGCAATGTGCTAACTAGATTAGACCTACAAGACAAGTCTGGCCAAACTAACCCTCCTGCCACCACCTCCGCTTCCCAAACTCCGGTCTCCGCCGTTGGTTCTATCCCGGCCTCGATGCCTGCCGAAGGACCCCCTCAAAGCCAGACACCCGGACAGGCTGGAAACAATGCTGGGTCTGTTCCCCCCGCTCAGCAGCGTACAATGGTGATGCCGGACCGCATGCGTTGGATCTACCGCGACCCGCAAGGAAACATTCAAGGCCCGTGGACCGGTTTGGAGATGCATGATTGGTTCAAGGCTGGTTTCTTCAGCCCCGATCTGCAGATCAAGAAGCTGGAGGATCCTGAGTTCGAGCCCCTGGCCCAGCTGGTGCGTCGCATTGGGAACTCTCGTGAGCCGTTCCTTGTGCCCCAGATCGGCATCCCTCACGGCCCTGACCCGGCTCCTGGCCCTTGGGGCGGTGGCACGTCGGGCTCGGCGCAGCCTCCGTTCCCCGGCAGCTTCCCCAGCTTCGGCACCACCTTGACCGCTGAGCAGCAGAATGCCTTGGAACGTCGCAAGCAAGAGGAGCAGTATCTGATGGCGCGGCAGAAAGAACATCTGGCGCAGCAACAGGCTCTGATGAAGCAGATGCAATTCCCCAGCGTTCCTCCCACTATCCATCCGCAGCTCCAACACCACTCGAGCGCGCACAGCTTGCACAGCCAGCCTAGTTTCGGTAGCATTGCGTCTCCGGTTGGCTTCCAGCCGTCGCCCCTGCAGGCCCCTGTCCAGGGACAGCCCCAATCTGTCTCTGGCTTTTTCGATGCTGCCGGCCCTCTACGTCAATCCAATGTTGGCCCGGGGATGCTGGGAACGGACCTGGGCGGCAGCCAGGACCAACTGCCTGCCCTTCTCGACCGGTTGAATGTGAGCCGTCCGGATCCGTTTGCGTTCGGCAGTCCCGCGTCGTTCACCCGCCAGCCCGATAACCTCTTCCCCGCGCCCCAGGTCGCAAGCATGCTGCAAGACCGGGCTCGTCTGCAGCAGGAGCAGGAGCAATTCGACGCCGCCCAGGGCGACAACTTGTTTGACCAACAGGCCCGTGAGGAACGCTTGCGGCAGTTCCATGCACTCCGCGCTCAAGAGGGCGAGTTTGGCCTGCGCACTGCCGAGGGACTTCCCACCCATCCCACCGCAGCGTCCCAGCAGGATGAGACCGAAGCCGTGACTTCTCAGAACGTTGTCCCCGGCGCCACTGCCGTGCAGACCGGCCAGCCCGCCCCTACCGGCGACGAGCCCCCGCTTACCCTGTCCCAGCAGGTTCAGAAGGCCGCTTCTGCTCAGCGTCAGCAACAGGAACAGGAGCAGCAAGCCCAGCAGGACCAACAGCAGCAGAGCCAATCTACCGGTGATGCCGCCTGGACCACCAAGGGCGAGAGCGCCATGCCTCAGCCCTTCCCTCCCCCGCCGTCCGCGTCGCCCCTGCCCGCTCCTGCCGCTCAGCGGAACCGCCAGAACGTTGCTGAATCGCTGGCCGCCAACTCCCGGTCTCAGACGCAGACTCCGGTCGAAGCCCCCACCACCTCGATTGCTCCGTGGGCGAAGGAAGTCAACGAGATGCCCAAGGGACCCTCTCTGAAGGAGATCCAGGAAGCGGAAGCCCGCAACGCCGCTCAGCGGGAGGAGCTGGCCGCCGCGGCCCGCCGCGCGCAGCTCCTCGCCGAACAGGAACGCCTCAGCCAGGCACAGGCGCAAGCTCCTGGTCTCCCGTCGACTGCCAACTGGGCCAGCGCTGGATCCCCTGCGACACCCACTTCGTCTGGATCGGTGTGGAACAACAAGGGCCAAACCCCGACCAGCGGTACCGCCAAGAAGACGTTGGCGCAGATTCAAAAGGAGGAAGAGGCGCGGAAGCAGCGTCTTGCTGCCGCGGCGGCCGCAGCTGCAGCTCAGCAGCACGCCTCGCCCACCCCGCCGACTGCTCCTTCGTCGACCGGCAAGCGCTATGCGGACTTGGCTAGCAAGGCTCCGGCTCCCTCGCCCGTGGCGCCCGCGAGCACCGGCGCGTGGACCACCGTGGGAGCTGGCGGCAAGCCCAAGGCCCCTCCTGCTGCTCCTGCGGGTCCTCGCGCGGCCAGCGGTACCGTGCCCCTGGCGGCTTCCCCCGTGCGTCCCAAGCCGGCGACTGTGGCCCGGACTGTGACGGCTCCTGTTGTGGCTCCGGCTCCCAATCCCAACCGCGCGGTGGAGGAATTCACCAAGTGGGCCAAGCTGACGCTGGGCAAGGGACTGAACAGCGGCATCAATGGTAAGTTTGACTTGACGAATCCCGAATGCAGGCCAATGCTAACGTGTATGTAGTGGACGATTTCGTGCAACAGCTCATGCTTCTGCCCGCGGAGGCGGAGATCATCTCGGACTCGGTGTACGCCAACTCGCAGACGCTGGACGGCCGCCGGTTCGCAGAGGAGTTCATCCGTCGGCGTAAGATGGCCGACAAGGGCATTGTGGACCCGGTGGCGCCCAGTGCGTACGCGGAAAAGAACGCCGGCGGGTGGAGCGAAGTGGCCAAGAAGGGGTCGTCGAATGCGCATCGCGAGGAGGATACTAGCAACGCGGCTTTTAAGGTTGTGGCTCCTCGGAAGAAGGGCAAGCGGTAATGCCCAGTGTATTTATGTATGTATTATGCATGTTGGATTGCTGTATGTGTTTTGATGTTTGGATCATGAGTCATATCGAATTGTTCATTTATATTCTTCTTCTTCTTCTTCTTCTTCTTCCTCCTCCACTCTCTACCATCTGCCACTTTCTACCACACTCTCAAGATGACTCCTTTCGGTGCCCCCATGAGGGCTCACTTCCTCATCGATCCCTCCTATAAGAACCTCAATCACGGTATACTTCCTCATCCTCATATATCAACCACACTGACCATCCAGGCTCCTATGGCACCCAGCCTCGCGATGTCCACACCACCCAGAAGCACCTCCAATCGCTCGCAGAGCAAAAGCCCGACGTCTTCATGCGCAAGACACAGCCGGAGCTGCTCACCGAAGCCCGCGCCGCCATCGCGGCATACCTCAATGTCCCACGACACTCCGTCGTCTTCGTCAAGAACGCCACCACTGGCGTCAACACCGTCCTGCACAACCTGCTCCCGACCTTGGCCGCCTCCGACGTGATCGTCTACTTCGACACCGTCTTCGGCGCCGTCGAGCGCAGCCTCTTCTGGCTGGCCGAGTCGCGCCCTGCACAGCTGCACAAGATCGCCTACGCCCTGCCCGCCTCCCACGACACCATCGTGCGCCTGTTCCGCGACGCCGTCCGCCACATCCGCGAGTCCGGCCGCACCCCACGCCTGGCCATCTTCGACACCATCGTCGCGAACCCCGGCGTGCGCTTCCCGTTCGAGGACCTCGTGCGTGTCTGTCGCGACGAGGGCGTCCTGAGCCTCATCGACGGCGCCCATGGCGTCGGCCATCTGCCCCTGGACCTGGGCGTCCTCCAACCGGACTTTTTCACCAGCAACTGTCACAAGTACCTGCCTTCCCTTGCCTACCATTTCATATCCCACCCCATGTAAAGCTAATGGAATAATAGATGGCTCTACACCCCCCGCAGCAGCGCGGTCCTCTATGTCGCCGAACACAACCACCACCTCATCCGGACTACCCTCCCCACATCCTGGGGCTACATCCCGCCGTCCACCGCCCCGGCGACAACGACAACACCCGCCGCCGCATCAGGCGCATTGACCCCCTTTGAGGCCCTCTTCGACCACGTCGCCACCGCCGACGACACGCCCTACCTCTGTGTGCCGGCCGCGCTGCGCTTCCGCCAGGACGTCTGCGGCGGCGAGCCCGCCATCCAGGCGTACCTGGTGCAGCTGGTCAACGCCGGGGCCGAGGCTGTTGCCGCCTGTCTGCGCACGGAGGTCATGACCGAGCCCGGGCTGCGGGGTGGGGAGCGCAGTCTGTTGCGGGCGTGTGGGATGGCCAATGTGCGGTTGCCTTTTGCGATCGTGTCTGGAGATGCGTCTGAGATGGAAGCGGGGGGGAAGGAAGGCGAGTGTAGAGTGAGTGCGGCCAAGGCGCAGGAGATTGCACAGTTTATGGGCCGGATCCTCATGGACGAGTACAACACGTTTGTGCCGGTGTTCCCTTATGGGCCGTATCTGTGGACACGGGTCAGTGCGCAGGTGTATCTGGAATTGAGCGATTTCGAGTGGCTCGGCGGGGTGCTACGCGAGGTGTGTGAGCGGGCAAAGGCTATGGTGTAGACATATCTAGATTTAGTCGACTTGAACATGCTTGATTGTACTATGTAGCTAGGCTTGATATACTTTCTTCCCGCCGTACCAGGTCTCCACAACCCTCGCGTCGAGGAGTCGCTCTGCCTCCCATTCCATGTCAATGACCGCAAAATCCGCCTGGAAGCCCGGCGCCAACCGTCCGGTGAATCCATCCGCAAAGCACGAGTACGCCGAGCCCTGCGTGGCGGCGCCGACGGCCTGGAGGAGAGACAGCGCAAAGTGCGGGTTCACAGTGTCAGTCAGTGCGGGCTGACGCGCCGACCGTCGCGTTGTCGCCGTGTACAGGTTACGCAGCGGGAAATGCGGCGCGGTGGGCGAGTCGGTGCCGATGGCCAGCGGCGCGCTAGCCTCGAGGAACTCGCGGTAGGCAAAGGCCCGCGCACAACGCTCCTTCCCGAGCAGCTTGGGCCATGCACGCAGGATGGCCGGGTCCGCGTGCACCGGCTGCACCGAGGCCGTGATGCCCAGTTGCCCGAGACGGCGGGCGTCCTCCGGCGCCGTAAGCTCCAGATGCTCGATGCGGTGGCGTCGGCCGGGCGTGCCTACCGCCTCCAGCGTGTCAATGGCCAGTCGCACGGTAGCATCGCCGATCGCGTGCAGTGCACACTGCAGCCCGGCGGCATCGGCTTTGGCTACGACCTTGCGAAGGATGTCCGGTTCCCACAAGGGGGCGCAGTCCACCCCGTTGGAGGAGTAAGGCTGCAGCAGGGATGCTGTGCAGGCGTCGATGACCCCGTCGCAGATCACCTTGATGCCGGTGATGCGGAAGTCGGGCGAGGAGGTGAGGTTATATGTTTGGTGGAGCTCGATGGCGCGGTCGACCTGACGCAGCACCTCATCGTCCGTCTTGCCGGGGAGGATGACCCAGTGCGCGGCCAGCCGGATCGGCACCGCCTCTCGCTCCCGCAGCTGCCGCATTGCCTCCCAGATGTTCTCGTCCGTGGCCATCTCGATCATGCCCGTGTACCCGGAAGCGTTATACGCGCGGACGGCCGCACGGATGTAGCCCAGCTTTTCCTCGGTGGACGCGACGCGAGCGACGTGCGGCCAGACAATGTTGACGGCGGCAGCCTCCTCGAGTAGACCCGAGGGTTTGCCGGTAGTCGGATCCCGATGGATAGTGCCACCGGCGGGGTTGGGGACGTCCTCGACGGCCAATTCGCGCAAGGCAGCCGAGTTGCACCAGGCGGAATGCAGGTCCTTGGAATCGATGAAGATGGGACGCGGATCGATGTCATCCAGCATACTGGCCAGGGCAACTCCGTCGGTCATCGAGTGCATCCAGCCTCTGCAGAACAGCCGCGGGGCGGAAGGACGTTCCGCGGCGGCAGTTTGGATGGTGCGGCGGATATCGGCGAGGTCTTTGCACTCATCCAGACTGATCTTGGAGAGGGAGGCGCCAAAGAGGAGCAGATGCATATGCCTGGACGGTCAGTCGCAATTGACAAGACAGAAAAGGACAAGCTTAGTAGTACCCATCGATGAAACCCGGGAGCACTCGGCGGCCGGCGAGGTCGATCTCGCTATCGGCGGCAGGGGCGTCGGTCTCGCTACCGACATAGACAATGCGGTCGTCCTCGACAACCATACACGGGCATTGTTGGGAATCGGACAGAATGTGTCCGTTCTTGAACAGGGTCTTCATGGTGCGGCGGAGAGGGGGTTGACAGACGGACGGAGCCGAAAAAGGCGGGAGACGATAAGAAGAGGGGGAGGAGAATGTGGGGAATCGGAGCTTATCAGAGCAGGACGCAAAATGCACACAAACAGGCGGCTGGCATTCAAGTCATCATCATACATGAGGCCAATCTGCAAAAGACTCTGCCAGTCGTTCTCAACTCCCGCCAAATCGACTTCGAACCCATCCGGTCAGTCCTCCTCCACTACTAGACCCGCTGTTCCCTGCATTTCCCGTCGTGCTCGACCGTCGAGAGACCGGCTCCGGACTATCCTCGATTACCACGGGGTTTTCGCTGCTGCCTTCGGCCCTGCTTTTTTCTGTGAGCGTCCGATGCTGATGCCATTAGCAGGCGGTGGGGGTTGGCTGCTTACTGCGCCGGCGCATCAATGCCGCGGCGGCAATGCGGGCAAGTGTTATGCTGGTTCAACCACATCTCGATACACTGGAAATGGAACCAGTGTTTGCAAGGGAGTACCGTCACCTCCGTTCCTAACTCGACAGGATCCATGCAGATCGAGCACTCGGCTCGACCGTCGTTGCCCAGCATCTCCTGATCGACCTTCTTCTTCGGCAAAGATTGGATGGCCGATCGCGACGCCGGGGGTGGTGCCGTTCCGTTGACGTTCTGGCCCACGAGCTCGGAGATGACGCGGTCCAGCTCTTCCTGAGAGTATACCGCGTCCCCGTGACGTTCCAGGTTCAACAATGCTGAGAGCATCGCCAGGGGATTGGGAGCCCTGGGCGGTCCTCCTACCGGATCGCCCCCATCGCCGCCGAAATCGGCTCTGAAAAGCTCCAGCACGCTGTTTGCATAGTATTAGCACTTGTCGTAGATTTATGAATTGGTAAATGAAGACCAGAAACATACTCGCCCAGCGTCCGCAGGGGTGTATTCATCTGGGGACCATCGGCATCCCGCGGGTGTAATCCTCCTGTGGAATGGTACTCTGATCGTGCTCCTCCATTCCCACCCAGGCTAAAGCCAAACGAACCATGCCAAACTCGAGGACCTTGTGGCGAGGCAGCACTCGGAGACCCGGAGCCCTCGGCTTGTTGGCTCGGTCGTCGAGCGCGGGCCCGCTCGCCCATTTGTTGGTATTGTCCAGCATGTCGGTAGGTTTCCGCGAGACCGTTGAAGATAGTATCCAGGCCTCGCACCATTGGCAGGAGCGGGTCGGTGGCCGGACCACGGGCGCGATGCGGGGAAGCGCCATGGGTGAAGGTGGTGGTGGAGAACGATATGCGACCGTCGGGAGAACGATATGAGCGATGTCGAAAGCCATCTTCTTCGGGAATCGGCTGGAAGTTGTCGTCTAGATGGGGCCAGGGATCGGGGTCAACCCACGGGTTGGCCGGAGAATGGAGACGTTCGACGGGGACAGAGGTCGGAGGGTCGGGGAAGTCGTCCGGGGGGACTTCATCGGGATCTGGAGGGATTTCAATCTAAGGAGTGTGTTAGCGGCGATGTGGCGAGAGCGAGGAGGGTTATGGACAATTTCAGTGAAATCGGACTCGCAATGGGGACAGACGAGGCCGTGCCGATTGCGCAGCCAAACGCCGCCACACGCATGGCAGAACACGCGGTCTCCCACGTCGGCCATGACGGGGGTATTGAAGTCGAGCGATCAGAGGGATGGGACGCAGTGGGTGTGTTATATATCCAGGTGGTTTATAGAGTCATCGGAATGGGAGTCGCACGGAAGGCGAGTCACGCATGGTTTCCGCGTGATCCTATAGCATGCCGAAGGAAGGAGAAGAGGGGCGTGTGGGACGAGAAGAGGCTCAGTCGGAAAAGGAGCAACCAGAAGCAGGTGAAGAGGAAGTCAGAGAGATGGAGAGAGAAAGAAGTAGGAAGAAGGCCGATGAAGGCGAGGGGGGAAATGACGTGGGCGGGTTTGCTTAGTGGCGCAGTCTTAGTTATCAACCCAATAAGACACAATATAGCACAACATGGCAAAGATAGCAAATACAGTCGAATTAGAATATTAGACAGAATGAACATCAAACGCCGCTCATGCCAAATCAAACATCATTCCTATACAAAATCGACGGCATCGCATCACATCTACCGTCTCTTCGCGCCCCGGAAGACCATACCGCCCACCACTCCAGCCGCCAGGGCCAGTCCACCGACGATGGCGATTCCCAGCAGTCCTTCCTTGGACACCTTCTCGTCGATCAACTGTCCCAGACTCGCCGCTTGGAGGTTGGCCGGTTCCTTCTCGAGTAGGAGGTCGTTGTAGCGTCGGGCTTCTCCATAGTTCCCGAGTTTGTAGTTGCCTAGCGCCAGATAGTAGAGACACTCGCGTCGACGTTCGGGGGCGGCCCGGAAGATCTCGGACAGAAGACGCACGCCTTCTTGCTGGTCGGTACGAGCGTTGGATTTGATGAGGCCCTGGTGCCGACGGTTAGTCGATAGAGTCGACACCGACAACGGGAGCTCCCCGCGATGGATGACGTACCCAGGCGTAGTTGAACTTGGTCTGAATGCCCACATAGTCGCCTTCTTTCTCGTACTGCGAGCGGAGGACTTGCAGTTCGGCCGGTTTCAAGGGACTGTCTGGATGAGCGAGGGCCTAATGCGACGACGGGGAGACGAACCTTTCCGCATCGGCGGCATCTGAGAGGTTAGACGAAGTGACGGGCGATGGGGAGGGTGAAATCGACTTACAGGGAAGATTAGAGCTCATGATGACTTGAATCCGGGTATCACAAAAGGGAGGTTGAAAAAGTTGGTATGTAGAGAGCGGAGAGATTCCAGTCAACAATGATGCTGATGATGACGATTGATTGTGATGGTGTGGCGGTGCGTGGCGGCTGTGGCAGTTGCTCCCCCAACCGCTTTATCAACAACGCTCTATATCTTCACAACTTCAACTTCATCTTATCGCATCAACCGCGCAACCTTCTAGGCAAAATGCTGCTCGACGAAGATCCTGCCACAGTACGTCGCTCTTCCCCTGCCGCGTACCTGACTAACCTTCCAGCTCATCCACCACACCATCGGCAACTTCAACATCCACCCCGATAAACAAGCCGTCACCCGCATCAATGACTCCCTGTCCACGCTGCAACAGTCGCGCGATCTGCGCATGCGCGATGCTGAATCCGCCCTGCGAAAGCTCTCCCGCCATCTGCACTCCCTGACTGCCCAGCACAACGAGGCCGTCGCCGCCCATGACTCATCCAAACACGCCGCCGCCATGGTCGAGCTGGACACCAAGAAGTTCCGCATCGCCAAGTCGGCCACCGAGCTGGAGAACGAGAGTGACCGGCTGGAGAGTGAGCTAGAGATGCTGAAGGAGCGGCTGGCGGATCTGGAGGCGCAGGGGCTGGAAGGTGACGAGGCGACTCGTCGGGAGCGTGAAGCCGACGATGCCACCATGTACGCGTGTCCCGCCCAGATAGTCCTTATCATGATACTAACGACGACGCAGTCTCCGGCTCAAGATCTACCGCTCGCTCGGCGTCGACATTGAGGCCGACGAATCCGGAACGTTCAACAAGGCGGTCATTCGCAATAGTCGCAAGGGCGACGTGCACGTCGTCAACGTTGATCCCAAGTTCTCCCGGTTCTTCTACGCAAACTACTTTTGGTCGAACATGCAAGGATAGATTTGTCTCGTTTGGTCTTGTTTGGCGTTGGCAGGATGCATGATATTATGGATAATACCCTTATGTTACAATCTATTTACAATTCCTTTTACTCTCGCAATGCGATCTCCCCTCGCACCCGCTCCAACACCTGCTCCCTCTGACCCTCCGTCAGAGAACTCCCCCCTCGCCCGTAGAGTAACGGCCTCTCATCCGGAAACATCTCCTCGAGCACATCCAACAGTCTCTCGCGCTGCGTCTCCGACAACCCCCACAGCCGCAACCACTCGCGCTCCACGCGCGCCATCTGCGCCTCCACCGCATCCATCCCCGGCATCTCCTCCCCATCCCACGTCAACACCACCCCCTCATCCCCTTTCCCATCGCCCTCCGCCGAAAACCGCACCTCAACCCCCACCCCCGCCAGCCCGATCGCCTCCGCACGCGCATTCCACAGCACCTGCCGCAGGCCTCCCTCCCGGCGCACCATCATCCACACCAGCGGCGCCGTGCTCCGCGCCAGCGCGTCGCGCACGCCCTTGGTCGCCTCGCGCGGACTCACCAGCACGCCCAGCGTGTCGGTGGCGTTGTTGGCCCGCACCGTGCCCTCGAGCTCGCGCACGAGGTTCGGCCCCAGCTTGCTTTTGAGCGATTTGCACTGCACGATTGCGCGGAGCGGGTGTTCGCGCGCGGGGAGGTGCCATGTGCCGACGAGGTCAATGCCCGCGTCGAGGCGGCCCCCTGTCCGCGCGAGAGAGAAGCCGCTGCGGCGGAGGGTCTCTTGCACGGTGTATTCGTAGTGCGTGCCGATGTAGGTGGTGCTGGTGGGGGCGAGGGCGGTGCGGGCGGCATGCTCGAGGAACGACGGGAGGTCGTGGTGGTTTGGCGGGGAGGGAGGCGGGAGAGGGAGCTTGAAGAGACGGCGGGTGAAGGTGTGGATGGTGAGGTGGTTTGGAGGGGGTTTGTATCGGAGTCTTGGGCGTGGGCGATGTAGACGTAGTGGTGGTAGCCGGTGCATGATGGTACATGTATGTGTGGTGGTGGAATCAAAGGCGGCGAACTTCTTTATCTCCAACTTCCACCTTTCCTTACCTCTCTACCCCCATACTTCCCTCCATACACCTCACCTTCTCCTATACTTTTACAATGGCAGACATCCTCACCCAGCTCCAGACTTGTCTGGACCAGGTACGCCTTCCCCTCCAACCCACGTATCCCGGCTGACCTCCCGCAGCTCGCAACCCAATTCTACGCAACCCTGGGCTACCTCACCACCTACCACGACAACTCGCCCGCCCTCCCACCACCACACATCCCGGACGCCGCGCCGGCCCTGGCCAAAATCCCCAAGAACTCCAGCGCACCGCCCGTGCCCGCCGGCGCGCCCGTCTCGCAAGCATCTCCGCCCCAGCCCTCTGCCCCTGGTATCGCAGGAGGAACAAGCACCGGAGGCGAGCCAGGCACAACCACGCCGGGCGGAACGGCCGCCGCCCCAGCAGACCCCAACCTGCCCCCGGCGCCGGACTCTCCGCGCACATTCGCCAGTCGGCAGCGCGAACTCGCCCGCGACCTCGTCATCAAGGAGCAGCAGATCGAGTATCTCATCTCCGTGTTGCCGGGGATTGACTCGTCCGAGGCGGAGCAGGAGCGGCGCATTCGCGAGTTGGAGGCGGAGCTGCGCGGTGTCGAGGCGGAGCGCGAACGGAGGATTGTTGAGCTGAGGCGGTTGAGGAAGCAGTTGGAGGGGGTGTTGGGGGCTGTTGAGACGGGGGTGTATGGGATGCGGCCGAGTGTTTGAGAATGGAGTGTCTCTAATATTTTGATTCAACTTTGGATGATCGCATTTACGGGAGTTCTGTGATACCAATTAAGAAACCTTTATGACGCTCTAGGTCTCGCATATAACCATATATCAGGTATCAGATAGATCTCGAAACACCCCGTATATCCCATCCAACGCCAGAAAGAAAGAGGAAAAACGCCGTCAATGTCGGGTATCGTATGTACCAGCAACCATCCCAAATCACTCCATCACTTGAATAAACTCCGGTATTCGCGCATCCGCTGCTCTTGCACCTCCTTCTTATCCAGCTTCCCGCGGTTCATGCTCAAGTCCGCCAACTGCTGCTTCTTCTTCGCCAGCTCGAAAATCTTCTCCTCAATGCTCCCCTTCATTAGATATTGCACCGTCGTCACCTCGCGCGTCTGCCCGATGCGGTGCACTCGATCGATCGCCTGCGCCACCGCCGCCGGATTGTACTGCGGCTCCATAATGTACACCTTCGACGCCGCCGTCAGGTTCAGCCCGACACCGCCCGCGCCAATCGTCGCCAGTAGCACGGTAATCGTGTCGTTGCTGTGAAACTCGGCCAGTGCCTTGTTGCGCGCCGCCAGCGCCATCGTCCCGTCCAGCCGCGTGTACCCCGTCAGCCCGTTGTCTTTCAGCGCGATCTCGATCAGGTCCAGATGCGACGTCCACGCTGAGAACACCACGCTCTTGAGCGGTCGCTCGCCGGCCGCCTGTAATCCCTTGCTCTCGTCCGCCGTCGCCATCAGCTGCTCCACCAGCGCTTTGGTCTTCGTGTGTGGGCCCTCGTACTCGCCTAGGACCTTCGCCTGTCGCCGGCTCTGCTTTGCCTGTGCCTGGTCTACCATGTACTCCTGCAGCCCCCCGACGGTGATGCTCGAGTACGACACGGGGATCCAGCCGTCGCACACCTGGCAACGGAGGGCGGCAGCTACCTCCTCGCTCGGCGCGTCAAACGCATGCTTCCAGCCAGCAAAGCAATCCGGGCAGAGCACATCAAAGCAGGGAAGCACAATGGCCATGCACGCCGCCCGGTCCGGGGCGCCCGAGTCCGTCGACGCGGGTTCTTCCAGGCGTTTGCCACACATGGCGCACACGTCCGCCGATGACTCCTGCATGAGCGTGAACATCTCGTACGCCTTCTTGTCGGTGACCTCGGCCGACGGATCGCTGCCGCCTTCCTCCAGGTCGATCGCGTCCTGCACGCTGAGGCCCTTGATGCGCTCGCGGTCCTCGGCGTCGAGGAGCTCCTTGCCGTGAGCGCTGACTTGTCGCAGGATCATCATCGCCTTGAGAATGTGGTGGTACATGCGGCCTTTCATTTTCGTCTTGTCTTCGCCGGCGATCACCCGCATCATGACGTTGGACTCCTGCCGGAAGAACTCGTGCAGTTGGCGCTCCTTCTCAGTGAAGGTGAGCATGACGATCTTATCATGGCGCGTCGGTAGGTCGATCTTGTCTTTGACGCGGCGGAGGGTGAACGAGTCCACGAGCACGCGCAGACTCGCCAGCACCGAAGCGTCACCCGACTTGAACCGGCTGAGGATGTGCATGCCGAATTGGGTTCTGTCGTCGTATGGACAGAGCCCGATGAATCTGGTCACGGAGTAGAGGTCCTTGAGGTGGTTTTGGATAGGTGTGCCGGTTACGGACCATTTGCGCTGCCCGTGCAGCTTGAAGATCGCCTGGGTTTGCGCGGCGCTCTGCTCGCGAATTGTGTGCGCCTCGTCGAGAACGATACGGAACATGTTCATCTTCGTCAACGGGCTCACGCCCCGCTTGGCGCCTCTCCCGGCGAGCTCGCTCAGAACAATGCTGTAGGTTGTAATCACCAGGTCATATTTGGACAGTTCGTCCACGTCTGTAGTTCGCGACGAGCCGTGAAAGACGTAGTAGGTCACAGCGTCTTCCTTAAGATGCTCCTTGATCTGAAGCACCCAGTTGTTGACGGCGCTAAGGGGCACCACAAGAAGCGTGGTCTTGGTATTGCGGATGCCAGGAGAGCTCTTCACCAGTTCGGCGTCGGGGATCATGTCTGCCCACTCGCGGGACTGCGGTAGGCTGCTGACGACAAGCGACAGTATACTCAACGTCTTGCCCAAGCCCATCATGTCCGCCAGCAAACCGCCCAGCGACTGCGGAGGCTCTTCATCAGAGACCATCCCTGTGATGATCTCACGATAACGTTTCCTCCCATTAGGACGTACCTCCAAGCGCCATAGTGAGTTGTTGTCGGCCTCGTTGGGTCCAAACTTGCGCGGCTTCTCCTTCTCGGTCATGAACCAGAGCGCTTGCTTCTGGTGCCGAAGCAGAGGAGTCTCCAGCTGCGACGGGGTCTCCATCTCGGGGATATTTTCGGCACTCTGGAGCTGATCGAACATTTTCATCACTGCGTCATTCACTTCTTCGGCCGTGCGAACTTCGTAATTCACGCTGCTCGAACGACCACGAGCCGCAATGCTTGGTAGAAAGGCCTGCTGCGCGCGCCTCAGCTCTGCGTGGGGGTTGAAAATCGGAGTCCCCTGTTCAACAGAAAAAGGAGTTCCCAGCCAGATGTTATGGTGGCCAAGGTGCTTCCCAACCGTTTCAGCGTCTTTCCGCAGACCGTAGAGATTGAGAGACGCGCGGTATTGCGCAGAGCAAGGCATCCATGGGTATTCATTTGGTCCCCGTTTGCGAGCATCCAGACGCCCGGAAAGATCGACCTTCAATGCAGGTGAATCGAGTAACTGAACAACGACCGCGGCGGTCCTCGCATCAACAGCGCCAAAAACCATATTGTTAGGGTCCGAAACCTCGATCTTTTTGTCCTCCACGCCCGGACGGCGGTTGATGTTCAACTTCATGGACGGCCAGTCATGCGCAGAATCGAATATAGTGATCGGCTTGGGGACCAAGAAAGCCTGGATATACGCATTTTCGATCTTCCCATAGCATACTCGCTGCACACTCAGGTTATTCGAACCGGTGACTTGCAGGTCGTCATCGTCATTCACTGCAGCCGAGGAGTCTTGACATGTTAGCCTTGAGTCTTGATCACGTCTCGTTGTCTTCTTACCCAGAGTGAGATCGACAACATCCGCCGTGACGGGCAGCGGCGTTTCGGCACTCGCCTGTCCTTCCTTCATCCATTTGCCTAGTCCGCTATCTCCTGCGATGGCGACCTTCCCACTCTTCCCCTTCTCCTCGACGTTATTCTCCGTCTTGATCTTCTTATACGGCTGCCTACTGCGCCTCTCCACGCCGTACATATCCTCGATGAGACTGCCGTGGCGCACGTCGGCATCATCCTCGAGGCGATCCGAGGTCCGTTTGCTATCGCTATCGTCTTCGGATCGCGCGCTCGTAAACTCGACCTCCACCCCAGGCTCCGACTGCGGTACTCCATATGACGACACGGAGAGTCTATCGCTATTACGCGAAGATGTCATCGATCTCGGCGGGGGAGTCGCCTTCGCGGACGAGGGTCGGGGCTTGGGATTCAGAAGACGATGTGCGGCGGAGGCTGTACCGGGCGGCGCAGCGGTAGGGGACTGGTTGCCGCGCGACGGCCTGCTCGCCTCCTGCGGAGCTACAGCACCGAATAGTGAGTAATCTATGCCTGGGTCCAGATAAATAGGGTCCTCCGGGGGAGAAGGGCAGCGTCCGAACGACGAGGCGGGGAAGCCGCATAGTGCAGCAGTGGAGAAGTCCAACGGTGCGTCGGTGGTGTCGACTTCGGACGGGGGAGATGTGCAGTCTGGGTCGTTACCATTGTTCTTTTGCAGTTGTCTTCTGTATGCTTTTGGGTCCAGAAGCATGGCGGCGTTGGAAGCCATAATGCCGAGACGGTATGCGGGTATCCGAGACAGGTCTTGCGCGAGGGAACGTGGGTGGTGTTGCGGGCGTGGATGGTGGTATGTAAGGGATGGTACCAGCTAGATCTTATCGAGAGCGCTGGATCAGAGAGAGAAGATTCCGAACTGAGTGACGTCCAGATGGGTCAAGGAAAGGTGGGTAAGTGAGCGGATGGCGATAGTAGTGAGGGTGTGTGAGGTCGAGGACGGAGGTTGACAAGTGAGAGAACGAGATCCTCCCATTGCGCGCATCACACGCGACCGTCGGGGTCTGTATGAAAGCAGAGCCGGCGATGAGGACAAGGGAGGAGAGTTGGAGATGAGAGTTGGCGGAGGAGGAGAGGGATGCCTTCGATGGCGCCGATAATGATAAGATTAACAAGTTAGGCTTGCTTATCAAAGCAGTGTCTCACCCACGCCTCACCACGGTCTGACTATACAGAAGATTTGGTTCTGGTACATGCTATACGGCGTCTATATACGAAACATCATCCATTATTCGCTCCTTCAACGGTTATTAGTAGAATCAACATCAAGTCTATATACAACACGGGGCGGATTTTCCAGCCAATCCTGCGGCGAACTCGCTAAACTAGTAAAGACATCGGAAGAAGATGAAGGTCGTCATGATGGGAGTATGTAGGAACAAAAGGCAAGACATAGGGGTCGAACGTGAAGAGGTTTGCAAAAGAACAAGTCTAAGGGGATGGGTGAAATGCAATTAGCACCAGGTAAACACAGGGTTCTTGCTCTTGACGGCTTCCAATCGCTCAACGATCACTTTCCGTTGGTTTCCTTCCATGCCCTCGGCCGCAGCATACCCCAGATCACCTTCCAGGTCATCGCTGCTGAAAATCAGATGGGCGCCGCGCGAGCTGGACACGGAGCTGTTCTTATGGTGTCTGCCAGGACGGGGTGGGAGGTCGGGCCAGTCACGGTCCGGATCTCTCGCACTCAGAGCATCAATACTGTCGCGGCTGAATCCATAGCTCTCGAGGGTGGCTGGACTCCCATTCGGTTTCGGCGCACCAGACTCTCGATCCCGCAACTCGAACCGATTAGGGTTGGGAAGCTCACTCGGAGGAGACCCTAACCCGAGGAGATCATGTTCCGGGCCGGACCCCAGCGACATCGATGCGCCAATATCCATCTCCTCGTTATCGGGATCGTAAGCATCGCGTTTGTCGTAATTCTCGTAGCTGCGCACTTTTTGTTTCTGGGCTTCGGTTGAAGGTCCGCGGAGAGGAATGGCAACCGGGACATCCACTAGGTCATCCCACACGCAGACACGGGTTCTTCTTGTAAGCTCCAGTGGACCATGATCAGGCTGTTTCAGGGTCTCCACAACATTCCATGCCTGGCCTTTCATCACAGCAATCTGTCTGGCGAACATGCTTTCCTTGAAGTCGTCATCCTGCGAGAATACGCGTCGAAGCGCCATTTGCGTACCGCTCCACCAAGCTGTCGAGGTCAAAAGAGGTAAAAAATGGTCGCGCGTTTTCTGAGAGAAGGGCTGGCCAATTAAAGATACGGGAAGGAAGAGCCAGCCGAAAGGAAAGCTTCGCCACTAGAAGGGAAAATGCGTCAGTACCAAGTAGCCGGCTCTCCCTAGATCTACTTACAGCATCCGGATGCTTCCACGGCCAAGACAAACTATTATCAATGGCACCAATTTGGATAGAGGCCTGCGGTTCCGATGAGTTCAAAGGCGTCCCGGTTCGACTGACAGCCACCATCGTTTCACGGCGTTTATAAGGATGAGATGCACTGCCAGTTTGGTCGGAATTGACTGAGACGGGTCGGGGAGGAGGCATCAGGTCGTCATCTTCCTGATGAACACCATTCGGCTTCGGAGGATCCGCCACGATCGACACTTCTTCCGTATTCCAGTCAATCTTGATCATCCAGTTGTCCAGACCACGATCGGTGTTTCGCATGATGTAGTCCAAGATCACCAGCTTCTCCAACTCCTCTCGGAAGGATTGTTTCAACGCTTCGGTCCAATAGAATCGACGCTCTCTGCTCTGTTCACGAGGCGAGGGGGTCTGGAGGACACCATTCTCAAAATCGTCGTCTTCATCGTCGGATTGTACTCCAGAAGGGCGACACGCTTCGTTCCAAGGACGCTTCTTGCGCTTCGGGGCGTCTTCCGCGCGGAAGCCGGTGTTGGTTTGGTCGGGCCACGGATGGTCACGAAGGAAGAGATTCGCATCCTTGTACCCTTTTAAGAAGACCTGGAAGCTACCTGCCTTGTGCGGCAGTGGCTTCTTTCCCATCCACGCCTTTCTGCGATCCCAGAAATCGTAGTAGAAGGACTTGGAGGACAACCAGACAATGTCGGTGAAGGGGACGAGGTTGGTGCGGAGACGCGAGTCCAAGACGTACGCAGCCGCCTCGGAGACATACGACAGGTTGGGGATCAGACAAGCGCGACCGAAGAAACAGGGGAACAGGTTACGGTGAATCCACTTGGTCCACTTGGGATTGCGGGATGCATAGGGCTCCTCATCCTTGGGCTTGAAGACTCCGACAACCTTCCCTTCGCTGTTGCGCGCAAAGTAACTACCGGAGCTACCTTGGGAGATCATCCGGGGGTGCACGCCAACCTCGATGGCAAGACGGACACTCTCCACGACCTCCTCGAATTCCTCACGAGCCTTCCGCGCGGCGCCTTCCACCTCCTCGGACTCGAGTTCCTCGGTCGAAATTGGACGGACGCCGTTGGGCGGCTGGAAGACCGAGTGGTAGATCTCGAGTTTTTCCTCTTCCAGGGTCTTCCCGCGGACCTTGTTGATCTTGAACTTGGAGGCGATCTCCTCAGCCCACCGTTCCAAACGCGCATTGATGGCCTTGATGTCAACACCGGAGTTCCTCCGAGCTCGGCGGTGATAGTAGCCACTGTGTCTGCGTCGTTGTTCGGGGGATGAAGATAGGGTGGGTGGCTGCATGCGGGAGGAGATGGGAGCGTACCGGGGGGCGGATTGGGATATCGTATGGGAGGGTTGGAGATCATCGTCATCGGAAAAATCGTAGTCATGGTTTCTATCTTCCTCTTCTTGGGCCAGACGGGCATAGCCCGAGGTCGCTGGTCGGTTCTTGGGCATGATAAAGGTGTGGGAAGGTCTATGGTATCATGGGAGAAAGTAGGTCGCAAAGGGGGATTGAAGGAGAGGCGAGAAAGAAAAGATTAAAATCATACGAGGATATTCAAGGCATTACCGGAAGGAATAAAAGAAGAAACGAAGAAACGAAGAATCCAAAGCGGACGGGGACCAACAATGGAAGAGAGATGAAGATGGAAGGATGGATAGTAGTCGCCGTCGCCGTCGCCGTCGCCATCGGCGTAGTCGTGTGGAGGCCGTCATCAGTAATAATAATAATAATCCATCCGATGAAGGGGGCTGAAGGGACATTGCGGTGGCTGCGTAACATATTATTACCATAATTACCTATATTAAACGGGAATATTTACGTGCAAGCCACTGTTACCATACTGTATCATACAGCCAACGATCGCACCGCCACAGGGTTATGTGCCGTGTGGCTCCACTCGAGCTTAAAAAGCCCCTGAATGATTGGCAAAAGGGAGAAAAGGGATCATTAGGACAGTTGTACTTATGCCTAGGTCTGTCTCATGGCATCTACCTACGACAAAGTCTGATTGAGAGTATTATGTATCGCTCTATGTAGATACTGCTCCGGGTATTGATAGGTATGTGTGAGAAATTGAGAGAATGGGATGAACACAGCATCGTTACTACAAATAGAAACACATTCCATCTGGAATGACAACAAGGATCTCTACTCAGGGCTATCGGGGTACGGTACGTACTCCGTAAATACAGCCCTAATAACGATCGTCCGTGTAGTCTGAATGCCCTCATCCACATCATCAAGTCAATGGTATTGCATTCAATCGCTTCAGAGTGATCAGAAGATACCTAGAACTTCGTGAATAGGTATCTAGCCAGTCAGTGAACTCCCATGTGGAAATGAAGATCTGAGCTCCCTGCATTCACTCGGTAGAAGCCCTATCTTTCAGCATATCTGACCATAGGGGTATGCAGACGCGATGCGACTCGCGTGGAATCACCAGCCATGCAGGGAAACGTCGGAGGCAGGGGAATGCCACCGTTAGAAGCACTGAGAGTGATTGACCACCTAGATACTTAGTAGGTAGAAATAATAATAAGAGTAATAATACTACAGGTACTCTCAGACAGCATGAGCCAAGTGCTGCGGTAATCAGCGATAAAACCGGAATTGATAGTGAGTGGCCCGAGACGCGCGATAGGGACGAAAATCGATAATCAATCAATCAGTTCGACCTTCTTTTTTACTTCCTCCCCGTGACCACCCTTCTCCCGTCTCCCATCCCAATTGTCTCGTCTTCTTTCTCTTCTTCTTCTTCTTCTTCTCAAAAAGTCTCTGCTTGGAATTTGTCGTTCGATCTTCTTGTCTTCTCCTGTCGTCGCTTTTCCGATATCCATCCCTATCGATCCGACGATCTATCGTCCGTTCAGATCTTTCGCTCCTTGACCATCCGATTGGGGACCCCAGACCAAATAAAACAGGTACTACCACTGCAATCCAATCTTCCCATGCAAATATGAGGCCATTGGACACAGAGTGAATCGAATTGAACAAAGTATTCGCAGTATCACCCCTTCGACGTGGCCGCTTCCGCGACACGACGCATTCCCTTGACAGTCGTATCATCGAGCACTAGCACCGCTTCAATTCGGTCGATCCTGACCGAATTTCAAGACTATTCGTGATTCCATCCTCCACGGTGGCTTCTCTCTTGTTTCGGGCGTCGCCCATCGACCCGGCTTTGCGTCCTTCGTCGCCATCCTCTCAGACCCACGACCTCAGTTACAATCAGAACTCCTCCGCTACCGATAGCCAGTCTGTCTCTCGTCAGTCAACAACAACGGATGCTGGAGTAGGCGCATCATCCGCATCATCTCAGTACTCGGGAACCCTACCGGAGTTCGCTTCGATCGACAAATCTACGGGAAGCCCCGGCAGCAACAACAGCAGCGGATTTCCCAGCTCCCTAGGCCCCTCGTTGCCAGGATTATCCGCTTTGGCATCGGTCGCCTCGGCACCCACGTCTAATTTACGGTATGTAATTGATCCCTACGCGCGAAGGAGTGTCGGGGTCAAATGCAGGAGTGCTGGCGATTGCCTTTGTACATGGCGTTAGACAAGCCTCCTCGAATCGCGCGCCCTTATCGGGGATGGTAACGATGAAAATTCTAGCATGCTGACGGGTCTTACGTGTCAGGACGTCGAGCAGCGATGCGCATTCCAACATGTCCAACATGACCTACGCAACCTCTTCACCCGCGGCGACGACGGGAGGACAAGGCAATAATCCGGTGAGTTGCGCATGATGAACAGGAAGATCTGGGGGATCTTATCGTCTGGGGAGAAGCCAACACGCTTATCTGAGCGATCCGTTGCATTTTCATATTTTTTTCCCTGCCATTTTTCTCAATTTTACCGATTGTTATCAGCATCCGCTGGGGGAGGGTC